TTCACAACAAGAAACTGAAAACATGTTTAAAATGATAAATTTTATCCCCCACAGTTCTCTACAAATTTGCCTATTTAAACATCTTTTCAGTTTCTTGTCGCCAAAAGAAAACTATGTGCATACATTAAGAAAAAAAGGTAAAATACAAACCCCGCCCACCCACCCTCATCTTAATTGTGATAACTTTTTTATTCGTTGTGAGCCGAAGGGAGGAGCTTAATTGCAAAATGCTTATTTCTCTACAAGGAACTACCACGTGAAACATATTTTTAAGTATCATGTTGAAAGAAAACCATATACTTTAAGAAAAAAAAAGTCAAAAATTAAGCCCCAGTGTCCATTGCGATGAATTTTTCACCAAAATATGTCTTAAGTAGATATTATCGTATTACTACAAATAGACCATTTTGAGAAAAAGGAGACTGTGTAACCCCCTCTCCCAAAAGATGTTTCATAATGGTAAATTCTTGTAGAGAAACAAAGATTTTGCAATTAAGCTTCGTCCCCGGGGTCACGGCGAATAAAAAATCACCGCAACTGAGACCGGGCGGGTGGGCGGGGCGTATATTTTGCTTTTTTTTTCTTAATATACGTAGTCTTCTTTTCATAACAAGAAACTTAAAACATGTTTAAAATGGTAATTTTTTTAGGGAAATATTGATTTTGCAATTACGCTCCGCCTCTCGGTCAGACAACGAATGAAAAATTCATCACGATTGAGATCGTCATGGAAAGGTGGGGCTTAATCTTTGTCTTTATTTTTTACTTTTTTAAAGGGAGTTGGAGAAAATTGGATTTTCACCGTTTGACAAAAACTATACCGTTTAGAACAGATACAAAGAAATAAAAACTGGCAACTTTCATGTTGGTTATTATAGAAACATTCTGTGGTTTGATATCTACAAGAAAATGTATTTTTCCACTAGTAGCATTACAATGGCTAATTGTCGACTTGTCTAGAGGTCTGTAATTTGGAAAATTGTGAACCTTGGTCAATAATGTAAACGTGAAGTTGGCCACCTAATGTGACAACTGTCCACAACTGTCAGAAAAACTGAGACATAACCTGAAAACGATCATTTTGGAAAATTTGCTTTTAAATTATGCCCTGGAATGATTTCCAAACCCTGAATTGATTATAAATTGAGGATAAATTGGTGAAACAACGTTGATGAAGTTGATGGGAGTGAAAATGAAGTTTACGGTACTGAAACTGAATCATGGTTCCGATTTGGTTTGACTTGATTTGCCGTAGAAGAGCTTTGGACGATTTCGGCGATTTTTTTTTAATTGAAGATCGAGCCGTCGTTGTATCCTTCTGCTATGCTGGAGGATTTCCATTCCCCGTGTCGCTTTAACGATAAAAGGTCCATACCTTTTTCAGCCAAATTTGTCGCGGTCGCGTAAATACGACGGAATGAGGAGGGGTACATGATGGTTCACTTTACAACATTTTTCACACAAAAATTTATTAAAAACAGGAAATATGGAGGAAATTAAAACAAAAGTTCTGGACCATTTCTGGATTGTCAAAAAATAATAAAATTCCAAAGCTTACTAAAATGACGTGAGTACACGTTTTTATTGATGCACTTCAGAAAAAACATTTTGAAAATTCGCAAACCTCAAATGGGCTACTAGTGGAAAAAATAGTATATTAACCACGTTTGTGAAGCCAATTCTAGACCTCGCGCTTTAGAGCCCTCGACGCTGCGCGTCTCAGGTTCTAATTTGCGCTCGGTCTAGAATGTCTGTCTTCACAACCTTAGTTAATAATATACTATTATTGCCAGCCTATAGGACTCTCTCGGAAAAAGCTAAACTTAGCGCAAATTAGAGCCCTCGACGCTGCGCGTCTCAGGTTCTAATTTGCGCTCGGTCTAGAATGTCTGTCTTCACAACCTTAGTTAATAATATACTATTATTGCCAGCCTATAGGACTCTCTCGGAAAAAGCTAAACTTAGCCCCGCCCACCCACCCGTTCTCTCATTTTTTTCTTCTAAAATAAGAAAGATCATATACTTAAACACCCCCCCCCCCACCCACCTCCACTTCGGTGATTAATTTTATCTGCTCTGAATGAAAGGTGGATCTTATACAGAAATAGAATTAGTCGCTAAAATGAGAAATATAGCCCCGCCCACCCACCCTGTCTCCATTGTGATGATTTTTTCTATTCGTCGTGAGTCAAGGGGCAGACCTTAACTGCAAAATCCCTATTTCTTTACAAAAAAGTAGACACATATATTAAAAAAGTTTTTTTTAATTTGATGTGACCACTTGCCAAAATAGAATTCAATTTTCATCCTAGGGGAAATAAAATATGCCAATGAAATTCAAAAACGAAGGTGGGTGAAGTCAGTTTTACCTTTTTTTGTATAGATTGCACGATTTCTCATAGTTAAACACCCTTTTGGTATTTTCTAATTTTCAAAGTGAATCCGAAGTTTGCATTTTTTGAAATACCAATTTCAAGGATTTGAAAATACTCAAGGAATTTGTGTAACGTCTTTAAATTTTTGTTGGCCTTGAATCTTTGAAATTTGCCAGAAAAGGAATGTTTCGGATTAATTTTGAAAAACTCGTAGAAATTTTGAGGATACTAGAAATGTGGTATAGTCAAAACTAGGACCAAAAATAGATCGATACTTGATAACATCGTCAACATATTTTTTATTATGAAGGTCTTCAAGGCCTTGAGAACACTGAATTTACTTGCAATAATAAAAATAATTCATTAATACATTACAATGAAAAAATGAAAACAACCTAATAAGAGTGAAAACTACATAGTATTGTTTGAACAACACGATATTCAAAAACATGTTTTACATGATCATTTCTTGTAGAGAAATAAAGCTTTTAAGCTCCACCTCCTTGGCTCACGATGAATAACAAAAATCATCACAATTGAGATAGGATGCGTGGGCGGGGTTAATATTTTCATTTTTTTCTTAATATACGTAGTTTCATATGACACTCCTTGTAGAAAAATACGGAATTTGCAATTAAGCTCCGCCCCGCTTGGCTCACGACAAATCATTGTTTTTCTATTTCTTGGTTGTTCAATTTCCCTTTTTTTAGATTTTAGTATAATGGTCCAAATTTGAAAAAAAGATGTACAACTGACTTTTTCCACATTTATAAATGTTATAAGTTTGCTATTGCATTATGGAAAATATTAAATTTGGTTTGCGAACTTGAGATACAGTACAAATGTCCCTGACAGTAATGATGTGCTGTTATCGTACAGTGATAAAGATATCAGTGTAGTGTTAAAATAAATATTTTTAATAAATTCACAAATATTTAGGTACTTACAAGCAGGCTTAAATCAAATGTCCTTAATAAATGGAATGGTTTTATCAACAAATTATAAATTTAAACAAAATAATCTCATTCGAAGTCTATAGCATTTAAAAACAAAAATAAATTTGTATGAACTACTTCCTCTATCAATAAATAAGTATCCCGTTTGGTGAAAATTTTTGAAAAAAATCGAAAATTTATTGAAGGACATTCAATTTTTACGGGTATAAAGGAGTACTTCAAAAATATATAAAAATTAAATGTTGAAGTAAATAAATTTAGGTCATTAGATAGAAAAAAATCCAGATTCTTTGAAAAATTATAAAACTTCATATTTATAAAATTTTATTTATAATTTTTATTATTATATACAAGCAAAACTAGAAGTACAGATCAACAAAAAAATAACTATATTAAAACAGCAAATTAAAAAAAAACAAAAACAATAATCCTGGTCGCCAAATATATCGTAAAAAAATAATAACAACCTCATAAAAAAGAATCATCTAGTTGGTGACATAATAAATTGAATAACTTTCGTTTAATGCGCTACTAATCTGGAATAATGGTAATCCGCTTAAACAGAACGACTTAAAATTAAATGGATGTCTAATATAAAAATAAAACAAGCCACACATCAAGTCACTTTAAATTTAAAAGTCTGTGTTTCAACATAATTAAAAACTGAAAAACCAAGACTCCAGCACCAGCAGAAGAAATTCCTTAATAGCGAAATTTAGTGTAAAAATAATTACACCCAACCCTAAAAAGTTAAATATGGTAAATCTTTAATCAATAAAAACTACCTACAATTTGTGCAGCACTGTTCTAAATTTTTGTCGAGGTTTATGACAGAAATCCCCTTCTTAACATCGTAAACTCCATTGCTAATACATCTGAATCTTAAATGAAATAAAAATTTTAAATTTCTTCCATTTCTAGATAATCTCAGTGTACAAAACTTGCATGAAACCAAGAACCGCCTAATGCTGAGTTATTGCGAAAGCATTTCGTGCGGAATCCTTGCCTGATTACTAAAAATTTTAGTACACGGGAAATTGTAGCTAATAAATTCGTAATTACATTGCACAGTGTACACAGTGATACGAATACATGTTTCAGAATCCTGGGAAGTCCTTATGATAATTAACTAAAGTCTCTACGGAGTTCGTCATATACACTGCAAAATACCACCGTTGCTGTAACATCATGAAACCCACTTTATTTAATTATCGACACCGCAAAACGTGGCGCCATCCGCATTGTAATTTGATCATTTCACGTGGGCAGATTTTAATGCAACAATAAAACTGAAACTAAAGGTTGCACAAAAATTTAAATAAAAATGCACTACCAACAAATTATGACATTACTTTACATTTAGCTATAATTACGTTGATAATAACGGTTACGAACGCCGACGAATAAAAACATTCCCGTGTAAAATACGGTAAGAATAAAATTCCTTTTCGATGAGACTAGTTTATAACTCAGATTTCATCAACTATTTGAAATATTTGACGATAACTTTAGGTGAAAATTTAATAAACTCGATGATGGTGGATCGTTGATGTCACGGTTTATTCGTTTTATCGTTAAAAATACAATGTAATTGCAACAGACTATAGTACCACGAGAGTGGTACAATTTGACGTTTAAATTAATTAATTATTCACATTAAAATACTCACCGGCTTTAATGGTGCCTTGAAAGGTAGGAAACGCGTACCGTCGATAGGACGTCCCATTGGCAGGTATTTTTCCCATCTGGAACAAACTTAAATCATATCGTATGTGCTTCACTAGCGCCATCCGTCTTACAGCAGGGCTTCCTACTACGACATATTAACAAATTTCTTTTAAACACCTACAAAAATACATAAAAAGTTTAATGTTCCCAGCAGCTTCATTTTCATTCAAATTAATCATCAATAATAGGTTTAAGTCGTGCGAGAACTACAAGGATTATACGAACAAACTTATTCAGGTTGTGCATACATATCACATGTATGTTTTCAGCAGAAGTTCAAATCGGAAATTACTCTAAACAGTAAAGCAATAAAAAACATCAAGGAAGCTTTGAAATTTGCCGCTTCGTTGTGATGACGGATGACTACTCGTCGCCTGTCACAAGTGTCAATCATAACCTAACTTTCTCAAGTGTGAGAATCCCCTCGAAGCAAAATGGGGGTCACTTTGAACATTTCTTGTTAATTAAAGCAACGGATGTACTGACACTAGAAAAATAGTGCTAAATAGTGTAAAATAAGATAAAATACGAATATAGTCTTCTAAGATTTTCGATTTCGAATTTCAAGAAATATAATCAACAAAAAAGTTTCAATTTCTTTTTTTTCTTTTTTTTTTTTTTTCTTCTTCTGCTCCATTACGACCCTTTCCCAAAGAAACAGCATATCTGGTGACTTTACTAACGTACAAAGGACGCAACAGGAAATGGTAAACGACTATCCTCATTTTCGCGCATAAGTTTAATATCTCTTTTACAAAAGATATATTGGGTCGCTATTATGACACTAATACCTATTTCACCGTATGCACCAAGAGTGCCACACTAAGAATGCGGAAATTACTGCGCGTTCAGTCCTGCTTTATCTGGACCACAGGTTATGTTCCTCCATATCTCTTCTTTCTTCTCTTTCCCTGTAGGGAATATCGGAAATTTACCTTGACACTGAAAAATTTTAATCCGATCTTGCTGATCTGCACTGTGATTCCGTAAAATTTTTAGAGCTTAGGAACGGTTATTCAAGTTAATTTCATTACTTACATTTACGTATATCATATCTGACTGATTTTACGGTTACCTGCTACACTATAACTGCCTTAACTAATAACGTGCTATTAACAAAGAAAAAGAGTCCTCAAGTTAGCATTTGAACTTTGGCTGCTTTTTTTGCTGATTTTATATACAACATAGAATTTTTTTTTGCAAAATTTCGAACAAATTTTGGTATTAATTTTCGTGATAATTTTCGAAGTACATACTTCTGTGACGTGTAACAACGCTCTTATCAAAATTTACCAAAATTTATGAAAATAGACAGGAGAGACATGTGTCTGTGCTATTTGTCCCACCGCCTACTATCTAGTTCCAGTTCCCTACCGGTGTAAACCGTACAGCGCCCTCTCTTTGTTAACGCTTTAATATTTTCAGCGCCATCTATTAGTTAATAGTGCAACAACTTCATAGAAATCTGGATATTTTTGGCGAAATTAAAAATTGCTATGATTAGAAGACATACTGTAATTTTCACCGTTTACAATAATTCAGTTATCGTTCAATAGATGACACTGCGTTACATATTTTTACTAGAGTTTTGTTTACAAATGAGCGTCATCTATTGACAGGCAGCTTATAAGCCGCAACATTTATACAGGGTAAAATTCAAAGTACTGTTGTATAATTTTAATGGCGAATTATACGGAAAAAATATAAAAAAAGTACAATAAAACTATGATCACTTCTCAAAAATAGCTAACTGAGTTGCTTTGGAAATGCCGTTTTTACGTATTTCTTTGGTAACATCTAAAAATTGAACGAACTGTTGCCAAGGTGTTACAATAAAAATTGTAATTAGCCACCCTGGAAAGTAATTTTGTTCATTCACGAAATTTTAAAACTCTCTGATCACAATATTTTAAAGAAGGGACCCCATGCTCTGTTTAGTTTTATTTACGTATTTTTGCCATATAATTCGCCATTAAAATAATGCTTTCAATCACCCTGTATATGTTGAAAATATATTTAGGTATTTGATATAAACTCCATGAAATTATGTAACGCAACTATGCATTATTATATACCGTGTGATGACTGAGTCTGTTGACAGTACTTTTTAAACAAAAATTTGAACTTTTCCTCCGTTTATATTGGCATAACGCAAGTAACTGTGTGACGAATGCGTCAATCGTGACATGGGGTAAATTTAGGATATATTTTGAATATATTCTACAAATTAAAAATGTTACCAATTTGTCAATCTTGGCAGCTGACAACCATGAATTATTGAAAACATTATGAGACCAATTTGAACTAAAAATCCAGGACTGTCAACTGACTCAAGTCATTTTTGCTCACGCGGTACCTATTTAGCACGAACATGAAATTAACAATTTTACAATATTATCTCGTCCTACTTAAAAAATCATACAGTCGCGGCCAGAAAATCTGGGACGTCATTTTCCTGATATTTTGAAAATTTTGATGTAGTCCATGCTTTATTGTCACTTTGAAGTTTAAAAGATTTGTCACATTTGTCACGCCGCATCCAGTGTTAGCATGTCTTCAACGTCAAAAATGACAAAACTAAAAAATAAGGTTACAATACTTAAAGATGTTTCACATTTTATGACAGAGGAATGACAATAACGTCCAAAATTTTCTGGCCGCGAATGTATGTTCGTATTGTCAAAAATCACCTAATTGCTGAGCACAACACACTATTGATCAAAACAAATTGCTAATACAGAATTATTGTTTCTGTCAATTTTTGACATCTATCAAAAATAAAGAATTTTACCTTTCAGGAACACCCATTTTTGTGTTGATCATCTTGTTAAGTAGTACAGAATATTTACACAATCGCAGATTTTTTTTATAGTTAAAATTTTGAATTCTACACTATACTTTGCATTTGAGTACGTGTACCTTTCTGTCATAGACAGCTGCCACTGACACTGGTTGCCAGCTGCCACTGACACTGGGTGCCAGTGTTGCCACTAATCGAATTGCGGCGTTGCCAAGTTTACAACGTGTAAACAATGACATACAAACTCAAATCAAAATTAAATTTGCAGTTTATTTCTTCGTAATCACAAAATAATGAAAAATATGTAGTGTAGGACAGAAGACGATTTAACTCGGTTTGCTATCCATATCTCTGGTACGTGATTTTATTTTCCGCTGCAGTTTGCATGTGCCCATATCTGAAGTCCAATAGTACTGAGTCATGCAATTATCTATTTGATATTTTTAGAACTCTTATTCTGTAGATCACATGTATTTTTTATTTCTTGTTTAGGATCAGAACTTATAAAAATCGACAATTTTGACCATGTTGGCCAGTAATTTCTTTCTCCTCAGTTGGCAACACTGTTGCAAAATTGTCAAGTGTTAATGTTTTGATTTTGGCGGTGTTATCTCTTCTGTACTATTACTATTGTTACATTATTCTATATAACGAATTTATTATTTAGATGCCCATATTTTTTTGATTCCTTCAAAGTGACTTTCAAGTATTTGTGAAAACAAGTTTAGGGTTAAGGGAGGTTGGATCTAGCTTTTGTTAAAGTCCCTAGACATCCAGGGACAAGAGTTTTTGCTAAAGTAACTAATAAATCTATTATTATTTTTAGAAAGTATGGAAACTGGAAAGAGAGGAACTTAATCTCTGTGCCACGCAAAGATAATACGACAATAATAATAATTTCTTTATCGAATGCTTGGTACCAATGTCGAAACAGTCAAAGACAGTTTGTTGTGTTTGTGTGTTTATAATTTGAGGTTACGACAGATTGTAACAAAATTTTGGAGTGTCATTTTTTAATATTTCTATTAAATGTGTTTGGAACTGACAAACGGAAGAAGGTGGATTTTTTGGTGCCCCGTTGTGGAGAACAATTTTAATGGAATGAAGGCATGTTTAACTTAAATAAATAATGTTGATAAGTAAAAACAAAGAAATACAAAAACCAGAAAAAAAATTAAAAAACCATTGAATTAAAAAACTTTATGCACCCCCTATACCTTATCGTGTATCGTGGCACTCATACGTCTTAAGTACGCTGTAAGCATAACAGGTATATCTACAGCATACAGATAATCAATCCCCCTTGACCAGGTTTTCGAAAATAAGAACCTATATGATTTCTTCGCTTTGCCATACAACTTATGGTCGAACGATGTCTTCCTATGGCATTTGATACATAACGCATCCAGCAAAGTTGATGCCCTTATTGCCGTTTCTCAATTCATGTTTTCACTTTAAGACAACTCTACTTCGCACAATCGATAATAAAAATTCGCCAAAGACAACGTAGCCTTTACTAAATTTTTTGGCTTCCAAACGGCTTTTAATTGACACAATTGAAAATTAGACATAGAGGTATACGGGATGGCCATAATAAAAATAAAAAATGTCTGCTGTGAAAAACCCGGAAAGTAAGAAGAACAGATATATATTGTCACATGTCACATTAAATCGTATAGCGCCCTCTCTTGGTTGATGTTTTAATATTCTGATTTAGCCCTGCAGCGCCATCTGTTAGTTAATAGTGCAACAATTGCATAGAAATCTCGCTACTTTTGGCGAAATTCAAAATTGTTGCGGTTAATAAAAGATGTACTCATGCAATCATTTTTATCAGTTTCAATAATTCAACTGTGGTTCAGTAGATAACACTGCTCTACATCTCTCTCTATATTACAGTTTTCTTTGCGCACGGACGTCATCTATTAACAAGCACCAGAAGCAACATTGTTACCTTTATTCACTTGATGAAAACTACGAATGTACTTACTATGTAGTGCAACTACACACTACTACATATATAGAAATCTGTGTTAGCACAAACAGGAAATTAACGATTTTACAATATTATTTACACAAAAATAATATCTTCATATTGTCAAAAATCACATACTTGTCAATAATAACAACACACTTTTGATGAAAGCAAGTTGGCTAAGACAATATTATTATTTCTGTTAAGTTTTGACAACTGTCAAAAAGGAATTTTACCTTTCAGGAATACCCCTTTTTTTGTTGGTCATCTTGTTGTGTGGCACATACTATGTACACGATCACAGGATTTTTCTACACAAAAAATTTTAAATACTACACTAAACAGGGCACTTGAACACGTGCACTAGCTACGTCACAACTGCCACGGGTTACCAGTGCTGTCACTGATACGCATTGCGTCGTTGCCAGGTCTACAACATGTGGACACTGACATACAAACTCAAATCAAAACTAAATCAGCTGTTTATTTCTTTGTGATCACAAAATATGAGAAATATGTAGTGTACGGTCGAGAAGACGATTTAGCTCGGTTTGCAATCCATATCTCCATAATTATTTGGCTTGATTTTGTTTACTTCCTCTAGAACGTTTTTTTCAAGTTCTAGTAATTGCTTGGGCTTTTTATACTGCAACAAAATGTACACTTCAATTTAACCAAGTTTTATAGACAGAATTGTACTCACCGTTATTATTAACGTGTTGAATTTGTGTGTAATTCGTACGGCTTCTTGTACTGGTTGTAAATATAGTCTATCTAGTTCAGGAATCCTGAGTACCTTATAGTACTTCTTGTTAGTTGTCCTTACCACTAAACTTTTTTTTTCTTCATCAACTACAACGGAATACGTTTCAATGGGGTATGGCAAATTTCTAATTCGCCATTCGAGATTTATCCGTGTATTTCTCCGTGTTACAACTGGCTGTAAAAATTGAAAAACGTTTTATTGCAATTTACTAAATAAAACCTCATACATACCTGAGTAGAACTTTCTTTAATAAACAGGAGTTGTTCTTTATTAAAATTTACTTCGGGGTCTCCCAACTCTATGTCCCACTCTCCTTCAGCATCCATTCCATTTTTGAGTTTCCACGCTCTTCGAGTGACTACATTTGTATCAGTGTTATATTCTTCCACCATCTCTCTACCATTTCCAAAATCATAGTGTACCTTTTTTAAATTGTTCTGTACCATGCATGACTTTTTGGCATTTTTAACTTGACTCAACCAGTCCGTCATTTTTCAAACGATTGATTAAACAAAATTTTATACTCATGTCGTTTCCATAGCAGCTCACGACTGTCAAATTTTTGGTTATGTTTACGCGATCAGATGTAAAAGGCGGCGTTGCCAACTGTTTGGGCGCCAAATTCGACTCGGCGGATTGGCAAAAACATAACATAAAGCAGTTGTTAATAGCGTTTAATGCTAAAATTAGTGATTGCCATAACAAATAGTTCCAAGTCAGTGTTAATTAAATGGAATGGGGCAACTAATACCAAATTGAAATATTATTTAACATTACTAGCATGGTAAGAGGGTTTTTACTGCTTTGGAAACGCAAATCACTTTATAAAAATGAATGTGCCACAAAATATTATTGCTGTAGCAGCAAATGTAGCCGCAAATTTGCTCCCCGAAAGCAAATCAGCAAGATACGAACGCGAATGCGCTGAGTTCAAAAAATGGCAAAAGAAAGAGAACGTGATTGGTGTCACGGAAGACATTTTATTAGGGTATATCAATCATTTGTCTAACAAATTCAGCCCGAATTCTTTATACTGTAACAAGATGTAGAATTTAATTTAAACAAGTTTTATAGACAGAGTTGTACTCACCGTTATTATTAACGTGTTGAATTTATGAGCAATTCGTACTGGTTGTAAATATAGTCTATCTAGTTCAGGAATCCTGAGTACCTTGTAGTACTTCTTGTTAGTTGTCCTTACCACTAAACTTTTTTTTTCTTCATCAACTATAACGGAATACGTTTCAATGGGGTATGGCAAATTTCTAATTCGCCATTATGGTCGAAGTGGTCAATGATTAAGAGTTTTTTGGAAGTTAGAGAAAACATTGACGTTCGCAGGTTTGTTTTTTCTTTCTATTTTTTTTTTTGTTCAGGTTTTTATTCGTTGTTTGCAGATTTCACAAAGTGGTTGCGTTTTTGAAAAAACTAAATAAACGCTATGTTTCCAAGAAAGCTAAAACTCTTCCGGAGCAAGTGGAAAAATTTATACCTGAAGCCCCTGACAAGAAGTGGTTGCTTGCCAAAATTGTCACCATTTTTAGTATATTTGGTTGTTGTCGGTGTGATGAGCTTCTATCCCTCACTTTAAATGACGTGGAAGATTTCGGCAAATGTATTGTTGTCACCTTAGGCGAAACCAAAAATTTTACAAGTAGGAGGTTTACAATAAAGGAAGATGGGTGTAGTTTTAAACCTTGCGATATTTATCGAAAATATGCGGCTCTACGGCCTCAGAAAAATAAGGACCTGCGGTTATTTTTGACATATCGAAACGGAAAATGTGTCGCCCTCAATGCAGGTTAACATACTCTTGGTACAGTACCTAAGAAAATTGCTGAATACCTAGGATTACAAGAGCCTGCACTGTATACAGGTCACTCATTTAGACGAACTGGAGCAATGATGGTTGTTGAAGCGGGTGGGGATATTTTAACTTTGAAGCGTGCAGGGGGATGGAAATCAACAATTGCGGATAGATCAAATTGTCAAAAACATTCCCGCTTGAAAAATCTACACCATCTTCTATAGAGGATACACATGGGAGTCCAAGTAACATTGCCTGAAAATTTCAACATTAGTGGAAATAACTTCACCATATTTAATTTAAACGATAATAATAAGACATAATTTTTTGTAATGTTAAAAATAATTAAATTGTTATATATAAACTTTGGCTCTCATTTCAAATTATAATATTATAAAATTTTTACATGCTATAGCCAGTTAAGTGACATTTTCATGTTGAATACAGTGACTTGGTAAATTGATGTTTACAAGTAAGGAACAAATAAAGAAACTAACATTAGACTTGAGAGTTAGAGGTTCGGGTTTGGTGCTATAAAAAAACTCACGCATATACAACAAACGTTGTTATACAAATAGCATTTTATTATTAATTAAACATTAAACAAAAATTGACAGAGTTACAAACTTAACTGGTATAAATAAATTAACGTAAAACTGTAACTATCAAAATTGATAAAATACAAAACATAATCAAAAGCATGGCATGGTATTTACAACTACTATAGTATAAAACTACTTCAGAAACTTTGGATAATAATTATCTGTCGTATCTGCTTAGAATATGTAAAAATAGAATTATAGCCATCACAGGCTCAGGAAATTCCAACATACCAAAGCAATATACCAGATATTGCCGATGGTTAACATATCAAATGTATTTTACTTGGCTTCACACACAAATAATTATACCCTAAAACACAGCCCTTGTTGAAAATAAATCTAATTTATAAACCCTTAAATGTATATTCTGTCACATTATAAAACCTATCGATTAATGTAAATACCTGATTACATTGAGCTTACTTTTGCATTATATTTACATCATATAAAGAAAGCTTATCACAAACTGAACACATTATCATCTAATCACAATTCTCAACAATTCTTTTATCCACTTGGTGTGCTTACATAGTTAAAAAAATATAGTCAATCCAAAACGCTTTCAAAAATATGTTTTTCTTTTCGATTATATTTTTTAGATAATCTAGTACTCTCTTGGAAGAGTATAGAAATCTGCAGGTCACCTGTTTTCACCGACAAACACCACATCTACCCTACATACTAACGTTCTAATACATCTTATAATTAACAAAATAACACAAAACTGCAAGGTTATTTTCGTTTCTCTGTAAATTTGGTTTCATTCAATTTACTTCAACAACTGCCAAGTAAAATACCTTCCCTCAAATAAAGCACATCGCGATATTTTTGTTTTACGATTTCATTAGATTCTACATGCAGTTAACAATATATCAAGTTGTATGTATAATAATTATCAACACTGACCATAAGAATAATATAGACCATTAATTTTTTATCCATGCAAACAATAAAACATTACAGGACATGCAAGTTGCCATCTGAGCTTCAAAAACACCAATTGTGAACCGAAGCTGGAAAACAGTAGTACATCTTTTTTTTTAAATTAACATCAACATAGTCTTTTGACGATCGACAATTTTGTCATTACGATATAAATCATCTCCATGTTTCACGTTTTAACACAAAATCTGTGATACCATCTTTGACGTATTAATTTGTAAGTATTCCAATAAAAATTTAACGACTACATATCCTAAACTAATAGGAACTATAACAAAACACTGCATTTTGCCTACAATTGAAACAACACACTCTAAAAGTGTACAGACGGGCGAACAAAAAAAGTAAAAAAGTATTGGATCAATTTCAAATTCATATAAATAACTTTCATAAAAATATATTATATATCATCTGTGTAAAACTAAAATGCTTAATAGAGATTCAAATTTTGATGATTACAACTCTGTTAATTATCTTCCTGTAACGGTTGACCCTTTTTTAACCTATCTAAAATTTTATTAACATAGTCTGTAGTGAAGCCTGCCACTTTCGTTCCTAAAACACAACACAAATAAATCTCAATTAACACAAACAGATATATGAACTTACTTGTTGCAATTTTGAATGTGTTTTCTATCCGACCAGAGAGATCTTCTTGTTTGTCAGGAGCTTGTTCTTGCAGCTTGGCCATCAATAATTCTTTACTCTGCATAATCCCGTTTAGCAAGTTCCCTTAAAAAAAAAAAATCCTCAATGATCCGTCTTAGTATTGACAGTGATACTTACGGTGCTCTGACTCCAATCCGCTTAATTTGATCTTGTTGGCTTCATGTTGCGCCTTTTTCTTTAAGCGACAAGCCCTGGAGGCTAACTTGTTCTTCTCCTTTCTTGATTTCGGTCTCACGTTAAAAGGCAGTTCGCTGACTGGCGTCATGTCGTTGATAATCCGCCCTAACTTGTCCAGTTCTTTGCCAATATTAAAAAGCTTACGCGCATTCGGCGTTAAATCATTTCCATCCCCTTTACGAGCTTTGCCGCTATGTTTTATACCTCTAACAGAACAATCAGGGCTAAAAACCGGATCAGTTATTTCGTTAAGGACGTGTGGATCTTCCATTTTACATTTCATTACCAGCCGCTGGCCCTTTGGCCCTTTTGCTTGGACATTATATTGCCAGAAAAATCTTTCTTTCTTGCTAGAATGTCTAGGCACGTGTTCATCATCATCAGAATCTAGAAAGAAGAAGTTATTTTTAATTTTGAGTATTCGAGAGTGTGGAAGAAAGCCAAAATGATTGTCTCGGTACTTATTTTAAAGAGGTCGCATCCGTGTTTGCGAAATTTATTTCTTTTGAAAAATTTCAGGGAATTAGGTTTCCAACCGAAATAGTCCTCATTACACCCACAAGAGGCTAAATATGGCGATTGAAGTCAAATTTAGACGGTTTACATAACGCAATCAACAATTTCAACTATGTATTGTTAAAATAAAAAACTCCACTATGCTTGAATGGATGATGCAATACGTATTAGCATTTCAAAGCGAACTTGTAAAGAAGTTTTGCACAAGCTGTTCCAACTAGCGCAAAAACAATACGTTTGAATGTGTGTATTTATGGTTATTCTGTATTGCAAATACAAGAAAAATTAAAACACCTTAGGTTGCACAACGTAGACAAAACATTTCATTAGCAAATGATAGTACATCCCGCACCGCCGAGACAGCAGTTAAGAATTAACATCAATATTTGCATAACTCCCTGAACTTTTATCTCTCTGACCTTAGAAATAAAATTCAACTGGCCTTTCTCATACTGTTCAATAAATTTCATGGCATAATTTTTGATGTTAACTGCAAGCACGCGCTGAAATTTAGAAGTTCCTTAACTCCTAACACAATGCTATGAATTATTCAACTTTAAACACGGTCTATTGAAAAATCGTACAAAGTGTTAGTATTCACGTTATCAAAACTTCCGCAAACGATAAATCTGTACCCATTGTGTAAAAAAATCCACATAAATTTGTGAAAGCAAAATTACCACACTCATCAAATTTTCTAAAATGAAAACAATTTCTGCGAAATATTGCGTGTTACAAAAATAGTTTTGCCAGATCACAAATATGTTAATCGTTTTAAATTCTAGAAAGCATGACAAAAAAGGGGAGATGTTTCCATAAGTAATTGAAGTGTCTTGGAATATTCATACACATACTTGTTATTACAAAAGTCGATGAATAATGCAGACTGTCCCTGCATTTATTTTTCAGTTGAAACATACACACACATTCATTAGTCAGATGAATCGATTATACACCAACTAATGCATAAGCGTGAACGAACTAAATTCATCTCTTTTAAAAACACACTTTGTTTTTCTTCCTGCAACTTAAAGTGAGTTTAAGGAGTGTGTAATTAAACTTTGCGAGATTTATAGCAACGTTTTTATAGCTTGTGAACATTAAAATGTTTTTTTAAACATCTAAAAGGAGAAAAATCTCATTTTTTCATGTATATTGCCTATCATTTATCAGCTATAAAAAAAACTTACAGCTAGACTAGGTGCAAGAAATACAGTTGAATTTTTAAATCGCCAAATTTCAGTTTTTAAGTTATTAAATTAATTGCCAATAAATAGCTCAACTGAAGAAATTACCACATAAAATGCACCTAACGTGTCAATATATTTTAGTTTTTATCGTATTTGTTGTTAGTGGTAATCACCTTTTGCCTTATCATTGTTTATTTTTATTATTATGACTTATTATCAAATAGCGACATAAACAAAAAATATCGATGACAAAAAGCTACCGACAATGCTAGTCGTAAAATGTAACATAAAGAATGGAATCTTCTCTACGAGTCAACAAATAATAAGTTGCACGCATTTTGACAATGCTAATGTCAATTTACATAATTGCAAACTTGATATACTTTCTGTTTAATTGGTTTCACTTTGTAAATTCGCATTAGCAAGTAGGTATAGCAATATAAAAAGTATTGTGTTTGTTGTGGTATTAAATATTTTTTATGTACAGTTTGGGACACGGAATTTCAAACGACCTGTCAATCATAATGACAATAAGGTATAAGACTACAATGTTTTTAAATGTCAGAAAGTTGGTTGTCGTTTGAAATTCCGTGTCCCTAACCGTACATATTAATAATAAAATTCAGATGGAATACATTTACTACTTTATCATGTACTGAAGTCCATTTAAAATGAATATTCAAGTAATTGTTTTCCACGTATCATTGTTTACAATTCAACTTTATTGAAAACAAAATACCGCTTCCAGTACAAAGGAAAAATCACCCACTTTATCTCACGCTTTCGAACAGCCCCACCATTTCAATTTTTTAAATGATACTACCCATCTCAAGACACCAAAGATATTACGTTACTTTTTTTGCTGCTACGACGAGCAAATAGTGACCCTATTAAAAAAAAACATGATATTATTTTCAGGAGACACACTTTAGAGTTATAATCACTAATGATAAATTTTGCTATCTTCATGATTTCCTCAAAGTACATGTAAAATTGCAGTGTAATTGGTACGGTAGTTTTGGATAACTATCTTATATGGGCAAATTTCCAACAGAGAGACGTCAACAGATGACAGGCAGATGAAAGTGGGCGAACTTACACAAACCAATTAATGTTGGCATGTATTTCTCCTATTAATGCTTCTAAGAATACCAACAGCTTGTTTTTTATTTGTGACTGTCCTTAAACTTTTGTCTTTTTTTAAAACATTTCATCGTATCATGTTCTTGCTATTTTTCTGTTTTTAAGGACATTCTTGACGGATTAGAATCATCCAATTTTTCTGATTTGAAAATCTTAGAATTAAAGAAATTTTAATGTTAATCGTCGTGATTACTTTCTTGCTTATTGTTTTAATTTTTACTTTCCCCGCGTAAGCGAAGGAAGTATTGTAATCAAGTCTACTTTTACGTTTTCTGCACCTTTCATGACCCCTACAGTACGAAGGAATAGGTCTCCCGTTTCCGTCCGTCCGTCCGTCCGTCTGTTTTTGTATTTATATTAAGAATATCATGTAGATGGTAAAACGCTGACCAAAATTTGTCTAAACATCCCTACCAATAATGTGATGACGTCACTTCAAAATTGTACATACATAGTATAGCCCCTAGAAATACATAGTATCGTCATCCATTGTTGTAAGAGTGGAGCAAATGCAGTTGGTAACGCAAAAAATTCCCCTAGTTTGGAACCAAATTGTGTCAGGAGAGAGTTGACAGCGCGTAAACCGTTGTTGTCACGTGGTCTTGGCGTGGTCTTTTTGTTTAAAGCCAATTAATTGTCAATTAATATAACTAATAATTATTAAATAAGATTTTATTGATTAAATTTTATATTTTATTCAAATTAAAAATCCATATTTTGTATATAAACTACAGACTTTAAATTCAACAACAACATAAAACCATTTTAAATTTCGCGATCTGTCAAATGGTGTCAATAATTTTTGCTTTTGTTAAGTTTCCGCCAGGTTTGCTCGACGGTGACGATACTATGTGTTTTTTAGGGGCTATAGTACATAGTAAATGGGTTTTAAATAGTATAAAATAACATAGTCCTATACATGTAGTTTATTATTCCATCTTGAGTTTTTACTCGAAACGTCCAGATTTTTGAAAAAAAAATCAAAAATATATTTTGCAATTTAATTTTGAATCTGCAAAACCGGATTCTTTGAAATCTTGCAAATGTTTTAAAGTTATGATAAGCATAATTCAAAATATATTTACTTATCCCCTCCAAAAAATTGATGACGTCAGCTCAAAATTTTATCGAATAAATGCTATCTAAAATGTTCAAAATATGATGAGTTTATACATACTTGCGATTTATCATTCAATTTATAGTTCTTATATAGGGTGACTCAAAACAATTAATGCATACGTGAATTTATTTTATTGATTTAATCATAAGCATGGTAAATTTTTGATCAAAATGTATTTGCTCATCCTTCCTAAAATATTGATGACGTCACCTCAAAATATTGCTGAATAATGTGCAAAATATGATGAGTCTATACTGGAAATTTATCAGTGCATTCATATTTTTTAGATCTGCTTATACAGGGTGACTAAAAAAAAACAGGATGAATCAATTTATTTTATTAAATAAATCACGAATTGCAAAAATGAATACTCTGAAATCTTGCAGATGTTTTAAAATTATTGTAAACATATAACCAAATATATCTGTTTATTCCCTCCAAGAAATCGATGACGTCATCTCAAAATTTTGCTGAATAGGTTCTACCCAAAATGTGCAAAATATGATGAGTTTTTACTTGTGATTTATCACTGCACTTTAGATTTGCCCCCTATTTTCGCAAAGGATGTCATTTGCCAAAATTAGTCTTTTATCTTAGCAAGGACTAGCCCCGCCAGCCCACCCTCGATTTTCTTCGAAGGTATGGGATTTGCCAAAATCAATTTTATCTTAGCAAGTACTAGCCCCGCCCACCCACCCCCTATTTTCTCAAAGGATTGTCATTTGACAAAATCAGTCTTATCTTAGCAAATAGTAGCATTTTGGCAAATGACATACTTTCTAAGAAAATAGAGGGCGGGTGAACGGGGCTAGTATTTACTGAGATAAGATATATTTTGACAAATGTCATCTCTTCTGAGAAAATAGGGGGTGGGTGGGCGGTGCTAGTACTTGCTAAGATAAAACATATTTTGGCAAATAACATACCCTCGTAGAAAATAAGGGGCGGGTGGGTGGGGCTAGTACTTGCCAAGATAAGACTGATTTTGTCTCTATTAAACTTGTTAAATTTAAAAGGTGTTAGATTGCAAACTTCCATAACAACGAGTTAAATTCCTAAATCTGATCGGGCGTTTATTTTTTATGTTTCAATCTACTTCAGGAGCGAGGGAAGTTCTGTTGAAACAACTTTGGACCAATTTTTTTAAAACATTTTAAAGGCTTTAGGGAACTTTTACATCATAGGAAAAATTGGTTTAGAGTTAGACAGAACTGCTCCATTCCTGAAGTAAAGAATTGCGTTATTATTATTATTTTTTTTATGACAATCTCTACAACACCGATGGCCAGATTTCTTACAAAAAGAGCCATTATTTTTTGGATGAAATTTGTGAGAGCCAGAATTTATATGGAAAAGACAAAGACTACTGGTTGTATTTTTGTTAAAAACGTATGTCTTTTTTTGGTTGATTATTTCGTGAGCGAGCCGCAGAACGGACTCAAAGAGCCGCATGTGGCTCAACAATACGCGTGCATTTTTGAATTACATGTAAAGCTTTAACGTCGATTGTTAATGTTTATATATTGAAAGAATACGACTATTAAGCACATACTAAGTTGTCTCCTCAAAACAGGAGGTGACCAAAATTATTAATTAAGCTGCAAGGTAACATCACGGTATTCTCAAATTTTCGAAAAAATGAGATAAATCGTGATTTGATTTAATTAATAAAAAATGTCGATGAAACCATTCATGGTGTAAAAAAAATATATACTATGAAGATGGGATTCATAAACCAAGTGAAACACATGGAAAATATTACGGATAAAAAATGTCTACTGGAGTATATTATTTTGTAAGATTTAGATAACCTTTGCCATGCGAAATGAAAAGAAGAAATAATTTTTGGAAAATCCAAAGCTGATGATGCAACCTTAAGGCGACACAGATTTTAAACTGTTTTTTCTGTTAATTTCTCTTTTCGAATTTCAGACTTTTTATCTTTGAAAATCATTGAGATATTAAACCATCGTATATTTTTTTTAAGCGTCAAAGCAAACGAGATACAAATCAAGGACTAAACCATTAAAAAAATAAAAAACACTGTATTTAAGGCACGTAAAAAACAGATTCCATTTTATGTAAAAAGAAACAGTTAAATGTCATTAAATAAAAATGAAATGGTGATCTAATGCTATTCGTATATTCCGTATAAATTTCTTTGTGTTTATTAACCATTTTCAATTTCAGATTTTTGACTTTTCAAATAACGGAAATTTTGCAATGGACACCCGGTATATGAAGGGACCTCTAACCAAACCCTAATCTCAAAAGGATAATTTTTATTATCAATCCAGACTTAAAAACGATCTTGTCCTCAGAAAACCTATCTTAGCACTCCTCGACCCTGTTTGAAGATCAATTTCACTCATTAATATAGGAGTATATATTTTTATATTTTATCCGCTCTAAATTAAAGATATTTGAGTACCCAATGCCAACAAAACCATAAAGCTGAAATGTAAAAGTTCCCTACGGGTGAAAATTCTGTTGTTAACTTATTCTGTGCTTAATGTCTAAAATACTCCGTGTTTACTATCAGATAAAAATAAAGTCTAATTTGAAAATGAAACGCAATTTAAAGTATGCATTGTTTGTTGTTCTATTTGGACGTATTTTTAGTCAACTTACAATGTTGCGCTAACTTGAGTTCCATTTAAACAAGTGTCGAAGATTTTATTTTTAAAAAGTTGTCATAAGATAGGTAGCTCTATTTAAAATTGCTTTTATGCGTACCTTAATTTGTCCAAATATTGTTCGCCACATCGTCCGTAATAAGCGAGACTGCTTACCAAAAATAGACCCCGCTTTTAACAAACACGTGTAATAACTATTTACTTTCAAATCAGAAAATTAATGATCGAATGATTCATAAAACCGTTTGCACTCCTACGTAAACCACCACAAAGTCGGCAAAATAAAAAACATTTACCATTATCTGACGAAACATCTTCATATTGATGATCTCCGTCGCTCTCGTCATCACTATCGAATTCATCATGCGAAAAATCTTGTGGATCAGGGCTCAAAATCCCGCCCGTCGAAATCGAAGACGTCGATCCAGCTTCCGCAAGCGACCCCGTAGACAGAAGATGCTTCCTAGGCTCTCTCCTCTGCCAGATATCCGTGAACCCTACATGATTGGGAGCCGAAGAAGACAGCCTCGAAGTGTGGGACCTCTGCATTCGGACATTAGGTGACGTCGAAGCTGGCGCGGTTTTCACTGGAATCGGTTGCCCGCTCACCCCGCGATCAGGAGAAATATAGTTCTCCCGTTTCATCAAGAGTTCATGGAGTGTACTATGCTTCTGCTGCACGGAATTGACACGTAACGGCGACGACTGAAGAAGCGGCGAATTCGAACTAGTCTGACTTGCTGGCGAGAAAGCCGAAACTGGCGTTTTCGAACCGAACATATCGTAGTTATTCGTTGGTACGCTCGATGGCAAGTCTAAATCTCTATAAAAAAACATGCTAGGTTGGGGACACGAAGACGCTGCTGTGACTATGGGGCTGTTGTTGTTGAGGTGGTTCGAGTTGTGGATGAAGGGAGCCGACAGTTTCTGGGTCATAGTCAAGTAAGAACTTTCTTCAGGTAGGAGTAAGTCGTCGAAGTTCAGATCACCTAGAAGTGTATCGTCATTGGCATTGAGTTCAGCAAGAGTAGGCCCTTGGATTAGATCGGCTTTGTCGACTTGGAATATGTCGTCGTCGTCCATGTGGATCAGTGCCTCTTGTTTTATGGAATCTTCTCCAATAATCACGCGATTGCCCCACATCGTGGTGTTGTCAAAACCGTCGGGGGTTTGCATATTCCCTAATGAACCGTCCTGATAAAGAGGCGACTGAGAGTTATCTAAATCTATACCGAAATCGCGATAATCTGACATCTCCATTATTCGACATGTTGGAATGGGAACACTAGCGGAAGTGTTCATTATTGAGGTTTCTTCACGGAGAGGCTCTTCCTTGATGGTGATTCCTGGGTCTACGAAGAAACTCCTAGTGAAATCACTCATGGCGTCCTAAAACAAAAAATACAGCTTCAGAACTTGGTTTAAAGTGGGTATTGAAAAAGTCTGGTATTCACTCAACAGTAAAGTTTACATATTGATCGGAAACCTCGGTAGACTATTGGTTAAAGCGTCAAAATAAACACAATCTAATCAAATTACTATATTTAATAACGGTTAGTAATTAAACAATTTAATCCATGTTCTATCAGATTGTTAAAAACAGTCGGGAAAAGTAATCTTGTAATCGCAGATATTTCAAAATGATTATCTTATCTTGCGTCAATTAATTGAATGAAACGTATTAATAGCAACTCATTGGAAAACTTTTAATTACTTCTACTTCCAGTATATGCTATATCATTATTATCTCCTAACTTGACAACAATCCTCTTAGAAACTATGTGACACGACAAGTCACCATACAAAAATGTGATTTGAGAAAGATGGGAAAATTAGGTTTACAGTTGTTTGCACTAGTAGTGCTTTCTTAACCCTATTTTTTCTGACAACGATAATCTCAGTGACTAAAACTAACTAAGCTGACATTTTACTTTCCACATGAATGTGAACAACTCGATATAATATACTTGAAATTGTTGATTACTTACAATTTCTCGGTAATTAAGTGCACGAAAAAGTGAGACAAAACAGGTTTTCCACGCCTCATTTTAAACTCATTATTGTTATTACAATTCCCTTGCAATTAAATGAATAGAATTATATTGTTTTAAAAAATAAATTCTTGTGTATGTAGGCTAGTACTCGATACACGTGTATTTGGAGTTATCAAATAAATAAACAAATATACTTTAACTGGTGTAACTTCGATTTTATCAACGAATGTTATTGTTTTTTTATGATTTGAATGAACTAATTTTAAATTCCTGAGTGTTATCTAAAATATTTGCTACTTTTTCAAACATCTAGTGCACGTATTCAAGGTTAAAATTGAAGCAGTTTCATGTAATGATATTGTTTGACAAATAGACTTTGAATAATTAAAATGTAAAACCGATTTATTTTCTTTTTATAATTAAACCGACCCACACTAGTTAGGCCAAATTATCAATTATATTGTATTGACCACAAACTTAAATGTTATGAAAACGAAAATTTCCTTGTTCTGGTCTTTTCCCACAAAACTGAGAAAGAAAGACCGTAAGTTATGTAACTTCCTTATTTGTGTCAGACGATTTTTCAATAGGTGCTTCACATTAACTCCAGAGGTTACTAAAAAATCGATTATTACACAATCGTTTCCTTGGTAAATAATTCACATACTTATTCGGTTTTTCTAATGAAAGTACACGTTTTTGCTTAAGACAGTAACGGTTTCTTAGTGTCTGTCGACCGTGGTAAACGGAAAACTCCTGTTGTATTTTAATTCAAAAAATATCGCCGGCACCCCAACCCATTTTTTTGCCCCCTCACCTACCTCGGAGCTAAAATCTAAATTATTCAGTAACGGTATCACCTTCTGTTGTGTATAAGTGGTGTGAGAACTTCTAAACTCTGACAATCATGGAATGAATACCACAATATTGGTGACTTGACATACTTTGATAAAAGCATCAAATTAGCTTAGGTCAGTTAAAGTTGTGAAAGCAAATAAGATAGAGAACAAACCGACTATTTAACTTTTTGTTCCACCAAGAAGTGCTCAAATCTTCCGTCACCAACTCTTTGAAAAGATCAATCGATCTTTTTTAGTATGTAATTCGATTAGTTTACTATACTTTTTAAGTGCTCTCAGCAATGTAGTGGTCACTTGAGACGTCTTTTATTCAGACTAACGGTCAACAAGGAAATTGAAGTTAAATCATTTAACAAAAAAATTATTGCCTCGGAAAAATCAGGATGTACGGAGTTGAAGCGACATTCTTGACAAAAACAGGATTTTTAAAATTATGCCTCGAATAACTGATTTTTAGTAATGTGGCACTAAGTAATTTAGTATTAAATAAATACATTAATTTTGATAAATAAAACGTTAATTGTAAACATTGTCTTGTTAGAATTGAAATTAGATATGGCGTTTCCACGAAAACAACACAAGATCGTATTTCAAAGTACATTGTTCAATAAACATTTATTATAATTTTTTGTGGCGACGCGACGTCATCAGTTTTATAGGAAACGAATAAACACATTTTAATTAATGTCCCGTAAACATTAAATCAATGTTAGTGTCCTGAAAATTTCGTAGAGAAATCGTAAAAATAATTTTGCAAACTTAATCCCTATCTACATGTTAAAATGAATACATTTTTTTTATTTATTGAATAAATCAAATAGGTCCACTCTTTTGGCATGCATTTACCGTTTTTTTTTTTTTTTTGATTTGTGATTTAGTTTTCCCTGCCCATTATATCACCAAATTACCTAGGTCGTGATGGGTTGCCTATAATCTCGCGGCTTAACAACGTAAATTGTGCTTTGTTTTCATTTTCGTAAATTCGGTTCCTTTATAGTTTTTCCAATTTTTCGACAAAAATCATCATTTTTAAGTCTATATTTTTATTTGAAAGTGAATGAAAATGATCCAGGTGTATTTTGCCACAGAAGCAGAATTTTCGTCTCGAAAAAGAGTCCGACTATCAGTTGTATGGTAAAATTATTTCGTGAAATTGGTAACATTAAGAGGAAACTAGGAAGTCGCATTTTAACAAAATGACCTCCCGAGACTCCTTGAAAATGTCCAACAGGTTATGGATGATAACCTCCATACATCTTTAAGACGGCTTTCGCAGAAAATTGACTTGTTATACCGGGTGTCTGGAAAATAACTCTTCAGTACTAATCCCGCCCACCCGCCCTCTCTTCTCTTAGAGGGTATCTCATTTGCCAAAATCAATCTTATCTGGGCAGCTAGTTACCCCGCCCACCCACCCTGTACCGCTGACTAACTTTTACAAAAAATTATCAAAATTTGGAAACATATATGCATAACGCAGGAATTTTGAGCATCTTCTCTAGTGTTTAGTTGGTTATGCTTTAATGGATTTTTCTTTTGTTGGTTTTGTTTGTGTTTATAATTTATCTCTTCTCGGTCTTATTAAATGATCTTTTTTTAGTTTATTTATAAATGAAAAATAACAGCTTGTTTTATTAATAATAATAATAATGCACAATGATTAATGACTACTGGTTGTTATGGTTATTGTACAAAAAAAAATAAAAGGTGGATTTCAGTCACCATCGTTACTAAGAAATTAGAAAGAAGTCGGAGGTATTGTCTTTGCCATTTCTATTGAAACACCACCTGTTGATTTTGCTTAAAATTTGGCAATTGGTAACAGCTTTTGGTTGATTGACAACGGCTTTTAGTTAGAAAATTGTCCGAATATGAACGTTGCCAAATTTACGATTAACAAGTGGTGTTTCAATAGAAATGGTAAAGACAATATTTACGCATTAGGTGCGTGCAGTGTTGCCAATTTTACTTTTATAAAATTACGTTTTTTTCGTAATCTACATCATAAAGATCTTTTTTATTATTTTTGGAACTCCCGAAACCCCTCTAAGAAAAGAGAGGGTGGGTGGGGCTAGTACATGCCAAGATAAGACTGAACTTAGCAAATAAATTATCCCCTAAGAAATTTAATTAAATTATGATAAGAAAAGACACTAGAGGCTCCAAAACATTTCCAAATTCTTTCCAAACAGGAAACCTCAAGATTATTTTAAATTACAAAAGGTCCCAAAATTAACTCAAAAACAGGTCATGTCAGAAGTTTCCAAAAATAACAGACCAAAATCCCCTAAAATTGTTATAAATAATTTACAAAAAAGATCTCCATGGGTTCCCAAAATAATTTACCATGGGTACCCGTCTCCCGCATTAAAAAAAACACTGCGGCACTCATGACATTTTAAATTCATAAAAAATAAAAAACTAAAAGCTCAAAAGATTTTTTAAAGTTCATCCAGCAACAAAACACCAGATTCCTTTAAATTTATCCGAAAATAAAACACCAGAGGACCTAAAATTATAGTTTTGGTAATTTCTTCCAAATTGCAGTTGTCGCGTGCCGGTAATCCCCACATGTTAGAAAGCAGAATAATCCAGGTCCGAAAATGAACATTATTTTATGAGTACCACTACCTGCTAAATGTCTTCCGACAAATTCGGGTGAACTGATGCGAGCCATAAATATTTCTTACCATTGTACTACTCTCTACCTCGTTATTGTCAATAAAATTTTATAGGGTAGAATGAAATTTCCAAAGCTATAACTGCGAACATTTTAAACGTAGGGTTTTAAAACTTCGACAATTTTTGATACGTCAAACATTTTTAACTGTCTACTCGATTTTTGCTGATTTGTACCTTCGGTTGATATCAGGCAAACATTGTTGTCAAATGGAATGTTATCAAATTATTACAAAAACAACACAACCATATCTTTGTATAGTTTTTGCAAACAACCACCGGACAGGGAAGATCATAAAAATTAAGCAACCATGAAAACGGCAATTTGGCGATAGGTAACAAGACTCTACCATAAATAAAATCTTCTTTGCTATTACCTTGCATTCGGGGCTTCGCGAGGTCCGTATTCACTACGTTTTATTGAACTAATGATAAAAACATTTAAACTGGTTTTATAATTCAAGCGTTAATAACGATTATAATAACATTATAATCTACGAGTATAAAAGAATAAAACATTTATTTTACGATCACGTATTTAGCTAACTACAAATGTAGAAAACGTAATGAATCCTGTCCTGAGTATCGTTTCTAGGATTTTCTAGGTAAACCGCCCGGCGACCGGCTAAAAGAGTTGTAATCTGATTAGGATCCGTCTTTGTTGCTTAATTTTTATGATCTCCACTATCCGGTAGTAGTTTGTAAAAACTATACATTCTAACTGTAATGGTAATTAAACATGGTCATAAGCGAGAGAAGTATTAACTAAAAGTTTTATTACTACTTGTTGTGATAATGCATGTGTTGTTTAGTTGTTAAATGTAGGTACCAAAGAAACCAATTCTAAAAAAAATCATAACTCCACCGAAACGTGAGAAATTCCCCAGTTGATTATTAAGAGCGTAGCGGAGAGTTAATCCGCCATTTTCTAGACACCCGGTATATCAGGATATGTAGACTTGTAAATATGAGCATGTGGAGTGCAGAAAATCGAGGGGTCAGTTATAGCTGCGAGAAAATGCGGCAGGGATTTATTGACCAGCTTACTTCTGAAGAATTACAGAGTAGATATTTTCAGCATGACAGCGCAACAGCTCAAACAAGTTTGAACTTTCTGACGACCGTTTAATTAGCTCCTACACATCATATCTGTCCACCTCAAGCACTTAATTTGACACCTTTAAATTACTTCTTGTTCCCAACTTTGAAAAACAACTATTTTTAAAAAATCAGTGGAGAATCATACAAGTGTGTGAACTTGTTTCGCCGGAAGTCCTTACTTGAATATTTGAGAATATGAAACGCCGAGTCAATTTATGTATCAAAGCTGGTGGCCAACACTTCCAGCAATTGTTGTAAATTCAATTAAACACGTTACTTATCATAAGTAATTCATTTTAAATTCAACGACGGTTTAATTCTTGTTATCCAATTTCATGACATATTTTTAGGCTGAAGGAATAATAAAGAAATTTTCCATAGTCTGTAGTCAATAAATTAATGTTATTTTTACCAAAATTTTAAAAGAGCTATTATACAGGTTCCAAACATTGTAAAATTTCGTTGTGCCAATTTTAATTTTTCGACAACGCATTTAAATTTAACATAAAACTTAATGCCAAAGTGGATTCCCAACAATAGCATGTACTTAACTTGTCAAAATTACACAAAACTTAAATGTCAAAGGGACAAAGAGACACTAAAATGTTACTAAACCGAAGTATTTGACGTGACATTTCTTTGTTACCAAATTTTCTCATTGGCAGCAACAAATTATGTACCCGTTGAAAAATTCAAACTTTTCCAGCTAAAAACGAGTTATTTTTCTTTTTTTGATAAATGAAACACCAATGGGTACTTCAAAGAGAAAAACTGGCATCCCATAGACATCTCAGTTAATTACGTTAAGTACAACATGTGAGACTTCACACCACAACGTTAAGTTAAACAACGAACTAATGTGAAAATTTAATGTTTTCGACACAACTTAGTTCGTAGTTCAATAAAAAGAAAATCGCTTCGAGGTATGTTCGTTATTCCACTTTTTGCTATTAAAATGCTAAACTCATCTGCTAATTTTTACTGGCATTACGCAAGATATAATTATTTTCAAAAAAGAAGGCAACATTTCCTAACAAAGAAAACCGGTGAGCTCTTTCCAATTATAGACTTACATCTGAGTTTGGACCAAGTTTACTCTGTACCCGTGAGTGAGAAAATGTTAGCTTTCTATAGTTTCTAATGTGGCATTTTTTTTATTTAATCGCGAACCCTTTCACTTTCCGTTTTGGCAACAATTAGTCAAGTAAAACACATAAACGGAACAAAAGTATAAAACAATAATCGCAATTTTAGTACAAAATTTGTATGTTTATTAATCAACGCATACACAACTACACTGAGAAAACAAGCCCAAATACACGTGTCAGACTTGGCCTCTACAAGTCGGCGAGATACCACATTCTGTGTATGCTTTCCACGGTCAACCACACTTTTTTTACTGTACTCTGTAATAACATCACAATGAATTACAACCTCATTCCAAGTATCCAAGTATTTTTTACATTTTATGGTTTAGATATTTTTACAAACGAATGTGACCTTTGTACATGCTTGGCCGCTTACCAAGTTTCATGAATGTAATAAGACCAGTAAGTCATACACGCTAAGCAGAATTGTAAAAAATGTCGAGCTGTGGATTTGTTTATAGTGAAAAAACCATAAACACCCATTTGGGTTTCGCTTTTGAGCGCGGTACCCACGAATCGGTGATTCAGACGTGAATGAAAGAAAAAAAATCTCATACTTACATAAGTTTGCACGCGAATTTAAATGATTCAAGGTCATGTAATACACTTGAGAGTGGCCCTGTTTTAATGTTAAACAAAATGGAATAGTGACATTTTGATAATAATTTATTGCTATGGTTTGTTTTATTACTAGAAAGTTATCAGCGAGTTAAAAAAAAAAGCAGAAATTTGACGAAATAAAATAATCGTCCTACATAAATACACGATTACACAACATTAGGAAACATAGAAAAGAAAATTAAAAATATATCCCGGAAACATCTAGAATGCCATCGTGTGATCTCGTGATCATGACATTCATTCGCTAGAATCATTTAAAACGAGGAATAGTTGATCAAAAATAGAGTTGTGCCACCTAGATGGTTGTTATTGTTATTGCACGAAGCGAGGTAAATACCCAGGTCGACACGTGCTGTGCCACTCTCCAGGAAAAAAAGAGATAAACAATACGTCAATACAACAACAAAATAAGTGATTCAAGCCAATCGTCTTTTCGTATTTTATGAATCGATATTCTCGCTTCTGGTCAACGTAAACAACATCTAGTAAACAATATATGCAGAAGTGGAGGCACAAAATGACAGTTGTAGTACTCAATCGTAAAATATCGCGATAACAATACGACCTTTTCAACTCGAGAGAATTCAAACGTTTATCATACCAAGGATAAAGTTCAAATCCCGCGTTGACTCAGTGAAAATCCACCATAACAGTCAGACCATCAGCATGACTCAATGTTATGGAACCCTTCGATAGCCCCTCGCTAATTTCACTGGCGATGTCACTCGCTAGCGTCTCGTTAAAAGCACGCCAAAACCGACGAGAAAGCACTTGATAACAAAACAAACTAAACAACTTTATGCTAAATCACAAAATATGTGAAACAATAAACCAGGTTTATTAAAGGTCACATGAATACATTCAATCAATTTTCTGCGCCAATAAGAAACGAGTACGGTGTGCTTGCACCAATGAGGGTGTTCACTTTGTGCAAAACTTAAGCGTACAGTTTTTTCAAGAATTCTGCAACGTCAACACAACACAAATTTTCACGATTATTTTTAGACTGGAGGATATCGACGTTATCACAATTACTAAATGGCCACTTTTTACTCACAACACGTTCACTGCAATCACCAGTTTTATCCAAATTGTTCGACTCTTGTAATCACTGGTTTAATGGAACACAGCTCACTTTGATCGTCCACATTGTCAGCCATTTCCTTTATTTGCAAACACTTAATTTCGCTGACGTCAGCGTCAGAACTTGGCTATGCTTTGGATATGATATCGGCCTTGGTACTCACAAAGTCACAAACACACGTGATCTTTCAAGGAATACAAATAAAATAAAAATAAAACCAAACATCAACAACGGTAGTGGCGCCATCTGGACGTGGCGTTCCACACTTCAACTTTATACGAACAGCCCACTGTATATCGGATCATTAGAATATGATTTCTTTTAATTTGTTATTTAATTTAAGAAACAAAAACTACACAGTGAATTTTCGACACAAATTAATATTATAAAGATATACGACATTAAATTCAACATTTTTTTGTATGAAAGAATCAGGTCTGCTTGTATTTGAAGACCTGTGCACCTTTTGAAAATATTTTAATAGATGGCGCAAGACTTGACAACTAAGTAATGTCAATAATGTCAACAAAATGTCAATCGCATTGTACTCCACATTCCACGATTGTGAGATGATCTGCGTGATAAACAATAAAATATCGAAAATAAAGAAGTTTTAAAAATATTATGTATTATATAACACTACAAAAGTATGCACAGAATAAAAAAAGTACCAGAGACGATTTATTTTTAAATTATTGTTTGTTAATTATTAAAAAAAACTGGAACTGGCATCATTTGTTAAAAATTAACCATTGTCCTCGATTTTTTCAGTCGTCCGGAAGAACTGCATCAAGTATTCAACTAAAGCGAAACTTTTTGTTACAAGTACTTGCACTATCATACTCATAAGTTTCCTGTACTTAAGCATTTCCTGTCGGAAAATAAACCTTATTACATACTATTATTGATCCTATTTTAATAGCTGTATTTGCATATTTGAATATACAACACTTATTTTGACTGACTTTGAAGCCAAATAACCAAAACCATCACTGCGCAGACGCGCACAGAATTCTAGTCAATAAGCACCCCTTATTAAAGCTCTTTCAGGTGGCGCAGAAATCAAATGTTAGTTTATTTTATGTGCGAGATACTTTCCACTAAGCCATAAAACTGGCGTGTGACAAAATAGCCGGGATTAAAAATTTCTCGTACTAACCTTAATAGGGGTTAGATAGTCATGTTCACTAGCTATCTTTATTCACGTTACTCGGTGATTGTAGTTAGAAAAGGATAACAAAACCCCAAAAGTGGATCAATAACAAACCAGCAGTCTCAAAACTTGTTTAAATAAAGCAAAACTGTTTGGATTGTGATATGTTGAAAGTGTGTTTGGGCGGCGGTTCGTACCGGCTCACCGCTTAGGAGCATTTTATGACCCAATCTGTAGTTGGGCTTTATTTGCATAAACGATTACTTTTATTCCACCAAATAATACTATAATCGGTCCTTTTTGTTGCTGTAAATTGGTTCTACATTTGTTTTAAATTTTAATGTCAAAGTATTTGTTCTGATACCACAGTAGGTGTCACAATTTACGCATCAAATCAATATATGAGACCCCATTAAAAATTGCTGACGTCATTCATGGTTTATAAAGCCACTCACTGTAGGGATTGTCTTTAAAATAATGAAGTATGAAAGGTTTTAAATGTTTTCTGCAAAAATAAGTACATAAAAAATATTTTTTCATGAATTAGTTGGCACAAAAGTATTAGAAAAATGTATCTCACAAACTGTAAGAAAAATATTGAAGTTATTGTTGTTACCATTTTTTTCTTATTCGTGAAATTCAAATGACAAATAAACGTTATCGTGTAGATTTATTTAAAAAAAGTCTTCAAACTTCCTCGGTATAAGTCAAACTCTCATGCAAATCAACAAAATTTTATTTTTTACATAAACTAACTTAGGTTCAATGTGCTACTTGATGTGACCAGTAATCTTGTCGGAACATGAAATTAGGAAAACTTCAGACATTTCAAAAATGAATTAATTGCATTGCCCTGCAACCCCCTAATTACTTCATTTTACGTAGTATTCACTTTCACTCACCATGCAGTTACAAATCTTTTAAGTTAGGTATATGGTATTTACAAAATTAGTCTATTGTGAAGCTGTCCATAATTAGAAAAAGCTTGTTTTTATAGTTACTAACTTGACTAGGTTTCAACTTTGGTAGGCTTTTCCAAATTCTAATATGTAGCGTTTTACATTATCACAACATTCTCAATCAGACGCACAAGGAGCTATGAAGAAGAAACTTGGAAAATGTTAAAATTTTTTCGTTCTACTTTACCTACCTTTCTCGCATCTACAATAAAAAACCGTTACTTTTGAAGTTTTTATTTTTCTTTTGACGAAGTAAAATATAGTCGATGATGAGTTGCCCAAATGCCCCTTTACGACAGACATTAAGGCAATTCCACATCATACTTGGTCGTTTCTAATTTATGTGTATTTCTATCGTCTATAGGCCTAGTATTACACATAAAATGAGTGGAAATATGGTACTTATAATATATTAGGTATATTAAAAACTGTCAACGCCAATCTGGTTTTTCATAAAGAGAATAAGTTTTCAACTGGGCAACAAGCGCACTTTGCCGCGGTAATTCAAAAAGATATAGGCAACGCTTTTATTTTCTTCAGTTTTTATAATTTTAGTACTTCTTTGACTATACTCTAGAGCGTATAATCAAAGCTTATTTTTATGCTGTATCTACAATTAAATATCACAATGGCTGGTATGCACCATCTTGTTGAAAGTTTTAAGGGTTAAAACTAACAACAGGAAGCTAATCAGCCGGCTTACAATCGCCTTAAGATTTCATTTCTAAATTTTTACACCATCCTATAAAAAATTAGATATGGTGGATTTAAAGCACTAAACGATCCATGGTGTCCACATGTGCGTCGAAATAACCTGCTAATAACGTGACATGGCCGTAACCTTCAGGGAAATTTGTTTTTTACTAAAATATAACCAGATCTAATCTAATATCCCACACATATAATAGTTCCTCATTTCAGTCTTTATTCTTTAATCACAGTGTTTAAGATTTAGTTACTCCGCAAGTAATCGCTACTGTGTACACAATTCACGTAATTTGTTGCTTTCCAGAAGTTACGGTCATGTCCTTCTTTGGTGTCATATTTATACTAAGATGAAGTATTTGAGCAATATTACGCTTTTATATAACTATACAAGAAGTTGTTATTCTTCATAAGATCGTCGTTCTTCGACGCACATGCAGATTATTACAAAATATCTGTTTCTAAAGTTATGACCATGTTGTTTTTGTGTTCGTTACTACTTGAATTGCAAGGTAGATCTAGAGATAAAAGTATATCTTCTACCTATGGCCTGATTGAGTTGGCAAACAAACTGAAAATACTTAGGTCTACGATGTGACAAACTGAAATGAGGAAAACCAAAGTTAAAATATTTCTAAGGAAACAAAGCTTTGCACACCTTTTAAAAATATTTACATAATGTTAAAATCAGTGTGAGGCATGTTTCACCAATTAGTTTTTCTTTTCATTTCAACTGCCACACCTTTTCTAACACTGATCACCAATCTCCTGAAGAGTATATTAAATATTAGACTGTATTCAATATAACGAGCAACTGAAGGACAGAATATTTACAATGTTTTCGTGGTTACATAAGGCAAATGTTACATCGGAAAATTGGAAATATCATTTATTATTATTATTCTTACTTTGTTAATAGTGGCTTTTGTGTATTTTGAGTTTCTCGTTATTTTGAGTACAGAGTGGATTTCTTCCACTTGTGTGAATTAATGAATTTTCAAAAAATACGTTACAAGAAATTCACGGTGGGCCAAAACTTCTAACACCAGTAGTTTACTATACAAAATAACAATAACGGGATGTGTTTACCAATCAAGTCTTGGTTACTTTGCATTTTTCAAAATCAACACATTTTTGGATAATACTTATTGTTGCTATGTGATTTTGAAATCACTAATGCCAACAGCCGGAATGGTTTGTAACCTTAGTGACTTTCTTCGGTCACATGTACACATCAGCGGCATCGATTTAATACCATAATCAAGAACCAAAATTTGAAAAATTTAGATACAGTTTCTTTAACTATACTCATCACGCTTGAGTTATGAATAGCACAGCCTTTCTGAGGAAGGATCTTTTATTTAAATGAGCGACTCCGATTCTTTATTCAGTCAAATTAACATCAGAATATCAGTTATAACCCTTACAGTTGAATTAGTAGAACACTGCGGACCTTTGTTTCAAATAAATCTACATAAAGTGTACCTATGTCTTTGGATGAAACGACTGAATAATGAATAATGTTCGTCTCTTTTAAACGCTTAAACGTTTAAACGGAAAATAACTCTAAACGACACAAAAACAAACAGGTGTTGATGTACATTGTTACTGAAACAACTTTTAAACCTATCAATTAGAGGAATTGTGTAGTGAAGAGTTTCAAAAATTGTTTTAGGCAAGTTTTGAAGCAACTGGGTGCAAGATATCATAGATGGACCTAGTTTAAGACAATGTTAATTTTAAGTTATGTTGAGATGGGTTTGCAACATCTGCAAACATGAGTATGATATTGGAAATGTGGAAATCTCAAATACTGTTAAGTAGATGTCTACCTCTGGATTTGGCATTTTCTTTTCAAATTAATTAAAATTTTTATTTTTCACAAACTGTACTTACATTTTTTGAAAAAAAATGCATTTTACCACTTTTTGATTTCAAATTATTTAAACTAAAAATAGTGTCACGTTTGATGACGAATATTATTTTCGAAATTTTTGCTTGTAAAGATAATTTTGTCGTCAAAGATATTTTTGCTTGAATAATTTTTGCAAATTTTACAAATTTCGTTACTTTGTTAAGTTTGTAAATGACGAATTAGATTTTCTAGTTAGTTTTATGTAACGTTTAGAGGCTTAAGTCAAAACTGTTAACATATCTGAACAATTTCCTTTTTTATTTATCGCAAGAGAGGACCAAATTACTCATAAAACTAATTTAAATTTATTATCATATAAAATGTTATCAAATTTTGGCTTCAAACTTTTTCTACCAAGTTTAGATATGTATGTAGATTAAATTACGATATATTGGTACATGATTCTCTTGTACACTCAGTTGTTCACTGTTTTGAAATTTCCACATTTCGCCAGAGTTGATATTGATGGGCTCTAAAAATTGTTGCATACAATAGCATCTGAAATGTATTAAAATACTAAAGATCGTTGCTGTGTTTTGAACAAATTTAATTTGTGTAAATGTGCCAACCGTCATCTGTTCTGCACAATGAATAATTTGGAAGAATTTTTTATACTAGATAAATTTCACCTAATTTAGAACTAATCGAATTTACAAAGATTTTCATTGACCACAAAAATTTTCCAATCTAGGTACTTGACATCAAACTGTGTGGTGTCAGGCCCGATTTATAACACTTGTTGTAAAAGTAAATTTTATAATGGCAGTTTAAACGCAAATCAACAAGCATTATAATTGGAAGTGATAGTTTAGATTAACTATATCTTCTACTGAGTGATTATAAATGTTTGCCTGTCAAGACTCTAGACTGTAAATATTTTGCGCCGGATAAATTTGGCACTTGGCAGATTTGTAACTAGTCAATTCCATCATCAGCAACTACGCTGAAAATTCAAAACCAACTTGACAAACATTTAAATCACACTGCATAATCTAACGTATCATCAAAAATAAAAATCGTCTAAACAAGTTTAGCTACGGTCCCTTTTAAACGTCAAACTTTTTGGTTTGAGCTTTTACCCATTTCCTCGATATTGACTTGACACTATTGGGATTACTATTTTGACGATACGTATCAAAGGCTCCAGTAGCTATTATTTTTTATTTCTGTGGTCGAACTCATTGTTTTTGGTTTGTTTAAACCTTGATTTACGAAGTAGTTTTCTTCATTGTGCATTCTAAAAAATACTTACAATTTCGTCATCGCCAAGACAGTAAATAGAAACGTTTTGCTTCTGAATAAAAATTTACAAAATACTCTCTCTTCTTGCACGCGCTAATGCTTTGACGAGACAAGACACTAGCAACATTTCGATTACGGTTAGACTTGTGGGTAAACGAATAGTATTCAAAATTTATAGTTGTCAGAAAAAACCCAAGCTGTTTGTGTGTCAACGGTTGTAAGCTGCTAGCTTAAACATGTGCGTCAGCAGCCTATGACCAACATTACTATTACAATTATTTACTGGCTGTTCGTCCCTCCGCCTTGTTCATCATTTGCCCTTTCGTGTGGGCGTAAGATCGCTCTAACAGTTTCGAAATGTTTTTTGAAACCTAACTTAGAATACAGAGCCTTTGATGCATCGTTTTCAGGACGGATGACGACGAAAGGAAGGTATCCTCTTTCCGTCACCACTTTTGTCAGGTACTTGGCGAGGATCAGGCCGTAGCCTTTCCTTCTGTATTCAGGTCGCGTTTGCATTGAAAACATGGCTCCATAATAAGATTGAACCATCCATGCTGCTAATTCACCTGAAGCTGAAAAGACACCGTAGCAAGGTAGTTTTTTAATTAGTTTTTCGAAAATCTCCACGCATTCCATGTGGTTTGCCGGGTATAGGTCGTGGATGGTTTGAGCATGCTCGGGAGTTAACTGCAGCATCTCCGCATCCTCTGCGAATACCCTGAAACAATTAAAAACGCTGTATACAAAACTCACTTCACATACACCTTGTAAAACTTTTATAACTTAAGCGGCTTCAGCCAAAGCACCTTTATAAATCAAAATGGCTATTGTATAACTTAACTCAGTTCACATATACCTAGTAAAACTTTACAGCTCCATTATGACAGCAATAATAATAATCCTTGCGGTTCGGGTCCATAAAGCTTACAATAGCCAGTTTGACTTATAAGCAGGGGCGGCTGGTCAGGGGCGGCAGGGTCGGCCACGCCGTACCAGTCATTTTAAAATACTTAGTAAGCGTTGAAATTAGAAAATAAAAAAACAAATAAAGTTTGAATGTACGTTAGGATAGATCATATATATTAAAAATATATTTTATTATATTGTAGGTACAAAATAAAGCATTTGTTGCTAATTTTAAATGCTGATAAACACGCTTTGCCGGCGAGATTTCGGCACGCCGTATCCAGGAATGCATTATGCTCGATGTTTCGACTTCGGAGCAGCTTACGGTTTCATCGTTCTCTTTGTCTAGTACACTGTAGTAGACAAAGACCTGGCGGAACGTATGTTGTGCCAGGTCCGGCGAAATCCTCCTTCGCCGTACCCAGCAATGCGAATTTAGTTTTTAAAACGCTTAATATTTAAAATAGCTAACCAAATTACAAAACAATAACGGCTTCGATGTTCTTCAGTGCATACTATTTTTTTTTAATAATAATTGTCGATTTAATACATTTTCCTGTGTATGAATAATAAACGAAAAAAATTACATTAAATTATCTAAAATTTTATTTTTCGTACATAACTTAGCTACAACATAAATGCGCTTTTTCTGTATTTTTAGCATCTAAGCGTTTTCAGATATTTCAGAAACGAATTTAAAGTTTTAAATCATTTTAATTTTTCAATTATTCAATTAATTTATTTGACAATTTGTCATATACATTAAAAAAAAATAAATGTAAATGAAGATAGTTAACAGTTGGTACTTTTATTATTACTTTTTTATATATTTTTTAACTGCATGTCATTATTTAATTATTATTATTCAATTATGGATGTCCGGGGTCGGCAAGCCGTATAGCCGCCGGTCGACGCGGAACTCAGTAAAAATAATGTTTTCGGTGGTTCTCAATTAATGATAAAGCAGAACAAGTAGAATTAAGGATTAATAGTATTTGGAATCAAACTGACATTGTCAATTTCCTATAAAAAATTATTTTAACAGGTCGAAACATTTGAGATGTTTTGTACATCCTGGCACGTAAAATGTCAGTGGTTAATGAGTAGCAGCCATACATTACGAAAATATATAACACCAAGGTGTAGACTCAAAATATTTGGCCGACCCGAAATTTTGACCCACCAGCCGCCACTGCTTAAAAGGGTGGTTTGGCTTAAGCCGCGTAAGTCATAAAAGTTTCAGAAGGTGTATGTCAAGTGAGTTTTGTATAATATCGCATAAGCAGTTCAAAGTGGTTGTTTACTAAAACCGTGATCAATTATTACATTGATGGAGCTGTAATTGGTTTGTCTATTAATTTGGAAATGTAAATGCATTTCATTTCCTACATAAATTTCAAGGAGATTTTTGTTTATCGTATAAATAATACATTCTTTATGTACCTACTGTGTCAATTCCGTTAGTTGATTCGTTGATTTGAATGTAATAACTGGTTCACATTTATATTTGAGATAGATATATTCGGTAATTTGTGGAATCAATAAGGGATATTAGAGGTATTTTACTTAGATTACAGCTATATAATTTAAAAATTGACAAGTTTAGTGGAAGTATATGTGGTACTGAAATTTTACAACTTGCACTTCATAACTCAGCTTATTTCATTCAGTGTGAATAATTTATTCAGTTTTTTCACATAAGACTCCACATGATGCCAAAAACAACCCTTTAGGCACATGTAACATGCATTGAGATTTATGTTATATCTGTTGTATTATTTGGTCAGCATTATGGATATTTTCAGAATATTTTTAAAACTTTAACTGAAGTTACTATTTACATCAGAAATTTAGAACTTTCCTCACACATAAAAACAATTCTACATGCATGTTAGAGCGTATTTTTAATAATGATTCTTTTATTAATCTGTCGTAACAATAAACATTTTAATTTCATTACACCTAATACAATAATAGTACATTGTATACCAAGGTGGAAAAATAAGGGTTTTCCGTGTCGAAAGAAAATTTTTTGAGATCCGGAAAGGTGGTGTGGACAATATTTTTTATCCTACACCATGAATATAATGATAATGAAAAATATTCGACAAAAAAAAGTTTTATTAAAAAAAAATTACAAATTAAGTTAATTACATTTAATTATTTGAAATATTAATTTTAAATACCGGATATTTTTATTACACAGCTACTAAAATAAACACCCTCTTCAGCTAGGTGTAATACTTCAGTTTTTTTTTAAGAATTTTGAAAGTTTATTTAAAACGTTTCCATGGAAGTTCATTCATTTTCCTGGCTAGCGAAACAAACAAAATTTTCTTGGCTAGATAGTCAATCTTGTGTTATTATGACGTTATGTTATAAATTTTTTAGTTCCCGAGCGTAAGCGAAGGAAGTATTGTAATCGAGTCCGTCGTCCGACCCTCTACTTTAACGTTTTCTCGACCCTTCATGACTCCTAGAGTTCGAAGAAATACGTCTCCCGTTTCCGTTTGTATGTCCGTCTGCTGTCTGTCCGTCTGTCTGTCCATCTGTCTGTTCGTCTGTGTGCCGTCCCGGATTTTTATTAGACAGACAATATATATTATGTAGATACGCTAACCAAAATTTGTGTATTCATCCCCACCAATAATATAATGACGTCACTTCAAAATTGCACATAGTACATGGATTTTAACATAGTCCTACATATGTAGTTTATGACTCTGTATTGAGTTTTTGCCCGAAATGTCCAGATTTTAGAAAAAAATAATCAAAATTATAAAACAACATTTTGCAATATAATTTTGAATCTAGAAAACCAAATCCTTTGAAATCTTGCAGATGTTTTAAAGTTATGAGAAGCATGATAAATTTTTAATCAAAATATGTTTACTTATCCCCTCCAAAAAATTGATGATGTCAGCGCAAAATTTTGCCGTATAAATCCTATCTAAATTGTACAAAATATGATAAGTCTGTACTTGTAAGTTATCATTCCATTCATATTTTTTGGATTTGACTCAAAAAAATTAATGAATGCGTGAATTTATTTTATTGATTTAATCAGGAACTACAAAACCGAATGCTTTGTAATCTTGAAGATCATAAGCAGAGTAAATTTTTGATCAAAATGTATTTGCTCATCCCCCCTAAAAAATCGATGAAGTCACCTCAAAATTTTGCTAAATAAATCCTTAAATGTGCAAAGTATGATGAGTTTATACTTGTGATTTATCACTGCATTAATATTTTTTAGATTTGCTTATACAGGCTGTCTTAAAAAAATTAATGACTGAGTCAATTTATGTAGTTTTTCAAAGAAGCGGGATTTATGGCACTTCACTCGGGGACGAGAAAAGTCCTGTCGAAATAACTTTCGACCTATTTTTTAGAATATGAAAAACAGAAATTTTAAACAATTCGGCCCTTTTGGAAAATTTATAAAATTACATTCTGCGAATTTAATTCTTTCAATAGAAATATTTCTGCAATGACGTGATCATCATTTATTAATAACGGGCCAATTTCAAGTTGAATTTAGAATTTCGCAAGTCCCCGTTGCCATGGAAGGATGACAGCAGTCGCGAATCGCAACAAAACTGTCATTGAAATTACCATAGCAACAGAACTTGCGATTTCGCAAATCCAACTTGAAATTACCCCCCTAATAAGAGGGATAAATATCGGGTGTTCAATGAAAAAGTCATCAAGTTGACTATATGTATGAATTAATAAAACGCATTTCTACTATCAAACAAGCAATGCCAGCTTAATGACGTTTTCAATGGAATACCCGTTATATGTTTTAGTACGTACAAAGTAACACTACTAGTGTTGCCAGGATCGAGAAAATTAAATAAGTTTTTCTTTTATATAAAAATATAAATATATTAGTTAGTAAAGCACAAACAACATTGCATCTTTAGATATACATATTTTATTTTTTTTCTGTGTAAATGTTTATGTTATTTTATGTTTATATATATTATATTATATTATTTTTAGTATTATTCTGTAACTGGGCATGGTCCCGTTGAATAATAAAGTACTATTACTATTACTATTTTTTAACAAATATTTATGTGATAATTTTTTAGATGACGTCATCGATTTTCTGGAAAACGTGAACAAGAAAATTTAATAGCTGTTAATGACAATGAATTGAGAAAATAAAAAAAATCCGTATGTGGGTTATAAGACAAACCCTAAAATTTATTTATTTTTTTTCAACTATAAACCAATTTACTTAAGATAAAGTCAAAAAAGTTGACGCCCTTTCAGATAATTATTTAGTAAATTTCATTTAAAAAGCATAAAAGGTGGTACTAAACGTATGATCTCATATTTTGCCTCTATTTTTGATGTTCCTACATGATTAAAAAATCGTCTTCTTTTTATGACAAGAAAGTCAAAATATCACGATAGCTTATTCAATTTCATTAAAGTTTCCAATACACAATGAAATTACCTTAAAAAGAATTAATCCAAAGTTATTTAGACAAAGTTTTCCTCTCCTCTGCAGTGCAGGCGAACAAATATAGATTTTTTTGAAAAATATAATATTAAATTTTGCGAATTTTTATGATAACCCTAGAAGTTAAAACACAGATTATGCAGGATGTTAAAATACAGCTAAAAAAGCAAAGATACATATCTCAATTTGAATAGATAGTGTAATACTAATAATAACGCTGTGTAATTATTAGTCGTGTAAATTCGAGTTACTAAAAAATAAATTCTTGAGTTTAACCCACGCCGATTTTAATCACCGATCATCGTAACAATATTCAAACTTTCGGGAAAACGAAGGCGCCGTTCTTGGTTTGATAAAAAAAAATACAACATTATAATCCTATAAATAAATAAACTTATTCCCACCAAGAAATGAATGCTAATTTTGAAGATTTGTCTTCGATAGAATTTTTCTCTTGTCAGATTACCGTCAATTTGAAGGTTTGAGTTGCAAATGCAACGATGAAAGATAAATCTTTACAAATCCATGGTTGTCTTTGATCGTGTTTTTTGTGGCTCTCGAGGTACAAAAGAAATATTAAGTACATATATCTTTACACAGTAATATTTATATTTCTTTTTGCTTTTAAACTGCCTCCATGAATATCTAAAAAATTAATGCATGGAAAAACTGATATATCTCACTTGTGTTTCGCATGTTTTTAGATCACATTTGATTATTTAGAAGCTGTGTATGCATATACATCAACACATCTTTGTGAACGCCTATACAAAATGAAAAAACAAAAATTTATTATTCCCTTACGTCAGAAAACAAGTTCATTCAATGTCGTTTATGTTACGAACTTCAAGACCCGTGGGTTTTTTTATTAAATTATGTTTCAGAGTGAAGCTGTATAGGGTTTTAAAGAAATGATTTGCTACTCAACGGATATTTTTCACTAGACGAGAAAATATAAAATCCTTAAGAAAATAAACATTGTTTAAAATTATAACAGTTTTCCTAGAACAATAATAATATTAATAGTAATAGTCCTAAAAAATTGAAGGAAAACATATTAAGAGAAAAGAAAAATGTAGTAAAGATAAAATAATATTGCAGTTGAAATATCGATTGTAGAAGGTGTCATCTCTGGATTGCAATATTTTTAACAACAGAAGATGAGAATGGTAAGTTTTTTCTACAATTCTAATTGCTTGCCGCGACAACTTGAATAATCTAGAATGATAAGCAATTCTTAGACGATACATTGAAATATTGCTAGACATCATACGTAATAGAAAATGTTTTCAGAAACTTTATTAGCAATAAATTCCCCGTTTGCATTCTAATTAAACATGCATGAATGTGTATTACCCAGATGCGGTGTATTGATCTGACTTAGAAATATTTTTAAAGTAAACAGTACAATTTCGTCTTGATTTTATTCAAGCTTAATCTATTCTCTTCATATCATCATTGAGCTTTATTTAAAGAGATATTACTTTCCCTTTTAAATTGTTCTAGCGGTTCTACAGACGCGGTTCAAAAATGGACTCTTGCGACACACCAGGAGTAATACTACCGTCTTAAGAAAATTTTAAATTTAGTTAAATATGATAAAAATAATTTAGTACTGAAAAAATACATACTCTAAATTTTTTTTTCCAAAACCTGACCTACCACAAACACATTCTTGTGAATGTTATGTGAATCGATCATCTAGTTCTATAAACAAATTTTCAGACCGGATAATCGTTGCGTTTAGTATATAGATATGAAAATAAAGGAAAATTTCCTTAGTGAGTTAAAAAAAATTTTTTTCAAATTCAACGCAACATAACTCCAAAACGGCACAAGAATCCGAATTAGGACAAAAATATGAATTCCAACTCAAATCTGAAGATTTTCTAGGTATTTTCTAGTGCGTTTGTTGCACGAAACCCCAGCATTTACGAAAGGAAAGTTAAAAAGTTACATTACTGAAGTTCTGAACCAAATCTTTGAATCTACAAACGCCCGAACGTGAAAATTTAAAGATTTCTAGGTATTTTCGAGCCTGCAGAAAACGCTAGAAATCACACTGTAGAGTTTGAAGAGTTACATTTGTAAAGTTTTTGAACCAAATCTTTGAATATACTAAGGCCAAAACGTGGAAAATATAGTCAATCATTTCCCCTTTGCCTTACTGGCTGTTACATCACTTAGAAATTTTCTTTGCTTCAGGTTGTCCTCTGCAATTTGTTTTTTATTATTACTGTTTATGCTAAGTATCCAAGATTCATATATGTACAGACACATTTTTATTTTATGTGTTTTTGTAGAAACTTCTAGTTTTTTAAATGATTACGATTAATAATTTATTCACCAGGAGCAAAACAAGTTCAATTTAAAACCCACTGCAGCTTCTCTTTTGCTTATGTTTTGAATATTTCAGGCAGTGTTTTGCGTGAGCAGGCCTATACTGTTGAACTTTCTTTTTTCTTTTTTTTTAACTAACTTTCTGTAATTCTATACCCTTTCACTCCACCTTGCCTTAAAGAATAACGATAATTTTACTTTTGATAATAATTTAACTTTTCTGTTTAAAAAAACATTTCTTTCATCACAAAAAAAGGCTAACAAAAATAGAAAGTAACTAAGTGAAAACTTTTATATTTTATATTTTAATGTCATACACCACCTGATGTTCAAAGCAACATTATATCTCACATAGATAGTAAAAGTTTCCTGAATAAAAACTAAAGTTTTCAGTTCAAGGTAATTTTTTCAAAATTAATTCGAAATTAGAGTGTCACTATTGGAAACAAAACTTTAAAAATGCGGAGACAACAAAAATCTATGTAACAGAAGGTAAAATTATAGTGTCAGTGAAAAGTTTAATAAAGGAGGTATGAATTTCGAAGATCTCGTCAACCTGTTGAAATAGACCAGAATAGACTGTTGAGTTATTTTAAACGCAGAAACAATAGGTAGGGTTTGGATACTTAGGTCTTTCAATTATTTTTTTATATAAGCGACCTAATGCCCCCAAACCATTATGCCATAATTTGACATCGAAATTATTCATTACACTTTGATAATTTACCACATTAAATCAAGAAGAATAATTAATCAACTGTTAAATGATGTACAACACACCGAAGTTATTTGTCATTTATTTATCGAAAAAAAAAAAATACAAACCCATGACTCAACCTAATAAATAAATTAATAAATCTAGTAAATTTTACTTACACATTTATACTATCATCCTCCTTGGTGAGTTCGCTTATAGCGTAGATATCTCCATATTGTTTTTCGATTGTTCCTATATCACTGTAAAACTCTTCGATTTTATTCATAATGTTAGCGTGGGTAAAGTTTAGATAAATTGGTTGTGTCCAGTCTATTAACACATCTTCTTCTCTCAACAATTCCAAATATTCCAGTTGATCACAAGGGCAGAAGACACTGAAGCTTTCGTATATCTTCCCGTTGGGCTAAAATCAGTTACATAAAAGATTATTATTTATTCACCGAACTTGCATTCTCTTAGGAGAAAAGCAAGGCGAAGGTTCGTCAAATTGTTAACACAAATACTTCATTACAAATGGCATTTTTATATACTTTATCGTTTATAGAACACAACATTTTATTAAGAATATTGGAAAATTTTGAAACTAAATTGTCGCACATTAAACATACAGTATACGAAAAATGTGGACACAAACAATTCAGCTTTCACATTTTGTATACCCTTAAATACAAAAAGTACGTAATAAATGGTATTTGTGAATTAACAATGTACAACTTTTTAAAATTCTTGTACAAATTATCTTACTATAGCACCTGTAGCCAAGCTGTATCTTGGGTTTGATAGGAATTTCCTTTGATGAAAAATCCATTATCCGTCACATAAATAAATGAAGTCTCATGATGATATCCCAAATGACACTATCAAAATCACATCCGTGTTCCAGACTTATTGAATATCGACATAGCTAACGCATTTTTGAAATACCAGTTATAGATCTTGCGTTTTTTATGCATTATTCTTTCTAAAATTAGACTTTGATTGCTGTAATTTCCAAAATTCTTTGTTGAATGAATCAGATTTTGAAGGGGTATACAAAATACAAGAGCAATTACTACTAGTAATCATACCATGCATATTTTAGCAGAAAATGAAATTACTAACTTTTTTTATCCCTAAGATCTTTTGTATACTGTATATTTACATTGCACTAGATAACAATAAAGAAACGTCTTCAACATGCAGTGGTATCGAGGTTTCGTTACCATTGACAACGAATGGTTGCTAGAGCAGAAGCTTGTAGCTTTCCTAAAATTTATTCGACTGTTATATTAATTCTTTGGGTGTATGAAACACTTGTAGCTGAAACTAGTTCACAAGTTCTGTGCCATTATTTCCAACTTTACCTATTCACCTTAATATTGAAGTTGCATGAAAAGAACTTGTAAAATAATTTTCACAAATTTAGTGTTAAATTCAAAGACGTGAAATAACGCTCGATGTTTGTTTATCATTTATTTAGGAATAAACAGCCCAAACTCGCACAACGAAGATACCTTCAGGCAACCCTTATGTGTTAGAACAATCCGTTAAACTCAATTCTCTAGTGACCCTATTTACACGAACCAACAACACATAATCGCATGGTTGAATCTAAAAATAAATTTAAGTTTAGTGTGAGTTTATAATGCCGGACTAAACACTTTAAGGAGAAAGGTAACAAGTTTACATTCATTATTCATTTGATAGTTGTTCTCGTCACGAAACACCAATTGGGGTATCTGCAATACCCTCCAGCTTAAGTTGGGCAAAAAGCCAAGTCGGCCAAGGACTAATAAGTAAATTTCGTCTCAAGTCCATAGTTGTAAGTATTCTCCAATAGCTTCTCATATCATAATTTGTGCGTTTGTGTGTTTTATTGTATAAGAAGAAAAGTTTGTTTTGCAATGTGGTTGTAATGTCGTTGTTTCTAAGACAAATTTAAGAGACACGCCGCATCGATCGACGTCAGTGGGTACCACCTTGCTATAAAATAAACGTAAAATTATCTTTCTTCGTCGGTTCTTGTCTTTCGGAATAACTGCATTTGTAGAATTGTAGGATAAAATGAAATTATTACGAAATATTTCAAGGATTATTAACAGATTAAACGTTGGATTATAATCCAGTATTCATAGTTTTAGAAATTCTGGGAATTGCTTTTCTCATGTTTATTTAAAAATGGTGATTTTACGTATTCCAAATTTTTTATACACCTTTTTATTGATTGTAATTCAAACCCGAAGTGTATAATGTTGTACCAAACTTTGTGCCTGTTGGAAATTACCAAGATGAAAAGTTGCGCAGTTTTATAATATATTTATATAGGGCAAGTTTATATACTATTCTGTACGTTATTTTGTTTCTTTTGATATACGATTCTTAAAGATTGATTTTTAATCACGTTTTCACTCGTCTCCTTGTTTTACAAAACACAAGGGAAATACTTATTTCCGTTGAAAGGTGCGAAGTATGAAGTTTTGCTTGAATCACACGAGTATGATAATAATGTATTTATCACACACGTGGTATAATTTGTTTAGAATCAACAAATAAATAAAAAAGATTTTTGTTTGTGTTAGAAAGTGGGTGCGGCAAGCCAACATTACCTGACTAATGCGATAATGTGACTAATTATATGACTCAAATGCACGTAATAAATAAAATTTATCTTACTGCCTTAAATTATTTTTTTTAGCAGCTACGTGTAGATAGCAGTAAATGTCAACTTGATTAAAAAACCAAGCGACATAGAGACAAATTATTACAAAGAAAAGTGAAACTAAACCAGAACAGACATATAGTACTCGTATCTACATATTGTTATATTATCACTATCAATGTTGGTTAATTTTGATAAAATGTTAAAATCAAGGTATTTACAAGTTTTTTGCTAAACATAATATGTATAAACGTGAATGTAGATACCATCAACAACCGAACTATTATTATTCTGCATAAAAATTGTTTGTTAAAGAATTCAGAAATTCCTATGTAAAAATGTTATCTCGGATTTCTCAAAAAACATACTCTTAAAATTAATGCAAAAATTCGCGAACTTTTTTTTCCCTTTTTCTGTGACTAATCAAGTGTTTGTGTCATGATTTTGAGCGGCGATGTCGATGTTAGTCTAAATTATTTCATATTTTCTGCAATAAAGTTATAAAAACTGAGCTGTGGAGCTTAAATCAACTCTGACAGAATCTCATTAACCCATAGAAAACGAATGATCTTTCATCAAACATTATTAGGAAAATCTTACAACCATCAATTTTTTAGAGAGGTTATTTAGAAAGACTGATTTGGGACACAAATATTAAAATTTTGATAGTTCATAACTCATTAAAATTGTACAAACTACAAATTGCTTGTTTTGTTCAATTATGAATAACACTTCTAAAAATACCTGCGTTATAAATTCGTACAAAACGATGCGAATTGTTAGAAATGCTCTTTAAACAAGTTGCTAATTTCTCTTGAATATAGGACGTTTCATCTCAAAAGAATAATTAAATTCAAAACATTTTAAAAACATTACCGCTACAGGGAATAAATTATACGACAGAGAATGTACAAACAGTATATTTAGCCACGTCACACAATTAATCGTAAGCGCTTTAGTACTTACAATTTCATTCAAAGTGAAGTGTTTTTTGTTTAAACCGCCCTTTTTTAAACATGTTTATTGTCGCGTTTAACAGTGGGGAGTTTATGTGGTAACATAGTTATGAGCATAATTGAAGACATTTTTAAGCACGTTTCTTACGTAACCTGTGTTCAATACAATTTATTTCTCATTAAAAAGTAATGAGATAAAACATCCAGTTAGTTTTAAAATATTTTACTGCTTCTGTAAGAGTGAATAAGATGCTAATAGAAAATTTGTAGAATAAATTGTTCTCCTCAAATCTAAACATTTCTTTAAATAGAGAAATAGAGAATGTCGAAAGAAGAAATCTATTCAGCAAAGATTTGTTTTTAATTAATTCAACTGTGAAGGCAGACCATTAAGCCTTCTAGACTGACGTTAAAAACAATTTTCTTTAAAAAAATAATAAATATTCAATATCTGTGTTTTTGAATTTTTCTCAATATTGATTTTTGCCCACGCACATATTCCCCAATACGAACTTCCATCAAATCAAATATTAGCAATTTTTATGGTCTGTCCCGGCGCCTCCACCATCAATATTACAACATTTTTAAGAAAGTAACAATGATATATTTCATACTGGTAGAAAACACCTAGCTAGTTACAAGAAATAAATATATACTAGACATATTTTAACTAAAAAAACCTATGTGAGGAACCTAAATTTAATAAGAATTCGTATCTTCTATTATATATTTCTAAAAGAATACACTTACTTTTAATTCATTTAAAAATAATTGTTTTACTACACAGAGTATCCAAAATAAAACTCACCGACCTAATATTCTGACAACGGACACAGGTATTGAAATTCCGTTAACGCCTTTGTTTTTAGCTTGAAGCTTAATTTAATGTATTGAAAGTGTAACACTTATATAACATATATTTGTTAAATTACGACGTCTATTTTTTTAAACGGGTTTAGACAAATCATAAAATTACGATTACAATAATATATAATACTTAATTGTTTATTTCATTTTCAGCCGATAAAAAGAATTTATAAATATAAAAAAAATTAAATTGACTGAAAGAAAGTACTACCACTTTATTTTACAAACAATTAATAATATTTGCTACAAAACCAATCATTCAAGCATATATTCGAACTGTTAAAAAAACTCAAACATTCTAATTAATTTTTGTAGATAGAAAACAATGGCGTTTACAAAATTTCAATATGTCTATGATTTCTCAGGATATTAGGTGGCTGAGTTTTATTACTTGTATATTTGAATTTTATTGTCTATTTTGACTAATTATACGTAAATATCTAAGTACTTTCGTTTCATATTTCGTCTATATTTCCAGTTAAATCTAAATTTATCAATATCACTCATTGGACAGCTCGAAATCACATACGTTGTTAAAATAAGCACCATCCATATCTGCAACATTACGCCCTTAATCCTTGATTAATTGAAATTATTTAGGAAATATTTACAATGCCTGATGCCACTTGAGCATTGATGAATTCCAAATTAAGCTTGCTGTTGTATAACACGTAAGCTGTTGGCCATGGCTGCCGAAACCGCCTTTATCCGTAGATTATAACATCGAAAGTTGTCACTCGTACCACTTAAACCCAGTTCCTTTTCATAACTTGACGTACTAATAAACTAATGATGTTCTCGGGCAATTCATAATTTTATTTTCTGAGCCGGTCCATCTGTCTTTAATTGTTATGAATATTATTATTATTATTATTGTATACAAAATTTGTTACGTAAAATTCAAACTACAACAACCATATGGTAAGCTTTCACACAGAGAATCCTTCCAATATCGATTTTGCAAATTATTCTAGTTTATCCCTCTAATTAATTAATTATCTTAACCCCACTTCTTTAATAATTCATCACTAACTCCATGTCAGCAAGTTAATAAAATTGTTAGCGAAACAACACTAAGCTGCTTTAAGTTAAGTTCACAATATCCATTCTATTCAGCATTGTGGCTGTTCCGCTCTTTACCAATATCTGCAAGAGGCAAAAAATCGACTCTCACGTGACGTCGCGACGCTCGCTCGATAGTGCACGTATTATTACTATTTGGGCCCAATTTGGCACCACTTACACCCCAATTTACCGAATTATCGTCCATTAATTCACTTTGTAATTTTAACCTGAACTTCAGCAAAACGCTAACTGCGGTTTTAGCAGAATTATGCTAAGAAATATAATGTTCAAAATGGAAACCTGACGAAGATACGATCTACCGGTATGTGTTTATTTAGTCCGAAGCAGTAATTCTTGGCACTTATCGCTTATTAAAAATAAAGTTTAGGAGAGCCCCAAGCTTCGTATTTGTTCGAATTGTCAAAGTAGAGTTGTGGGTAATGAAATGCGACATTTTTCGCAGCGACCTTCACCTGAATGAAAAAGGACTAATAAAAAGCTTACCGTGCTTGTCATGCCAGGAAAGTGGAGGATCACGGGCTGATCAGGCCAGGTTTTCGTCACGTAGAAATGAAAATCCCAAACTCGATCGTTGAGATAAGTCTTCAGTGTTTGATGAAACTGAAAAATCAAACAGAATCTTGCGAAAAATGCTAATGAGATGGGTTCATTTGGTCATGTCGGGTTGCGAAAAAATGTTGCGAAATTATGTAAGCTTGCAGTGGTCGCTTATTACGCTGCAGACCGATTTCCAGGTAGCGAAGAATGTTATGCATGTTTGGAATGAAACATGCTAATAAAGTTGCGTGATTTTTCATGAAAGATTTAGTTAGATACACACGATCCAAAGTTTATAAGTACCTATAGGCATTTAATGATTTTATTTTTCAGTTTCACGTCATGTTTGACCACAAAATTATGGATGTGTATGTAAAAATGGTAGCAGAAGGTCAACGCTTAAAATTATCTTGGGTGGAAGCTATTATTTTGCAAATGTAATTAGGTTAAAACAAAGTTTTAGTAGAAGGTAGTTATGTTTGTGATAGTATTGAGCTACTTTTGTTCCATCGTGCCCCATTACAATACATTAGGCCAATATGCTTCAGATATGTAAAAGAATATATTCACTATATTTGTACAAAGTAAAGCAGAGGAAATTCAATTATGGCAAAATTAAGTCTTTTAATCATTTAACGAACATCATCTATGTAAGTATGTTAGTTACCATTCGTACCTGAAAATTTGCATATTTATCTCAAGGTCGCAATCTAATTTTTTTAAAATCCGTTGTTGCAAGTCGCGTTTTAAAATATTCAATGTGATATAGCATTCCTTTGTTTAAAAACATCAGCGTTTTCGGTGGCTAGAATTTTGAAATCTGAATCGTAAATTTGAAGTCAAGAAGAATGTATCTTAAAATACTTCTGAAAGGAATAAGAGTTTAACTTCTTTGAAAAACCAGAAATTACTTCCTATGATGGGTGTAATTAGAAGATTTCTTCAAAAAAAATTAAACCTCCAAATTTGCCTAGACTGCGTTAGCAAAAATTAAAAATACATACACTGTTTCTATGCGTGCTGTTTGCTATTAGAAAAAAAAGTTCTGCTTCTATAATTATATCATACAAAAACTTTAATGATTCATGCACTAGCACTTGAATTTTCCTCGTGTTAAAATTTAAACTAAATAACAATTAAAAACTAATTAAGTTAAACAATTTATGTTCGTGGTACTACGCACATCGAAATATCTAGAATTTATTGATATTTAAACTTGATGATAAATAGTGCATCATCGTTAATTTACTAATGCTATTAATACGTTAATTAAAATACAGTATGAATATCGAATGAAAAATAAGGATTGTTCAAAAACCAGTCACAGTTAAAGAATATTTAAACATAAAGCCATGTTCTAGGATTGCTAAAATAAGCAGAGTAGATACAATTTTTGTTGTTTTTATTTTTTCCTCATAAAGCTTGTTTTATTAATTTGTAAGTTTATGAGTCATAAACAGTGAATAAATGTTCAAAGATTATTTAACTATTGTTCTTTGTGCTCTAAAAACCCCTATTTTATTTTGCAGTTAAGCTTTATGTAGCTCGTCTTGCCGCATCGTCCTTCAGTGTAGATTAAGGATTAAATCTGTTGGCGAAAGCCATTTGTTTTTATTTTTTACGATTTTCGAGATTTAAAAGGGACATCAGTTAAATGCTCAGTATAATCGGTCGGAGAAATCTTTTATACCCATGTTGTACAATTTTCAGTGTAGTTAAATTTTGAAATTAGTTTCAAAGTTTTAAATCATATTTGGTACCTTAAAATGAGGAATAGTTTTTTGTTTTGAAAATCTGAGGAAAAAGAAAATGTAAATATAAGTTAAGAAAACTCAAGTCTTGTCTAAGACATGGCTTGAAAATTTTTAAACTGATCATGACACCTAGATTAATGAATAGAATTTATGGTGAAAACCATTTATTTCTAGCTTTTGATGTACCAGAACCATTTTAAAAATTTAGGAGTTTATTATTTCGTAAAGTTATACAAATTGTTTTTCTCCCTATCCACTTTTATGTGCCTGCTTCTCTCAAAAACGCATGTATTGCTCAAAATCCTTTACTATATGTCAGTTTTAAAACCACAAATATATCAATTCCGTCAAAAACAAATTGTTTGTAATTCATCATTACGTTTTAAGAAAGATTTTTTATGTATTTCTAATACTCAACATTTACTGGAAGAGATAGGGAACACCAGTTTTCTCTCTTACAAAGGAATTACAAATAAATAATAAGTTTGCTTTCACAAGCAATTTTTAAACAAGCACGACTTGAAGGGGCTCTACACATGTTCGTGACGTCATATCGGTGCGTCATATCAATGCAAAGTCTCCACCACACCTATGTTTATACGTTTAACATTAGACAATTCAGTCTAGACCGCTGTAATTTTTCAACAAAAAATTTTATTTTCATTATTAGGTGTCACATGTTCAAATATGATATGATCGAAAAAAACTCATCTAGTTGGTCATGAAATTAACTTTTAAAATAACAATGACGGTACTGCAGCTATTTAACACTTTATTTGACAGCCATTTGACCGCAATTGTCAAATTGAACAAGAAAAGCGTTGGTATTGCCAACATCATTATTTTAAGTAGTCCAAAACAAAAGTCGATATTTTCAATACAGTTGTCAGCCAGACTTCCGAGAGGTGTTTTTACATCACAATCGCTTTTTATACTTACGTTTATAAACTAGTATTTAACAAATGCATGTTATACTACCAGAACGTCATAAAAAACCCTGTCGTTAACAGTTTTCAACCCCTCGAATTAATAACCTAACAAGTGACTTTAAATGAAAGCTTGGAATTTTATTAAAGAGCTTACCTCAATACAAGTGCAACTTTCCTATATATAAAAACACAAGAATTTTAGTGTATGGAAGTTTTAAAGTTTAACTGTTTTTCAGCAGTAAAAGCGCTATCTAGCATAGCAGGGTGTTCTGTATTTACATCTGCTAAATTAAATTATATTTTTCCCGATAAAAAGAATTACTAAAAATCGCACCCATTTTCTAGAAAGTCTTTAACATGGACACGCTAGCCATTGAACGCCCACCTTAAGTGCAAATATGCTGTATAGGAAATAAAAATAAAAATTTAATGCTGTTTTTACTGCAAGTTCTTTAGTCTTATTGTGTTAAGGATGTTTGAACATTTCAGGCATTTTCTATACAATGTGGACTTTTGTTACATTGAAATGTGTAGTTCTATTGTTATTTTTTAACAGTTAAGCAAGTAAAATGTCGTAGTCTATGAAGGTATGCTTTGTTAATAGTGTAGGAGGGTTAAAGAAATATATTTTTTTGGGTTGAAAATAATGAATTGTTAAAGAGAATGGCGTCTATTGATTAAGGATTATGAGCAAAGCTTATTTAGTAACTGACATGCAATGACTAGCCACAACATAATTATTAGTGAAATCTGTCAAATAATTGACAAAAATGACAACAATATGTTAAAGTTTCGTCTGTATCTATATAATATATAAGTGATGTTTCTCGAGAAAAAAATCGACAACTGAATAGACAGCTGTTTTCAAAATAATACTAAAACAAAAACAGTTGTTTTAAATTAAATACATCATTCAGTGTTTGCTACATTTGAATGAAAATATGCAAAATTCAAAAGGATGAAAGTTATAATTTCCATTAAAAATGCGTCGAGTATTGCTTACGCTTATTTAAACAGTGATTTATGCGAATTCTCTTTGATCAATCAGTGCCGAGTCTGTCAATTTTGTTATTTACATATTTAATAAAATCTCTCTTAAATGTCAGATCTCGTTAAAAATTTTACAGCAACGATTATTACAAATCCTTTATTAAACACAGGCGCATCCACCAAGATTAAGCATTAGTAATTTAAAAGCACTGTGTACAGAATAACATTTTATATTTAGCACTTTCGGCAGCACATTCTGCGAATAAAGTAAAATCTCACCTTAATTGAATGAGGTAAAAATTGTCCAATAAATTCAATTATGTCTGGCAGTTCAGAGTCTTCAAGTAATCTGAAATTCTTCCCCTCTGACAATACTTCTTCCATTGCTGAAAGCAGAAAACAAAACAAAACGGTGGGGTAACTGCATTCATCAAATTGTTAAAACCGCAACGTTAACATTGACGAAGACGACGATAGTATTAAAATCATGGCAGCGGTGACCCCGGCTTTTTAATTTATTAAATAATACATATATTATGCAACACCTTATCCCCTTACCATAAAAAATGTATACATAAAACCGCAACAAAATTTATAAAAATTAAAAACGTTTATGTAAGGGATACACATCCGCAGCGTCGCTGACTCGTAAAATTGCACAACAAACCTTGAATAAATAAAAGCACCCCTAAATCACGATTTTTACAACGAAAGAAATATGATTCGGCACAAAAATATGTTTCGTCATAAATAACATTAAACAAAGAAGTACGAAATTGCTTTTATACTTTACCTCGTTTAAGACGAGCAATATAAAAAAGTCTTCTTCGATCTTAATAAGCTGATTTCAACTACAAACCCGAATGTTGAGTAAATGAATTAGTGTCTCGTGTGACGGAGTTATTTGCAAACGAGTGATAGGAGGAAAAGCACATTGATCGACTCGCAGGGTGCGGAGAGGTCTGCAGCCCCCGAGCGCTCCCCTTGTACTGCAGCTGCCCTCACACAGGATTTGGTGGGAAGTGAAATGGTAGCGCACGTCGCACCTTTTTAGTTGCGCAAAATGTAGTGGAAAAAAAGAATGAGTTGTAGCAAAAAGGACGCTGAATTCTAATTGGAATGAATTAAAGAATGAAGAAATGAAGAAAATTTGAGAATCAAAATACGTGGATGCGGATTCCCTCACGTGGATGAAGGCCAAGCTGCAAACGAGGAGAAACCTGTAGAAGTTTGTTCGAATAAGTTTTTTGCAGGAAATTGAAACCCTGGATTCAAGGCTTCGAAATTATTGTTGCTTGTTCATCAATAATATATTTTAAATTGATTTCAGTTAGTTGATTCCACTTAATGCAGTTGGAATTAAATATAACGAATCGAATGACGAGTAAAACAATCAAAGATTAGGTATCTCTTGTTAAAACTATTACAACAGCTATTTTTCCTTAATGGAGCGATATGCGTGCAATAACCATTAAATTTGACTTCCGATTGTCGTTTTCATTGCGAATGTCATTATAATTGTAGATAGGTAGACAATAAAGTTAAAAGCTGAATGTTCGAATTAACGTACTACGTGTTATGGCGAAAATTATGACGGTGGAAAACAGTAGTGGTTTCTAGTAAGAGTCGCAAAATTCTGGCTGTGTCTTTCTTTCAGAGAATAATGCGTTTTATTATTTATAATCGCCGCAACGTGTAAACGGCTAGCCGGCACCTCCGGCTACCGTTCACGTGTCCTTGCAGTCACGCTACGTCAGTCAAAATCGACGCTAAACTGAGCAATTAGAGCCGGGTTTTCTATAAATGTTAACCGTTGATCCTGCAGCCGAGACTGCCATCGATTTGACTATCTTCACTCGTAAGTGTTGCGGCAAACAGCTTAGACAGTAAAATATAAATGCAAATCTACGATAATACAGTGTAGTGGCTGTCGCTTAAAAAAATTGTGTTATTAGCATTTTGTTTGGCAGTGATTTATATTGAATATTACTAACAAATAACGTCCCCAACGTTGTAATTATTTTTTTAATAGGTACGTGATTAAATCACTCGCTTTCTTTTTCGGTTATTTATTCAGAGATCTAACAAAAGAGATAGTAGATGTAAATTCAACAAATGGATTAAAGAAAGACGATCATAAATAACGTCGCGAATAACCGTTTCAAATATACCAGCCACTTAAATGCGGCAAATTTAGAATCAAATTCTAAGAGGACGAATTGGTTTCGAATTTGATATGATTTTATTGTCTCTTCATCAAATGATTGTACTGATAAATTATAGAAAATCTGTGGAAAAACACCCATAATTCTTTTGATTACCAACCTAGCAGGCAAACTGCCTTAAAGAGATTTATAAATAAAACTAGTGCTGCGTGACAACCCACGTAAGATTGTTTGTTACCTCGAATTTTTAAAATCGAAATGATCAATAAGCCACATGACGATCAAATGACGATAAACATGAAGAACAAAATTTATTGCAAAGTTAAAATATAAAGCTTGATAATTATAATGATTTTTGACGTTGAGGTACAAGATCAAGCCTTCTTTAATAAATTTGTGGAGACTATTTAGCCCCACTGACCTAAGAAAATAAAAATGATCTTGGAGCACAGATAGCGAATTAAGGGAAGTTTGAAGTTCAAGTGTTCTTTATTGGAAACTGTCAGGTTGAGCCCAAAGTGACAGCACATTATTGTGGAGGCTTTTATCACTTTACTAAAATAATTCTCTTGTTCAGAGAAATTATTTTGAGTCGTGGCACTTGTACCCTGTATGAAAAAAAAATACTCGTATCGGTCGTTTGCATGCGAATTGAAACCAGTGTTTGATAATGGTCCACATAAATTTAACACGACCTCTCTTTTCTAATAATTGTGAACATACTTAATCGATAACCACGATTAAAAATGTATGAGTAAAACACCCCGACTGAAAGAAATCTTTATATCAAACAAATATTAAAATAATACAATATACTCGCCTGTTGCGCCCATTTAACATACAAAAGCATTTCAGGATCGTAGTTCTAAAACAAACTAATCTAGTTTTAACCAGCCCCAACAACTTCACTGTTGTATTCAAAGTTCCCATCGTTTTTTTCTAAACTGTAAATTAACTTGTCCGCAACGAGCACATCTACAAAAAAACAAGCATTATAAATAGAGTACTAGCCATGGGATTAATGAGGAAGTCATACAAGTTTGTAAATTTAATAATAATATTGCAAATTCCACGTACATGCTATTGATTCTCTTTAACGGATGATAGCGGTGAGGAAATTATTAAAATACTTATATTAGTTGAATTTGCAACAACTGCATAAACGACCCCATTTTCAAACAATTTAACATCAACCACAAAACCCTAGAATAGTTACGTGGTCGAATGCTTCTTCCACTTAATTACTCGTTGTACGAAATGGAAGACAGCTTTTAAGCACAGTTGCACTAAAATAGATATAATTATAGTTTACTACACTACTGTTAACTCGCAACTGGCATCAATAACAATTGACAAACCTCTGATTTCTAGTAAACACAATTCTTACTTATTCTTTAAATTCGTAATTCATCAAAAAGTCCGAAGTTTACGACACAAAACTGTAACATTTAACTATAGAGGTAGAGTGTTCGGTGGAGGTTTCTATCCTGCAGGTTTTTCGTCGTTCTTGCAGAAAGGCAAAGAAGAATGAGGTAAGTAGCTGCGATAATACAAATAATACACTACTCAGTATTTAAGTTTCCTTTTTTCTGTCTAAGACATTGCCAACACAGTTGGCAAAATGTGAAATTCGAGTGAATGTTTTTCGCATCAATATATTCAAATTTTGACTGTCAACTAAAATGAAATTCAGACTTGGAATTTATCTACAAGCGCAAACTCTACATAAATTAAACGAAACTCGGCACAAAGAAAATTAAATTAATTCATTAAAATAAATTAAAGGGCTACAAATTGAAGATATTTACAACACACCTAAGTGTCTTAGATACGGCATGTTCATTTCATCCTTTTTTATTTTTTGTGCGTTATTAATAATAATTTATGCTATCGAATGTCATTACTTGTAAGTGACTGGACAAAGCTAGTGTCAACCTCGAAGTTAAAAAAAATAAACCGTGACATTTACTGTAACAATAAATTCTTCTTGTTAATCTAATTTAAGAGCTGGGTTCAATAAAAAGATAAGCTTGAAATAAAAAAAATGTCAAGAGGAATTATGTCCATTAATGAACGACAAAAACACACCGTGAAGTTCCCAACATGCTGAAAATAGACTTGTCTGATTTAAGATTTCTTTTATCATATTTACAGTACGCTTAAAGAGAAATATTAATAGCATTAATAAATTTATAAATAGAGTATTAATTGTAGCATAAGATTATAATATTACGTTATATTTGTAAAACTGTGCCTTGTTGTCAGTTATTGAAGCTTTTTTTGTCCACTGTTGCTGTTCACAACCATATTGTTTTCCCGTTTTATTTTTATTTTTTATCAGATCACGAGTTATAGATTTGCAAATGTTACAATCCAAATATTGATATCATAATATGATAAAAATACAGCTCCTTTATACGAGCGAAATCGAACGGTCTTTGTATTATTTATGGATTTCAGTTCCAACTCTTATTAACCACTTCTTTATTAATGTCGTATTAAGTTTGAAACGTCAGGTACAGGCTGAAAATCCGAACTTCTTATTTCAGTACGCAGTTTTCGCAGAGACATCTCGACCGTGAATAAGTTTTATACAACTTTAAACGTTTGGACGTTTTACGTTGCTTTAGTTTTTAAAATTAAGTAACATCCTGTTATGTAAAACAACGCTGTGTATAAATCCACTCAAAATGTTTGTGCAGACTACAAATATTACAAGTTCTGGCTCGAACGTCAAATTCCATGCCTGATCTAAAACAGTAATGCAAGTAATAAATATTAATATCTATTTAGATAATGCTGTCACTTCAAATTTTCGTCTCCTACATTTTCTCTTTTCTAGAGAAGCAAATGCTGTGGTTACAAATAAGTTTAAGTAAAAACTGTGTGTGTTTTTGGAAACCCTTGATCATCTATGGCTTCGTAAAAGAGCTTGATTAAAGTGTACGTAGAAATCCTTTATCTGCCAGGATGTGGAAAATTCAACACATAGAGATATCGAATCCATATGGTCATTTCTTTGGGTTCTATTTTTCCTTTGATTATTCGTAAAGGTCAGAAAAATAATTTCACCCGCAACCTCATTTATCTTTTCATTCTGCAAAAGGTTACCAATAAGTTTTCTGAGACTCATTGTGAACTTCTTAACCGAAAATACAAAGCATCTATATTTTTTAAATCGAGTAGGTACATAGCTGCCCAATTATACTACATATATTGAAACTAGATCATGTAAAAATAAGCATAACTTAAAACTACCATTTTCAACAGCTCCTGCTACCTTGTAAGAATTAGATTTTGTTGGATTTTTTTTAATTTCCGAGCCCGCATCTGAACTTTCTTTTTTAAGTTCAACAACTCTTTCTGTTGCCCTTCAGTTTCCCTATCAACAACATCAACATTTTCTTGGATTTAGTTAGTGTGGTTTTGGTGTTAATGAATACCTGCTTTCAGTGCTTTCTGAGGTGCGATCTCTTTAATTCGGGATGGATTTTCAAGCAAGGGGATTAGAGTAAAGAGTTATTACAAAACTTGAACATAATGGATGTCGTCTTTGGTTTGTTTTAATGTTTGCCATGACAGTCTCAGTTCAGCCGCAAAAGTTTTCAATCCTCCGTTTAAACATCCAGGAAAGAAAGCCTTATAACTTTCAGTATGCGCAAATTATCAACGTTGCAAAAGAAAGGAAACCTGTTATTACACGCATGGGGCTGTTTTACATGTAGTTGATAAACAGGATCTATTGATTAGTAGCACGTGTTAGCCTTCAAGTGTGTTCATATATTTTTTTAAGAATTTGCATTTGTTTGAAGAACTCAGTTACAAGAACAAACTCTATTAAACTATACTACATGTATTTGATGTATACTATATTGCTGAGTATAGAATAACATTATTTCATCTGTCTTTTTTTTACTTAGGTTTCACATATACTGCTTGCTGTATATTTACTTTATAGCAGAGTTGCTATAACCATATTTGATGATATATGTATTTGAAAATAGTTTTCTAAGATTTACAATATTTTTTTCAAAGCGACAGGTTAATTTTAACTTTATCCCATTTGTAATATAAACATCTGTTAATTATATCAAGATTTTTCCTTACTTTCACCGCTTGTAGCTTGTAGCGCACAAAGTTTACAGAAATAACATTCTCATGTTGTCACTAATAATACAAAAGCTATTAGTTCACGTTAAAGCCGGTTTTCCACAAAATACAGAGACTTACAAGTGGGTTTCTTTTTTCGAAACCTTCTAATTCTAGAAAGAAAACTAACACTATTTTTGCACACTTAAATAGTCTTCAGTACCGCAAGGTGTTTCAGTGCTTTTGGTTGCCCAAATTTGAGTTGTTATTTTATCGAATTAAAAAAATTTCTAATCTGTTCAGTTTTAAACTGATTATTAATTATTTGTATCCAGAGAGCAATAAAAATACGATCAAAAAAGACAGCCATGTGTGTAGACGAATCATCGTCCAATTAAAAATTTAACTTGAAAATGAAACGATCAAAAACAAATCTTCAAAAATTCACGGCTGTCTTTGATCGTGTTTTTATTGCTCTCTCGATACATATATACATGTAACTAATTATATGGCTGTATTTCATTGCTGTTACTTATAAAGCACGTCAATTTTCATAAAGTTGCTAAATCACCGGATTCGCACAAAAGAGAAGTAAAATATGATACAGAATTTATTAAACATTGATTAAATTTTTGTCTGATAACAACAAATATTTATTAATTTATTCAGCGACATTTATATTGTGCTGTTTATTTATTACATATTTAAATGTAGATAAAATTTGAAAATTTGTGTTTGAAAATTAAGGTTTTACAACAATTCAAAAGAAACTTATCTTTTCTCTTTTTAGAACCCCGTATTCGACTGTCCGAGTTTATTGATTAAAACTCGCCACGAAAATATCGTGCACGACCTGTTTCTGTTACGTGGAGTTGAATAATTTTCATTTAAGTTGTGCTGATTTGGCAAGCAGTACTAGTGTAATAAATAGTGAGTTACTGATTTGGATCAAACCATAACTAAAAGAAGTAGGTAACACCCAAAACATTGTGGAAGTCACACCACAAAACCCCCAATTCTCCCAAGAACAATTGTAGATGCATTACAGTTAGAACCCAATGTGTTGGACGTATGTTGCAGGTATGTTTGTAGACTTTACATAAAGGCCATTTCTATTATTTTAGCTTATAATTTAAATAAAGGGAGTGTTCTATTATTGACCCAACATGAATTTCAAATCACTAAGTCCCCATCTATCGTCCGATTATAGCGAACGCATACCAACTAGTCAGATTTCTCTATTACCGACAATGAGTTTACACTCCATAACAGGTTAACTCTTCTTCACATTTAGCATTTACTAGCTTTTATACGTCTGCGTCGTGGATAATTTAGTAAAATCTCTTATTTTACAGAGTATCTGGATGATCTTAAAATGTCAAGGCGAAGGGGACGGGACTATGACCATGTAGATTACACAAAGCTGGCACCAACTGATAAGGACAATGGATTTGTTGATGCACAGTTTGTGACACCCACGCAAAAAGTACCATGGAAGGCAATATGTTTGGCTACATTGCTGCTCGTAGTAGGCACATTTTTACTAATTTTTGGGTCACTGGTGGTCAGTGGCCACATCATACTTAACTACTCCGACAGAATGTGGCCCATGATTATTTTGGGCTTGCTTATGTTCATTCCGGGGGCGTATCATGTTCGCATTGCGTATTATGCCTATAAACAAGTGCCTGGATATTCTTTTGATGATATTCCAGAGTTTGACTAGTTTGGAGTAACTATGTTAGCCATTTTTAATAAAATACAGTATTATATTTTTCATAGACAAAGTACCTGAATTAGAATGTGTTAAGTTTTGTAGACTTCTTATGTAGTGTTTTGTGGTAGTCCATGTAAACAAACACTACAGACTGTTTCAGTGGTGCCTTTCTCTAAGTCTACTGTTTAAATAGGTAAATTTAGTTGAAGTTTCCATTGCTTAGATTTATGGGTAAATGGAAAAATTTAAAACAAATCCTTAGTAGGTTTAAATATATTTATTATGTACCTAATTTAAATAAACTATTTGGAAGCAACAATTTGGCAAATTTTTGTACGTCGGTGTGTACGTAACCAAAAGTTATTAAAGTTTTTTTTTAATTTCTAGGGTCTTTTTGCATATGAAACTATGGTTCCTAGGGTCCCTACATTAACATAAAAAATCTGAGAAAATCTAATTGGAATATGATCGCAATCTAATGAGCCTTTTTCATTTTAGATTCAAGTCTAGTATTTTTTGTAAATTTTTAATCAAAAATAACTTTTGAGAATAATTTTAACTTATCTCGTTTTAAGTTTCCCACATTTTTTTCTTTTCAATAGATTCACAAATCACAAAATAGATTCCAATAGTGTAACATCAGTAACGCTTTTTGACATATCTGGCAACACTGCCCGACAATCGGGTTCTTAATCTGTCTGTCAAAACGTTGACAGCTGTCATATTTTCAAAAGTGGAAAAGTAAACAAGATCCTGTTGCTCCTATTATTAACACAAAAAAAAATATGGTAAAACCATACACCAAATTTTCTTCCATTAAACGATTTTATTTCAGTCTGTGACACTTCATACCGATTTGGGCAACATAAAAATCGAGCTATTTTGCGAATCCTGTCCAAAAACATGTGAAAACTTCCTAGCACTATGTGCTAGCGACTACTACAACGGCTGTTTATTTCATCGAAACATTAAAGGTTTTATTGTTCAGACTGGTGACCCCACAGGCACGGGTAAAGGCGGCACCTCGATATGGGACAGAAAATTTGAAGATGAATTTAAAGAGCAACTCAAGGTATTAATTACAATGTATGTAAAGAGTTTACAAAACATGGTTGTCTTAGCATTCTACCCGAGGAATGCTGTCAATGGCAAATAACGGTCCCAATACAAATGGTAGCCAATTTTTTATAACCTACGGTGCCCAGCCTCATCTAGACCTAAAGTATACAATGTTTGCAAAGTAAGTAAAACGTTGATAGATTTCTTTTATGCATAGTTTTGTAGGGTTATAGATGGATTTGAAACACTAGATGAATTGGAAAAGGTACCAGTGAATCAAAAAAATTACAGACCTCTAAATGACATAAGAATAAATAGCATTACAATTCATGCAAATCCGTTGGCTCAAGGTTAACAATAAATGTAGGTATTAGACACTATCACTATCTACTTCTTTATAATCCAACACCAAAGCAGTTAAATCTTCCTTGGCGTCAGTAAATTCCCCTTCTTCCATCCCTTCACCAACATAATGATGTATGAAAGACCTTTTTGCATACATCAGGTTAAATTTGTGCACTATTCTTTGCCATGCTTCCTTAATTGCTGAAGTATTAGATAACATGGTAACTGCTCTTGTGACTCTTGCCAAATCGCCGCCAGGAACCGTTGTAGGAGGTTGATAATTAATACCAACCTAAAAGTTTCAAAAACAATACATCATACACCACTGTAAAAGAAAATTACTTTAAAACCAGTGGGTGACCAGTCCACAAACATGATACTTCTTTTAGTTTTGATATTTTGAATAGCGCTGTTTACATCAGTAGGTGTCACATCACCGCGATACAATAAACAACAAGACATATATTTTCCGTGTCTGGGGTCACATTTTACCATTTGGTTCGCCGGTTCAAAACAAGAATTTGTTAACTGTGCCACAGACAACTGTTCATGATATGCTTTTGTAGCTGATACAAATGGGGCATATGTTATTAACGGGAAATGAATTCTGGGATAAGGCACCAAGTTTGTTTGAAACTCTGCTAAATCTACATTAACTGCTCCTTCAAACCGCAGAGAAGCTGTAACTGCAGACACTACCTAAAATAACTGAAAATTATAAAAAACACATTTAACACCGACGTACTTGTCCTAAAAGTCTGTTAAGATTGGTGTAGGTGGGTCTTTGAACGTCTAAGTTTCGTGCTAGAATGTCATAAACTGCCTCGTTATCCATAATGAAACAGACATCTTCGTACTCGATACATCCGTGGGTTGTAAGGACAGCGTTATAGGGTTCAACAATTACTGGTGATATCTGCAGAAAATAGCTTCTGTTATTACATTACACGGCATTACGACTGTAAAGTGTACTCGTGGTGCAGGATAAACGGCGAATTCCAGTTTACTTGTTTTTCCATAGTCCATTGTCATTCTCTCCAAAAGGAGCGTAGTAAATCCTGACCCTGTACCTCCCCCGAAAGCACGAAAAAAAATAAATCCTTGCAAAGAGTTGCAATCATCTGCTACTTTTCGCGTTCTATCTAAAGCTAAATCTATCATTTCGCTACCTACAGTGTAATACCCTCTTGCGTAATTATTAGCTGCATCCTCTTTGCCTGTTAGTAGTTGCTCGGGGTGGAAAAGATGTCGATAATGACCCGTTCGTATTTCATCTTAAATTGAAACCAAATACTTTGCGTGAATGAGTATATTCTCAATTTTACCTATCGCTGTCGGTTCTAAATCAACCATTACGACCCGTGGTACAGCTTTCCCGGCCGCAGAAATCGAGAAAAAGGCGTTATAGCTGTCATCACTTTGGTTTCGGTGATAACCGGGATAAAGTAAACCATCAGGCTGAATGGCGTGTTCTAAACAATATAGCTCCCAACAGGCGTTTGCGATTTGAATTCCAGCTTGTCCTATGTGTATTTGAATGACTTCTCTCTAAAACTGTATCAGAAGTGTGATTTTCTAAATGATCATGCTTACATTGGAAGGCATTATATGTCGTGTTTCCACTGCATTTGGTTTAGTAAATCTTCACTAAAAGTTACGTTTTACAAAAAATTTAGACAAGAATAGAGCCGAACGAGTGAATGGGTTGACAAAAATTTCACATTTTGACTTTTGATGTCATCATGACAATTTTTAGTTTCAAAAGATTGACTGACAAGACATTTATTGTTAAATGTTTATTCAAAAAATATGTTCACATTTTATGTGTAACAAAACAGTCTTATTCAGGTTTATCTGGGACACATGGCGTGTCTTCCACCATCAACAGGTATTGTAGCCCCCGTGATGAAACTAGCGTCATCACTAGCCAAGAAAACGATGGTCTGTGCCACCTCTTCTGGTTTCCCTGGCCTCCCCAAAGCATGCGTTTCACTGCTTCTTTTAATGAAAGCTTCGTACTGCTCCTGATTCATGCCGCCCCTCTTGTGTAAATTGGTAATCGTCACCCCTGGGTTAACGCAGTTAACCCTGACTTGCTTTGGGGCTAAATCCAGTGCGACGCACCTGGTGAACTGATCAACTGCCGCTTTGGACAGACAGTACGCCAGTACACCAGGGAATGCCCTCAAACCATTTACGCTAGAAACATTGACAATGTTGCCTTTGGTTTTAACCAAATGAGGGACAGCTAGCGTGGTTAAATGGTACAAGGAGCGAACATTGGTGTTCATGACTCTGTCATACTGTTGGACGTTGGTGTTTTCGATGCTTCCGGTTTCTATTATACCTGCATTATTGACGAGGATGTCAAGGCGGCCGTAGTGTGTGATGGTTTTCTGGAAGATTTCTTCGGTGTCTTTTTCGTTGGTTAGTTCTCCGGTTAGCAAGAGTGGTGCTTTGTTGCCAGGGGAACATTCTGAGGCGACTTGTTTGAGGTTATCTAGGTTTCTTCCCGCCAAAGCTAGGCTGGCACCTAATCCGGCGAATTGTTTGGCCGCTGCAGCACCTATTCCGGAGCTGGCACCTGTGATTAAAACCACTTTTCCTGCGAAATTCATTGTGGAAATGTGGAATCTGTACACTTATTTGTTGAGTTGTCGACTGATTATTTTAACCTCTATGTTTTTTTTAGTAGCTTGTTCAAGGTCGAAAAACAGAGGATTTCAATTTACAAGTAGTTAGAGAGAGACAATAAATAAAATGTTTATTTTATTCAGTGGATGTGTAAATAAGAATTTGTGTTTACACAGTGATAAGCTGTATGTACAGTTTGTTGGTAATAACTAATAATACAGCTAGATTGCAGTTTTTTTATGTTTGAAGTTAATATTTGGATTTTTGTTCATTTTTGTAGCATACATACTTACCTACTTAATAAGAACCGGTAAACGAGGTACTTAACTATGGACACACGTGTGTTAAATATAAAAATTATAATTGAAAAAATGATTGGCTAAAAACTCGACCCAGTACTTCCCCAACATCATATTTAAAAATTCGTAACATGACATCTTTTTACTTCCCGAGCGTAAGGAAAGGAAGTATTAGCCAAATACACTGACGTCATCCGAGGTCATCAAGATGGCAGCGTTTGACAACTAGCCGGTTTTCTCATAAGAGTCAATGCTAATATTTTCGGAATTCATTTAAATTTGAGAGTGTGTCAACTGTGTTTTTATAGTTTGGTAAGTTTGTTACAGTTTCTAGAGTGTGTAGATATCTGTAAAACGCACCATAACGTTTGAATATCCTTAAAAAATAATGTTTTCCAATGTGATGTACAGGTTAACTTCGTTGCATCTTATATTATTTGTTTTGCAAATTAATTCTGTGTTAATGTACATCAATGTTTTTTAAATACACTAGCATCTTAATATTATAATGTTTTGTATTTTAGGAGAAAATGCCTAAATTTTGTGCTGTTGTGGGTTGCGCGAATCGAAGCACCAGAAATACGGACAAATTTTATTTTCCTTTCCCAGCAATTAGCAACAATACAGGTAAATATGTACAGGATGGGGAAAAAAAGGCGGAAGCTTTGGTTAAAAGCCTTGAAACGAGTGGATTTAACGAAGCCAAAGTAAAGTATTCCTATATTTGTTCGGATTATTTTATTTTAGGTACAGTAACTACCTATTAGGTTTACAGTTTCTAATAAATTACTACATTGATGCTCTTTTAGGTAAACCTGCAGATTTGTCGGATGTGGACCAGCCTGATTATGTTCCATCACAAAATTTAGGATATCAAAATAAATTCACTCATAATACTTGTAATGTTGAAAGACACAGTCGTTTAAAAAAGAGAAAACTGAATAAATGCCTCTAGACTTTTGAATGCACGAATTTCATTGTAGGTTATTTTACTTATTCCAAAAATAAAAAAGTTTAGAATGGTATTCATTGTTATGGTAGGGACATCGTGTAAACACAAATTAAAATCACTTGCACTCATTATATAAGGATCTACGCCGTTTAAATTATCCATACTTTAAAAACAAATCACACATCTTCACTTAAACCCGTCACATTAACCTCAAACGAAAATATTAATTTCCGATTTACCGCTTAAAACACGGATGTATTTTGGGTGACGAGGAATTCAGACCAAAACAGCGTTCTGTATTTTTATTGTTATTATGTATTTCTAAACTCAAATCGCCAAAAAAAGCACCCTGATACACAGAAAAGATATGAAAGAAGCTACTGACGTGTTTATTTTCTAGATAAATATCCACACTTTTAAATAAAATGCGAAAATGTTAACATTGTCGCTTACGAATTTTCACGGCGCTTGTCAAACGCTGAGTTCCCGCCACAGCGTGACGTCACGTGTTATTGGCTAATTGTAATCGAGTCCATCGGCCGGCTCTCTACTTTTACGTTTTCTCGACCTTTCATGACCCCTAGAGTAAGAACAGATAGGTCTCCCGTTTCCGCCTGTCTGTCTGTTTGTCCGTCTGTCTGTCTGTTTGTCTGTCTGTCGTCCCCATTTTTCTTAGACAGTTAATCTCTGACTGAGCCGATTGTTTATATTAGAAATATTGTGCAGATGATAAAACGCTAACCAAAATTTGTCTAATCATCCCCACCAATAATGCGATAACGTCACTTCAAAATTGTATATAGTAAATGGGTTTTAAATTGTATAAAATCAAGTCCTACACATGTAGTTTCGTGTTGAGTTTTACCCGAAACGTCCAGATTTTTGGAAAAAAAATCAATATTATAAACAACATTTTACAATTTAATTTTGAATCTGCAAAACCAAATGCTTTGAAATCTTGCAGATATTTTGAAGTTATGATAAGGATAGTAAATTTTTACTCAAAATATATTTGCTTATCCCCTCCAAAAAATTGATGACGTCAGCTCAAAAGTTTGCCGAATAAATCCTATCTAAAATGTCCAAAATATGATGAGTTTGCACTTGTGATTTATCATTCCGTTAATATTTTTTGGATTTGCTTGTACAGGGTGACAAAAAAATGTATGAATGCGTGAATTTGTTTTATTGATTTAATCAGGAATTGCAAAACCGAATGCTTTGAAATCTTGGAGAAATTTTAAAGTTATCATATGCAATAAATTTTTTATCAAAACGTACTTGCTCATCCCCCCTAAAAAATTGATGACATCACCTCAAACAATTGCTGAATTAATTCTATCTTAAACGTGCAAAATATGATGAGTCTGTACTGTGATCTAACACTGCATGAGTATTTTTTAAATTTGCATGGTAACTTTTTAATCAAAATGTATTTTTTTATCAATCCCAAAAAACTGATCAAAATTTTGCCGAATAAATTTTACCCAAAATGTGCAAAAAATAATGAGTTTTTACTTGTGATTTATCATTATTCATATTTTTTAGTTTTGCTTAAAGAACGAGCTCCAAAAAATTAATGAATGAGTCAATTTATTTTACTGCTCACTGCATGTTCCCAGAAATTTTGGGAATACAATACTGTTATTTTTAGTATTACACTGCACCAATCCAAGTAGATATACGTGTCCTTGCAAAAATGTTGATGAGGTTGTGGTGACCAAATTTGAATTAAAATTTCGCGCTGAAAAAAAAAACAACGGCGCGAAATCGCATTTGAATAATTTGAATTTGAAAAAATCTTTCATCAAGAAAATCCTTATACATAGGCAACCATGTTTAGTTCTTTTCTGGTAGTTGGAAGCTCTTCTAGGGGAATTTCTAGGGAGCATCTAGTGAGAGCGTTGATAGATGCGTCACTCTGTTCTGTGGCGTCACTATTGTTTGGTGTGTGAGCGGAAGCATGTAGTAAACTAGCTAGGTTAAGTTTAGTTGGTTTGGTAGTTAGAAAAAAAAGGGGGAAAGCCTTTGTTTAATGAAAGTTAATACAATCGATGAAGACGCCACAGTTTCCCCAACACGCGTAGCTAATTCTTGCGGTTTTTCCAAGCGGAAATATGCGAATTTTCAACCGACGCCAACACGTGGTGTAAATTTGTTTTATTGTTTGTAAATTCACAGTTCATGTCAGGATTTTAATCGTTAACTGGTTGTAACACAATTTAACAGTCAGGAGTTCGTTTAGATAAAGCACTTGCTAGGAGATTCCATGCAATTCACTTAGTCAAATTATGAATAAGGTTTCTGGATGCTTATACTTAAGTCTTACATTATAACACTTCTTAATTCCTTTACGGCAGTTAAATCAACCTAACGTTGTCCCGCTCTGGGAAAAGGATCGTGAAAGTGCGGTAGAATTCATAATATCATGGACTTAAATTTTTCATAATTAGATCATCGAGACATTTTTCTCAAAGCTAATTGTTTTAAGTAACCAATCACTTGGACAGTGGCATCATATAAATTGTCTGATGTCTAATCCTAATCTCAGATAAGAATTCTTTGCCGTTTCAAATTTCACGAGAGTGTATGGCGAATTTAAATGTTTATTGCTCTTTTGAAACTTTAACACTTGTTCGGTCGTAGTTTAATATCAGGGTTATAGAAATTGAACATTTAAATGGAATTGAAATAAATAACACAGGATCACGTGGCGGAAGCGGAGTGCGCGGTTCCTTGTCGAGCTGACGGTCGCACCATTTGCACAAAGGATGCCTTGAATAGAAGTCAGGGGCGGTCGGGATGACGTGACGCTCGCGGCTTGGCGGGTAGAAGAATAGCCACGACCAGGAGCCCCAAACTTCGCTCGTGCTACAACGCCCCCCTATGCGTAATTTTGAGATAGTTCGATCGCCACATTCTTATAGCGCTCTGGTGCCGTTGTCGCTGTGCACCCCAGTACATAGGGTTTTATTGAAATTTAGTTCTCTTGTTGACTACCATAATTTCAGTTTGCCGCCACACGTCCGTAATAACTTGTGTAATTGCATCCAGTTACCTTAATTCAGATTTTTCTTTGTTTTTATTAAATTTGTGTATTCAAATATTTGTCTTGATTTAGAACGTTTAATTTGATTTCATTCAAAGTTAGGCAAGTTTTTTTTTGTAGCTGAACATTAAGACGTGTCTTCAATCAACACAACTTAGTCGCAGCTTTTTTTTTTGTCAGTGGAGGAATAAATAATTTTGTATCCTCCATCTATTCTGTATATTTTTTTCACGTGTCAACTTAAGGCGGGATGTTTGAGTTATCATTTTTAATTGGTCAAATTAAGAACGAGTCACCCAATTTTCTCGAAAATATAAGAATTATAATATTCAGCATAGTTTGTTCGAGTGTGGTTTAATCAATAATTTTAGTCCTTTGTTTTGAGAAGACAAACTCATTCAAATCAAACGAATTCTACGTGACATTCTTCTAATGTACAAACATAAATAAACACTTGAGCTTCAGATTGCTATTACCTAGTGCTGAAGGACATTTTGTCTCCCTAGTTAAGTGCTTTAAATATATTTTACATTGTCCGCACGGCGCAGGAGTAGCGGGGGCGTTATTTATGGCTCTGGTTTTTACTTGACAGAGGTTATCACAAAACGAAAATTGTAAAAATCAAATTTTATATATTTTTTAAAGATCTGGATTTGTCCGATTATACTTCAAGGGCGAGGGAAGTTCTGCCGAAATAGCTTTCGACCAATTTTTTAAAGCAATATATCTGAAATAACTGCAGATCAACTTTTTTATCCCTCTTAATTTAGTTATGTCGTGAAAATAATATTAAGTTACCATGTGATTATCGTTTTACGGCGGTTATTATTACTTCATTTATCAACATACCAGTAATTGCTCATTCCTGTCATTACATCTGTAAATTAAAATTAATATTACAACTATGAAAAATCCTATAAAAACAAAATATAGTGAACCAAGAGGTATAAGGTTATATGGCCATCATAAAAGTAGTTGACCGCAAATAAATACCCCCTTTGTGTGGTTCGCACTAAGCTTACCGGTTGGCAATAAATCATCTTCTAAACATTTCTTGCTCATATTTAACAGGGCCGGCTTTCAAAGCGAGTGGTTATTTCGGAACCCTCAGCGGCTACAGGTACTAAAGATATAGTGGAGTGGTGGATTTTCATATTTAGTGAAAGCCGCCCCTGAACGAAACCACAAGACCCGGTCGAGCTGCAGTGGACACGTTATTTACGACCCTAAAACCTTTTCTATTGTAAACAACTTAACTTCGACACAATGGGATGATTTTATGATGGCCATATAACCTTATAACTCTTGGTTCACTATAACTGGTTTCAACTAAATCAGATCACATAGGTACAGGCAGTCCTTGCATGATTACCTGGTGATTGCGCACGCAGTCAATTTGTGATTTTCATTACTTTGAATACCAACATTTCACGCGTTCGAAAAAATTATATTAAGGTAGGTACAAAGTGCAGTAAACAGATACGGATATTAAAAAAATGATCTGTCTTCGTTTATCTTTGAATGTGACGTGAATTTTTAATTATCGGAAATGAATTATTTCTATAAATTTAATTCTAATACAATTGATTTAGTTTCTGAAATTAAAATTGGAAGTTATGAATTTCCAGGATAGAGTATACAAATTTTTTGTTTATAAAATAAAGAATCAAATTATGAGATTAGGATACACGAGGCAATGCATAATTACGATGGCAACAACTATATTCTATCGTTATGACACATACTACGATCGTCTAACATATGCAGTGATTACATGGAAGGCGCATGAACAGCTCGTGATGAAATTCAGTTAAATCTACTGAGGCTTCAAGATACGTGTCAGCTAATCAATAGCAATGTTAGGTTTGTTGTTCACGCCTGAATCACGTTATTGCTGTCTCTGTTCGGCGATTTTAGTAAAAGGTTGGTTTTTGAAGTAATTACCATACAAGGTAACTAAATACTAAATAGTGATATTTCTTTTAATTGTTGGGTTAATAACCCAAACATCCAGACAAAATAAGCAATATATGGAGGACAAAATTCTTTATTCCTCCATTACCTATTGAGAGGACAAAAACTGTTGCTATTTGGGAACTTATTTCCCAGTTCCAAAAACCCTTCAAAGATGGGATCAAATATTACAAATCAAAACAACTACTTGAATACCACAAATTAAATAAAAAAATAAATAATCAGTAAAGTAACTGGATGGTAATAGTCGAGTGACGACAAATTTAAATTATGATAATCGAGAAATCAGAAAACATACTGCAGAGGATGTTGTAACGAGAGCGGAATTTAAGTTCCTCGTCATAATCTGTTTTATTCTTCTTTTCTATGCCCAAAAAACCTACCGCATATTACTGTACCCGGTATTCGCAAAATAACCAGCCACTTAACCAAGCTACGCCTTTCACGAGGACACTGGTCTCCCTATGAAGTCTTCAATTAAAAATTCATGTGGACAAATGATAAAAAAAACCCGAACTTAAACTAGAAACCGTGTGTTCCGCTTTCGCCACCTATCCTATCTTTCTTGAATTTGATAAGTACATGAATATTAGAATTACAAGAAATGGAGCAAGCAACATTTAATTACTTCACACTCAGGAATTTCAAACAATAAAGAACTTATATGATATTTACTAAAATAAACACAATAGGCAAGTATTAAGTACGGTCAAAAACACAAATTAAACCCCGGTCTACGATGTTATTTGGCTGTTGATAATTTAAACTTCATTTCGCTCAAAATAGATAAACGTTTGAGATTAGTTTAAATATCATAAATGAACTATTATTATAAATCTCGAGAGAAATGTGGATAATGTAGTAACTTAAGTAAAAACATCCAATACTTTTAGATGCATCGTTCATTTAAAATAAGTGAATTTCCTGCCACGTGTTTTACAGGAACAGGTTCCATTATTGTTGCAAAAATTCCATGAACAGTTAAAATCTTAACATGAACCCGGAATTTACAAACAATAAAACAAAAACTGCACTTGTTTGTGGAATAGTCAAAATTACACTCGTTGAGAACTGTATCGTTTTATGAAATTGCAATTACGTACCAATTTCAATACGTCTTTACTTTCACTAAGAGATTCTTAAAAAATTCACCAAAAAAGAATTTAATATTTTTTGGAAGGAGCTGGATTTATCGAGTTATACCTAGCCCAGAGACGAGGGAAGCTCTGTCTAATACCTCAGTTACCTTAAGTTTGTATAACATTTTATCGTACATTTTCTATTTTCTTTTTTATTTTACTTATATTACATCCGTGGAATAAAATTTTAAGAACATATTTTCCAAAAATATGTAAATTTCACATAGAATTTTATTGTGAATCTTTATGAAACAAAATGTTTAAATTACCCCTTTCGAAATCATCCATTGTAACCACCGTCATAAACAACGGGAAAATTTAGTGAGATAATAATTTGGGAAATTAGTGAATCATTTTGTTTTCAAGTAAGCAATATTTATAAAATTTTATAGAATATTCACAAGTTCAAGAACTGATCGAACTAAAATGATTAAAAATATGGTAATGAGTATTTTATATCAGTTTATAAATTAAACTCGCAATAATATATCATTGATAAGAAAAAGCGGAGAGAGTTTTATGATAATTAATTTCACAAAACATGAAAACACAGTTATAAAAACCGAATATATCCAAATTATTTGAATTAAAAATTAAGAAACTCATGAAACTGAAGCTTAAATTGGTGTTTCTGTAAACAATCTCCGAAATATTCCTTTTACCAGGACGACGCTCTCATCAGAACACTTATTTTAATTAACTTGGAAACAAATAGATCATAAAAATTTCATCCATTATCTTGTAAACATTACGTAAAAGTATCATAAGGGTTATTTGCGTAATTAGCCGACTTAATTTTACGTACAATCATTTCTGTTCATTTGAATCATCATTGATTTATTGTAGAAAGTTTCTCTGCAGGAGCGGAACGCGTGTCCGGAAGATTTTACTGACAAACCGTAGCAAAGTCTGATAATTTCAGCGCACAGACGTCATTCAACAACACTCTTTAACCAGCTTACACATTTCTCTTTGTTTATTATTATTGTTTAAAAATCGAATTATAAACAATAACTAAAATAAGTGCTTCTATCGTAGGCACAACATCTGCTGACGTCTTTTGTTTAGGACGTTCTTTACCCGAAGAGGACTTGGGACCAACATTTTAATGTTATCAATAAATATTTTTGCGTAAGTTTAATTGCTGATGACACTTTTTAACACAGCAGATGAGGTCACCCCTGTCTGTTTCACATTTTTGTAAATGTTTATTTTGATAGTTTAACGACGAATTGCGTTAATATTTTGTAACAACACGTCTACGAAAACATTTTTTATATCGCTTTTGAATTAAGTAAAAGTTCTGGAAATTTTCCTAATAATAAATTCAAATACACTCAAAAGTAAAAGAGGTAAAGTTTGCCACTACGACTAAAAATGGGCGTTTTGTGAAATCGAAATGTTGCTGTTGTCCTTAATTTCGATATATTGCGTTTTTTTTTTATAAAGGAAACAGTTTTGCAGACGAAGTAGATTAATTTTATTTGAAATTTTGATGATGAATGTTATTTACATTCTTAAATTATCTAATGACAAAAATGAAATAAATAAAAATGAGCAGATATTTAGAGCGATATGTGTTTTTACGTAAAGCCAGATATGCACTATTCTTGTGAATCGTTAATTTTTATCAATGATCCGTGTAAAGTTCAAAGTTTACGCACCACAAAAACGGCCCATGCTGAGAATAATCTCAGGTGATAAAATTAAACGCAGATTAATTTCGTTATCTAGCATTGTTTACTACAGGTTCCCAGCACACTAATCTATTATTAACACGAAATCACTAGAATAATTGCAGTAAAATCCGAAATTAAAACTAGATACTGTATCTCCGTATTCCGACAAATCTATCACCTATTACCACGTGTGTATATCATGTCTGTATTTTTAATTTCTGGATTTGCGCATGCAGATTACATCACCAAACTGACTAAAGCCGGTCCTGTACGATAAACCCGATTAGAAATTGGTATAAATTCCGCACGCCTGAAGAAGCTCAACATCAGTTCGCAACTCACAGCGAAAGCAGTGGTTTGAATCAACGAACACAAAAGTCCAAACAAAAAGTCAACATGCAAGGCAAGAACTTGGTTGGTGCTGCTACCCGCTACATTGCTGGAAGAAACGCAGTTCAAACCGTTTACTGGAGAGGTGTCAACAGTTCTTCAGACCAGCAGAAGTTCATGAAGGTCTTGAGAACCGTCCAGTTTGCGAAACCTCGAAATTCGTCTGCTGTTGAACCCCCAGCTCGTGTGACAGAAGAACAGAATATTCGGTTCTAACCGTTGCCAGTATTGTGATACCTTTGTGTTCGTAATTTATTTATTTTTGCTTATTCAAGTGATGATTTAATTGTCTCGTTATATTGTTAAGATATTTTTATACTTGTCGAATTTAATAAACTGTACTTGTAATATATTTTTTGATTGAAAGAAGCTGCCAAAACTAGGTAAATCGTCACCAGTAGGTACAAGTTGTTACGTAGTTAGTGTTAACAAAGTGCTTATTTAAAAGAACCTGAGTAAGTTGTTTACAAATTTTTGAAGAATTTTTTGAGTGAAGAAGAAGAAATGAGAGTAACATAAAAAAACGCTTCACTTTCGAGAAAGCAATTCGCTTTATTATAATAATTAAAAAAAAAAAAACCAACTCTGTGCTGTCACATACTAAAATAATTACTAATAATCACACAAATTCAAAATTAACTTAAATTACTAACAAAATAAATTAAAAAAAGATTCGAGGGTGAGTATTATATTATATACTATTATATACACATTCGTTTCCCATAATTACTTGGTATCTTCTTTCTTGCAATACTCGGCATAGCCCTTTTCCACCAGGGCGTCGTTGACATAAAATATGCCACCTGGATCCGTAACATCGGCCAAATAAATTTCTAGTTTCGTGCTCTAAAATTATAAAATAATTACTGTGGTAGGTACCGTTACATACAGAAAGAGTATTTTATTTATTTTGAAATTTAAACTCACTTAGTTGGGCATGTAATCTACTAACTTAGGAATCTGAGATTAACATTTCTTTAAAAAAAAAAATGTTGAATTGATTCCAATTATATAATTTTTGTTATTTCCTACTACACAAATTGACAGCTATTTTATTCGATTTTATAACCTTAATCAGAATTATATTAAAAGCTTTTGTTATTTAATTGTAAAAACTTTTTCTAAGCCGTTAACCGAAATAAACGAGTTTTAGAAAGTTTTTTCAAAAATGACTAAAGCGTATAGAAAGACTGATAGTCCACTTCGCTACCACTTTATAGGGAATTCGATAACGTTTCGATTTTATTTTTCTAGGGATAGTTATAGAAATTTTGTTTTTATAATTATTAATAATTAATAATGGAAATAAAACGGAAATTTTCTCCAGTATATAATTCTTTTTTAGTCATTGTTTTAAAGCACCATCTTTTGATTCGGATTTTAAACCATAAGCTCGAAATGTCAACAATTGTATGTTGAATGCAAATTTCAATATCTTTGGTTGAATATGATAAAATTTTTCAAAAGTGGCATTTTGACAAAAATATGCACCATTCAAAATTAATACCATTTAATTTCACACATTGGCGTGTGCAATTTTTGACTATGTAATACAAAAATGTTACTGTTTTCTATACAAAATAACACTGTACCCATATGAAATATGCTAGGTTTAAAATAAAAGTCCTCATATTTGGCGCTTATAGATTGTCAATATACAGGGTGTCTCAGAAATAAGTACATTAATTTTAACCAGTAACAGAACTCGTGAAACGGAACAACTTTTTTATCTAGCATTTTTTCGAAAACTCAAGTCGAATTTTGAATTTTCCCACCCATATATTCACGAGCCGTCTATGTTCACCTTAAATAATAACTTAAATAATAGCAACACTACAACAATGAAGAAGGTACCGTAGCTACCGTTTTGACACTGACAATCATTTTTATGTCAATGTTTTTATTAAACGTTGTCTCTTTAAAGTTTGTTTGGCACAGATTTCTAATTTATAGACGAAATGTGTTGAAATGGCTTTGTTTTCAAATCTGGAATGCACCGATATCGTTTTAACCTACGGTGAAGCTCGGGGAAACGGCACTCGCGCCCAACGAATTTTTTCACAAAACCTCCCAAATCGTCTGCCAAATGTGCGCAGTTTTAAGAACGTTGCAGCATTTTCGAGAGTACGGATCTTTTAAACCGGCACCTCAGGATCGGGGTAAGTTACGTAGTAATAGAATTGCTAATATTGAAGAGGCTGTTTTGAAGAGTGTCGAAGCTCGACCGGGCACTAGCACGTATCACTGTCTAGTGTGATGTATCGGAGAGTAGTATTTGGAGGATACTCAGACAACAAATGTACCCCTTTCAGGACCAGAAAGTTCAGTTATTGAAACTAACAGACTTACCACGTAGGCAAAACTTTTGAGTGGGTTAATAGAAAAATAAACGAACAAGCAAATTTTGTATCTCTTATACCATCAACTGATGAGGTCGGTTACACGAGGGAAGGTGTTCAACACCCACATTTGGGCCGATGAAATTCCGTACGCCATTAGGGAGCAGGATTTTCAATTTCTCTCTAAATGTTTGTCACATTGACAAGATTAGGAAAATACGTATCCTAGTAACTGTTTTTGACCATAAACTATTAATTATAATAATTATTAGTGTCCATGGGTGACTGAGGATCCATGGGCGGGTAACCTTAATTGGGGTATAACTTTAACAATTTTTAACTTGATAATTACAAAGTTCTTGACAAAACTCTACTAAAAAAAGTTGTTGAGTTCAATGAGCTCTATAACTGATTAAAATTAATGTACTTATTTCTGAGACACCTTGTATTTTCAGAATATAATACCTCCGTTATTAACAAAGTTATTGTTATGAAATTTTAAATATACCATGTCTACACCTTTCACTATACTATAACTTTGTTTTAAATTTTAGATTCTACCGCTTATCAAAGTACAATTCAATTCCCATTTTATCGTAAATAAAAGAAGTTGGTGAAATGGATAAAAGGCGGGGGAGGGGTTGAGTTTAGTTTTTCTCTACGGAGTCTTATAAACAAGTAATAGCCCCGCCCACCCACCCTTTCTTTATTCTAGTAACTACCCATAGTATTGTTCAGTCTTATCTTAGCAAGTTCTAGCCCCGCCCACCCACCCTCTATTTTCTTATAGGGTGTATCATCTGCCAAAATTATTCTTATCTTAGCAGGTACTACTCCCGCCCACTCGCGCTATTCTCATTCTAACGATTTTATTTCTGCTCAGTAAAAGATCCACCTTTCATTCACACCAGACAAAATGAATGAGGGAAATGGGGGCGTGGTGGGTGGGCGGGGTTAATTATTCAGTAGAGTGGGAATGGGAACTAATAGAATCTCGGTCGTTAAAAAAAAAAGAAAAAAAGCGCGCCACTTCTGATTTTGTTTTAAATCTTAGATTCCACAACTTGTCAAAATAAAATTCAATTCCCATTTTACAATAAATAAAATAAATCAGTGGAATGATTAAAGGAGATGGCCGGGGCGAGTTTAGCTACACAGTCTTCTAAGCAAGCAGAAACCCCCTCTTCATTCTAGTGACTACTCTTAATACTGTTAATTAATGGCAATACGATATCTTAGTAGAATCTTAGAGACTATATTATTTGCCAAAATCAGTTTTATCTTAGAAGAAACTAGTATCGCCCACCCACCCTTGAATTTCTTAGAAAGGAAGTATGTGATTTGCCAAAATCAATATTATTTTAACAAGAATTAGCCCCGCCCACCCGCCCTCTATTTTCTTAGATAATATGCCATTTGCCAAAATTAGTCTGAAGGCGTTTAAAAAAGAAAAATAAATAGCTAATCGTATTTTTTTGTTATACTATTTGTAATAAGATTTATTTCTTATTTCAGAAGAAAATTATTAACTGAAATGGTAATTAAACATGGTCATGGGCGCGAGAAATATTAACTAAAAGTTTTATTACTAGTTGTTGTGATAACGAATGTTTAGTTGTTAAACGTAGCACAAGAACCAATTTTAAAATCATTATAACTCCACCAAGATGTGAGAAGGATTGTTTTACTATTTTAATTTTTCCCAGACTCACCAGTTGATTATTAAGAGCGCAGCGGAGAGTTAATCCGCCATTTTCCCGACACCCGGTATAACGTGGGGAGGTTTTTTTAACAGTTTACTATCAGCTTTTTTTTTTAATTTGGTGAAATTTTCATGTCACGTATTTTTAAAAATTAAAATCTCAATTAATAATTGACATTTTGAAATGTGGTTTTGAGCACTGTTTTTAGTTTATAAAACTCTAAAATCGATGGAAAACACAGTCAACTTTTTTTGTTGGAAATGAGATACACTGAAACCTCCCAACAGCGAACACCTCTCCACAGCGGACCATTTGGATTCCCCATGGGTGTCCGTTGTGGAGAGGTTTCACTGTACGGTGAAAAGAATTTGTGTCGAACGAAGAATCTTGTATTTTCTCTCATCTCTCATTCCCGACAAAAAAGTCGGCAATGTTTTCCACGAAATTTATGCAGTTTTATAAACTGAAAATAGTGGTGGAAACCGCGTTCTAAAATTTCCATAAACAACTGAAATGTTGATTTTTAAAGATACGTGATGTAGATTTAACCATATTAAAAAAAAAAAAAAATGACAATCCATAAGCGCCAAACGTGAGGATCCCTCTTAAAACTGTCAATTTATGAATATAGTGACAAACCTGTCTCTCAACTGTCATGACTTCTGCTATTAATTCCGCTTGCTTCACTAACTCCTTAAATTTAAAAGTAGTTTGATTGCTATCCATATTTGGTTGGACTTTAAACAGTCGAGCACTGATTGCTTGACAAGGAAACTGAGCAAACTGTTGTGGAAGATACCACACATCTTTAACAGGCACTTCTCCTACACTTCCATAATCAATAAAAAACACCTAAAAATATTCTAATTCATGAACTACGTAAAATGTAAAAAAAAAATACAAACCTTTACATAACCAGGCGCTCGTGGCAACAACTCATTAATTACGCACCTATGATATTTATTTGCATAATAAACGGTGCAATATAACCCTACTTCTAAGAATAATTCTGGAACAACATAACGATTTCGTTCCCTTTTAAATAATGACCTAAAAAATCATACAGAATTATAATTTTCAGAAAGCATCTCATAAATATTACTTACTCTAATTCGTTAGTAATTACTTCTATATCACCATATTTTGGAAATACCCAGAACTGATCAATACTGTATATTTCTCCAATATTAATATCCAGATAATCACCTAGCATTATATCACTAAGCGAAAATCGCGGAATTTCATCCAAATATTGAACCACATCAGCTGGAATTAATTCTGAACCTAAAGACCACTAAAACACTTTATTACCACTAGAGCATCTCACAGCAAATTTATCCTTACATCAATTTCAACTTGTTCCACGTCACTACTTTCATTAGCTGATTCATTTTGGTTTAGTGATGGAATAGCTTTGGCCTTATCATACAAAATAAAATCCTCTGACGTTGGTTGGATGTAGCGAAAAATATCTGACAAGTCTGTACACATTTCAATTAAAGATCTAAAGTGAAATTTTTCATAGTTGAGGTCTTCTCTAAACATTTCACTGAAATCAAAGTTGAAATTTTCCTGTAAAGCAAAAAATAAGTCTTACTTGTATTCTTGGCGTAACTTTGTACACCAAATGCCATTAGGAAAACGCATTATTAGTTTTCTTAGATTGTTTTGAATTCTTTTGGGGATTTTGGATTTATATTCATCATCATATTCTGCGTGATGAAAATGTTGTTTTGTGGTGTTATTTGTTGATACGTTGCTGGTGCTAGGTTGTTGATAAACTTTCACATTTTTTCTGGAAGAGTAAATAGGTGACTTATATTAGAAAATTGTATGTAAATGCTACCTTTTGTGTGCTGGAATGCTATCCTTTTTCTGCTTGGCGACCATTATATTTATGTGGGCTGAGTTTTGCGTTACCACACCCTGCACCTCGGCAGAAGGACCCGATCCAATGATCTACAGTTTTCATAGTGAGGCAAAAGTGAATATAAAAGCACAAATAATACATACACGAACAGTGCCAGGGATTGATCGAAGATATTCTTCCACACAGGAAAAACCTAGTTTTCGGAAAGGGATATTATAACCTGTTGTATTATAAAAATCATTGCACAATTGTTTAATAGTGCATCTTAGTGGGTTGGAAGTAAGTAACCCCGTTATAATACACTTCGTTTCGGATTCCTGCGATGGTGCCTAAATTTGATTTTATAAGTATTTGAAAGTACATCTCATTTTACTTACCATCTTGATTGATAAATTTATGTTTGAAAGAATTAACTTTTTGCAATGAGCAAAACAACCACTTACACTTTATAGGTTATGTCACCGAAGACTTGTTTATCAACAAAATCGAAATCTTTCTTTGCTCAGATTTTGTCCTCAGCTTCAATACTATGCAGAGCAAGAACTGAATCTTCCAGTGCAAAGGGCCGTTGAAATAATAATAGCAAATAATATAGTACTATTTAAACGAACATTTTTTTATTTGTGGAACTCTGTCACGAACTGTTTACAACTGCTGATTGATTGCAGCTCTCGGATTGGCTATCTTGTTCGTCACTGTTCGGCAAATGTCGCGTTTTTTCGCTACCACTACAAAACCCGTCAACAACAAAATAGAAATAATTTGTGAAAATAAGGTTATCAAAACCCGAATTTATTTAATGTATTGGTAAATACCGAAAATTTAACGTTGTAATATACACTTTAAAGTGATTACAGAAATGTTAATTGGCGGTTTGCTATTTGCCTTTTTAAAACTGTTTCTGTGAGAGCGCCAAACTCTTGTGTTTCTTAAAAGTCTGCAGTCCCCTGGATTTTATTTTTGCAGTTTCTTCATGTAGTCGGTAAGTGGTACATATTTGTAAAAGATAAACATTTTTCGGCTTTGGACAAATATATTGCGCAACATTGAGTGTGATCAGAATCAAATATTTAAGGGTGAGTGCTCATTTGATCAGCAACCACAAAAGTGACATGGACTATTGTGCCGCCTTGCCGAAACCCGTCTAATACTATATCAAGGTCACAATAGAAAATGGTGAAATATGATTTTTTGTTAGTGTTTTGTTATTGTAGCCATTGGTGTATGTTGTTTCATGTAAAATAAGTTTTAACTTTGAATTACAAGTTATTAAATTATTGAAAGCACAGTACAGTAATTGATGAAAAATACATATACTTTTTAGACTTCCGTAAATTGCGTATTTAAAATCCAACCATGGATTTGGATCCAAGACATTTTTTCACTTTACTGCACCAATATTTGGAAAATGAGAATACAGGACCAAGACAATGTAACCAATTAATTATCAACTTAAACGATGTTTTAACACGAGAACAAGTTAATCTTCCCGATTTAGGTATTTTTTAGTACCACCTTTACACACTTTTTACGGATTTTTTTCAGACTTATACCTACAATGTTTATTCAACAAATCGCAAGGTCTTCTCGACTTTGTTACAAAAATTGTAAACAAAAAACAATTTAAGTCATCGGTTATAAGCGTATTCGAGATAATTTACACTTTAATAAACAATTTTTCTTCAAAACTAGAGAAATATATAACTGTAATATACGACATATGTTTCAAAGTCATAAAATCCTCACTCGTCACTTCCGACGAAAAAGTAAAAGCGTTGGAAGTCGTGACTCTCAGTTTTGAAAAAATTAACAAGTGTTTAGATTACCCTGAGTGTTACAATGATGTGTACAACAGTTTGTTAAAAACAATTAGTATAAAGAAAGGCGACACAGGTAATGGTGTCGATTGACACATAGTAGGTCTTACCCGACTTGATCAATTTTAGTTCAAGAAAAAATCTTTAAAGCTTTAGGAGCTTTTGCCAAACACTTTCAGTATTTGATAAGTAACCATGAAAGCTTGAAGTCTATTTTTGTAAGTGCGCTGGAAGCTCAAATGGTTCAGAAAGACTTTTCTAATGGGGTCGTGTGTGGTGTCTTTACTGGTTTGGATTACTTTTGTGAAAGTTTTCCGCTTGATCCAAAGTCAAAAGAAGACGAGATTATTATTAACAGACTTTGCAAATACCTTGATCGAATGACAGTTCCAACATCTAGAATCAAAATCGCCAACAGAGGTAAGATTCGATGATTTTGTCACTTCAACTGTTCAAATTATTTCAGCTGCCTTAACGTTCCTCGGAAATAACATGTCAATTTTTGTTAATTTAATGATCGAAAACATCCAACACTGGCACGAAACTTTGTTAAAATGGTTGGATTATGGAGCTGATGATCAAAAAGTTGGGGTTTTCGTGATTAAAGCTTTTTATAGTGGCGTGGGAATATTTTTGCTTAATGATCTCTGTCAACAGCATACAGATGTTATTAGGGTTAGTACAATTGTGGTCTACATTAAAAAATATAATAGTACGTTTTTAGTATTTTATACAATGTTTTAAAAAAACGTTCAAAGATAACAAGGCCACTCACCGTGAGAAACATCTGTGTTTGCACGGATTTTCTGCACTATCACCTGTGTATCAAACGCAGTTAAGTGAAGAGGAACTAAAAGACACACTCATTTTGATAGTGCAGAATTTCGAACAAAGCTTTATTCTTGATCCAGACCCATCACGAGACGTTTTAGAAGATCTACCGTTCTACTTACAAACTGTGGCCAAATTCGTCCATTTCAGAAAAATTACAAACAGCGAACTTTTTTGTTTACAAAAAGGAGCAATTTTGATGATTAAGGTTTACCCACAGTTGCCATATTCCTGTCACGCTGCTGTTATAGAGGCTTTAGTGTCAACTTGCTACTATTTGTTATCCAACGATCAAAAAATTTTCGATAATTTTATGGAAAGTGTGATATACCAAGGAGTAGTTTGGTCTTGTTCGCACCAGCATGTCTCAGAAGCCGATATTTTAGAAAAAGGTACACCTGGACTGCTTACTGTGAAGAATTATTTCAGCATGTGGCGGAAATTGTTGAGGATTCTGCCAGTGCGTGAGTTCGACAAGATGGGGATTTTTTTGCACGATCGCAAATACATTTTGACAAAGATTATAGATAAGTTAATGAAAACTTTGTTAGTGTTAGTTAACAAACTTAACGTTTCTATTCTTGTGAATGACGCAGCGGAAGCTGCGACGGATATACAGTCCGCTTATAAAGTAGCCGAAGTTAATGACTTTGCTATTTTCTTAAACATGGTGGATTTTTATGAGGAGATTTTCGAAGAAGTCGATCCTTCAATACTGAAAAAGTGTGCTTGCAAGTTGATACAGCATCTCGTGGGTAAATGCGATAAGTTTCCTTTGATTAGTGGGTTCTACAAACTCCTTTCGTTCAGTTTAAAAGTTTGCAACAAAATAAATTACTTTGATGAATCGAGCAGCAGCGTTGCCCAAGACGTCAAAATGTGTAACTTAACTTTAACGATATTCGCCGACACAATTCTAAACAAAACACAAGAGTATAAAGGAGATTTGTTGATTGCTTGTCTTCAAGTTCTTCTGCAGTATCCGATTGTTATAATTCGAAAAATACTACCAGCTTGTGTGCCTTCTTTCAAAACGATTTTCTATGTTGGTCGAAATTACGTACAATTGGCCCATATGGCTTTAGATACCTTGGAACAGTGGCAGAAAGAAGTCACATGTGACGAAATGGAACCTTTCTTAATACAGGTTATACCGTTGCTCGACTATTACCTGCAGAGTAAATCGTTGGGAGGTTTCACCGAATCTAGTGTTCCTGAAAACAGAAGAAAAACTGCGCAAGCGCTTAAGAAACGTAAAGTTTTACTTAACGTTGAGCCAGAACTTATTAGACTTCAAATGAGGATTATAAAATTTATTGGCGGACAAAGCAGTGCGTTATGTGAAGCTTTTGCTTTTCGTGAGGATGACACGAATTTGTCTGTTTGGAGTAATCAGCAACATTTGAAAATCGTGTTGCCTTATAATGATATCAAGTTAGATATATACCTTGATAAACTGCTTCCAAGAATTACTAACATAGCACTGAATAGTTCTGATAGGAAAACTAGAGTTATGGCTTGTGAGCTGCTACAAGCTATAGTTATGATTTTTTTGGGAGCAAGCAAGTATTTTGATTTTTTGTTCTCTGAACTAATGTAAAAATTGTAGCAAAACAAATGACACAATCCGGTCTTTCCGATTTAAATGAATTATTGAGACATATATCTGTACCTTTACTGAAGCTTGGATGTGACATGGACCAAGTCGTTGAACAACTATTCAGACCTCTATGCTTTCAGTTAATTCACTGGTATACACATGTGTCACAATCGCGAAGCGAACATAGCGCTATAATCATCGAGTCGGTCTTGGTAAATATTAAATTTTGTGTATAGGTATATAGTCATACTGCGTCTTTCTAGGAAAGTATAACACATCCAACTGACACAGCTTTAAGAGACTTCTCAGGCAAATGTATCAATGAATTCGTCAAATGGACGATTAAACAAACAAGTGAAAAAAATTTAGCCAGAGATCCAATCAACATAAAAATCCTAATAAAGAAAATGCGATTTTACAGCACTCATCCAGACCCTTACAAAAAACTAGGAGCTGCTTTAATTTTCAACAACATATATAGAGAACTTCGCGAAGAGACCGCTCTTTTAAGCATGTTTTGGATCGAGTTTCTTCACATCTTTATTAAAAGTCTTTCCACTTATGAGTATGAAGCAACCGACGAAAATTCAATTGTTCAAATCAATAGCGCTTTAAGTCATATAGAAAGAGGCTTTGTGGAAAAATCTAGTATGTTTAATAAAGAAGATCGGGATCGAAGAATTCCCGTTGATATGAAAGGAGGAACTTTGAAGCATGTCGCACTTTGGTTGTTAGAACAATCAGGATCATCGAGTCGGTATTGTCGCGCAAAATGCATGGATTTATTTTGCAGCTTTGCACCAAGAACAACACAGTTTAGCACTCTTGAGAGTTTTGTTGTTAAATCTTTCAAAAAAAAGAACTGGGTTGTAGAAATTTATGAAGCGTTTTTGACGCGGTACCCCACTTTGGAGAAGTTATCAGAGTGTGAAGGACTCGGACCAAATAAATGGATGCAAGCGTTTTTGTGTGCACTAGATGGGTACAAATTTGTCGTCACTAACAAATTAACACCCTTGAACAATATTTTAAGCGGAACTATTGTCCGTGCGATTCATTATTTTCTCAACAAACTGTCTAAAGCAACTTTGGAACAAGCGTACAGTTTTATTGAAACCAAAGAGTGGTTGTTCACCTCGTTCGAGAAACGAACTTTTGACAAGCAAAGATCTCAAGCGGCTGTCAAGATTTTAGAGCTTTTGAATGCTCTGTCGCCAAACTTCGTTGTTTTTTGTACTCCAGATTTGTGGAATTTCGTTGTGGATGTAATATTCAATCGTGAGAGTCTAGGATTCGAATGTTTTTTGCCTAATAGTAGCATTGATGGTCACATTGCTCCGATATTGAAAACGTTTTTGATGAATTTACCAGTCGAGAAAGCTGGAGAGTTGTTGCAAATTTTGCAACGTTATGTTAATGAACAGTTGGTAACTGATATAGACTTCAACAAGAATGTTTCCCACAAACAGAGAAATCTTCTGAAAGCGCTGAACATGTTGCAGTCGTTTTCACTGACGCAATTCTCGGTTGAAAACTTCTCTAATAACATGGTTGCAACTTTGTTGAACAAATTTATCAGTGAAGCGGAAAGTGGAATTATTTATGTCGATAATTTGCAGGATACAACATTAATTTACTGTCTATCAATTTTTGATTTTGCTCTTCCTAATGAAAATGAGTTTAAGAGTTTCGTTGACTTTTTGTATAAACCGTATCAAGTTCAGACAGCAGATTTCAAGCAACCAATCCACTTGGGTACTTATCTCCTAACCGCGTTCGAAGATTCCGTGATGGAGAAGATCATTAACAATTTTGATACGTTTTTAGATTTAAGTTTGAAGAATTATAGTGCGATAAGTCAAACCACGGAGTTACTTTTTTATATATTCTCGTACACGGTACCCAAAAGACAAATGAAGTACTTGAATCAGACTGTGATAGCTAAATTGTTGACACATTGGGCTATTTTTGAGACACATTTTAATGAAAGTAGTAGCGCAGAAAGTGGTTTGGATTTTGTCAAGTGTTTGCTTCCTATAATAAAGTCATGTAAACTGTCTTGTGTACCTTTGAAGAATTGGTTAGTGAGTTTGTTGCATGGCGAACAAAATTCGTGGAAGCATGAGCTTGACTTTAAAGCTGAAGTTTTTTATTTATTGGTGGACGTTATGGATGAAACAGATGATGATAACACTAATTTAAGGTTAGTATCGTAGAATAAGTTTTATCACACAAGTTAGTGTGGTGTGTGTTTTTTCCTTAGTTTGGTAACTTGTAGCACTGTCGAATTGTTGAGGAAGCAGTTCAAGTGTATTGAATACTCAGATTTAGATGTAAGATTTTAAAATAGTTATAAAATATTGCAACTTTCTTTGTACAAAGACTTATTTCGCATGTAATGCACTTAATTAAACACTATTACATAACACATAAAATTTGACAAATTTTCGACCAGTTTTTATTATTATTATTTTTTTTTTTGTTACTTTTTTGGCGCTTTTTGTAGCCTTTTTCTGTTGCATTTTTTGTTGGCCTTTTGTTGCATTATTTGGTTTTTTTTCGTCTTTTTTGTAAATTTTTGTTTTTTTTATTTTTGGGGCCTTTTTTGTTTTATTTTTTATGACCTTTTTTGACTTTTCTGTTAGTCACATTTTTTGTCAAATTGTTGTGGCCCTTTTTTCGTTTCTTTGGTCGTTTTTCTTGTCCTCGTCCTGCAAAATTTTACTATAAAAAAATAATAATTCAGTGTCTTCACGTATGTCCTCCTTATCATTACACAATTTGTTTTTTGCGATTGAAAAATAAGTTCGGCATGGATCCCAGGCCCTAGGGTATCGTCAACGGTCGAAAAAAAGAAATGTGTATTTGTTTGCTGGATATTTACTTTGGAATATCTCCTCGCTTTTCCTTAGAGGGTCAGTAACGAAAATCAAATGATTGTTTATTTCATATTACTATTTGATTTAACAATCATGAATCTGTTGTTAATGAATGGATTGTTTTCAAATTTTATATGTATAATTGGAATATTGGAAATGGAACCCTACGTTGTGTTTTTGAAAAATGGCGGCATGCGTTCAAATGCAAATGGTGGATCCCAAGGTTGGAAAAGTACCGCTAAATAAAACACAAAATTTCTGGAGGACACAAAATTATTTATTCCTCCACTTACAAAAAAAAAGCTGTGAGCGAGGGTGACTCGTGATTTGCCCTCAGACTGTCGAATGGGGGCCGAATCGCAATCGCTTCTCAGCTCCAAAAAAAAAAAAACTTATTGAACTTTGGATGAAATTTAAATAAAATCAAATTAAACGTTCTGACTCAATGCAAATCTTTGAAAATCACAAATTTAATAAAAACTAAGTAAAATCTGAAGTAAACTAGTAACTAGATGCAAATACACAAGTTATTACAGACGGGTGGCGGCAAATTTAAAATATGGCGGTCAACAAGAGAACAAAATTTTAATAGACAAACTAGGCAGCTATAAGAGTGTGGCGATCGAACTATGTCGATTTCAGTGTAGAGTACAACAAAAGTACCCATAGGGGCGTTGTAGCACGAGCGGAGTTTGGGGCTCCGGGTCGTGGCAGTTCTCCCTCGCGACGGTGATTCTATCTGTCGACAAGCCTACCCCACAGCACACCTCCATGACGAACATGCCGTGCTATCCAGGCCGTTACGATCGAAAACTCGTGGTTGGAAATCACGTCGTCCAGACCATTCCCCTGACATCTATACAAAGCCTGCATCCCTTGTGCAAATGGTGCGATAAATCCCGCTAGCTCGACTAGGAACCGCGCCCTCCGCTTCTGCTACGTGTTATTGTGTAAATTACCTCAATTCCATTTTAAATGTTCACTTTCAATGACTGTAATATTAAACTACAATCGACCAAGTGTTAAAGTTCCAGCAAAAGAACAATAAATAACATTTAAATTCGCCATACACTCTCGCGAAAACTTAAACAACAAACAATTCTTATTTGAGATTAAAATTGGACATCAGATAATTTATGATGGAAGCATTAATCAACAAAATATTTACAAAACAAAAACTAGCAAAGATTTATAAAAACAAAAGATCTGGTGTGAAATAAACTTGTGCAAATAAAAATATTATGTGAGGTTAAAACTTCAGAGCATGGAAATTTACGTTCAATTTAAATTATACAACAAATTACTGAGATTAAAATTATGAGATAGAGAAATATTGTATGAGGTGAAAATTGTAAAGCTAACAAATTTACATGAGATTAATATTTGCCACACTTTATTAACGACTCAAACAAAGAATTTTTACGAGGTTACATTATGCCATGATCCAAGTGATTGGTTACTTAAACTATTTGTTTTGAAGGTTTATATCGTGAACTGCTTATCCCAAACAAAACACGTAATAAATAAATAAACACAAAATGCATCAGGCGTTGCGAGGAAAGCTCCTCGGTGATGTAGTTTTTAGCGTTGCGAAAGAAATATCTCGGTGATGTAATGATGATACGATGATAATAACGATAACTGCATAAGAAGAGAAAATTTCGTGAAATCTGCTAGTAAGTATTTATCTAAGCAAATTCCTGATTGTTAAATTGTGTTAGAAGTAGTTAACGATTAAACTCCTAACATGAACTGTGAATTCACAAACAACGAATTAAATTTAGACGTGTTGGCGTCGTCAAAAAATTCGCATTTTCCGGTTAGAAAGCCACAAGAATTAGCTGCGCGTGTTTGGAAAAACCGTGGCATCAGCGGTGTTACGTTTAATTGTCGTTAAACAAAGGCCTCCTTCCTTTTATTAACTAGCAAGCCAACTAAACCTAACCTACTCACAACAAACACACCAAAAGTGACGCTTTCACCTCTCTACCAAGCCGCCATTTTCTACCAAGCCGCCCTCTTCTAACCAACCCTCTAACTAAAATCTCAAGCAGACTACACACTACCCAAAAGCGCTAACGTGCACATGGTTGCCTATGTTTAACAATTTTTTTGATTCGATTATTTAGATTTACCAAATATGAATTTTGGACATTCCAAAACCATTGTTTGTTATTTTAAATCAAATTCTCTTCTGAATGACTCGGGTTTAAGGATTGGATTATCGGATGTTTTACATGAAAGTTCTAAATTCTCTTTTTTTCCTGTATTGATGCTATTTTTTTTTACCTGTTTTTTCATCTGTTTTAAGGTACTGTATAATTTTTACTTCCCAAGCGTAAGCGAAGTATTGTAGTCGAGTTCGTCGGCCAACTCTCCACTTTTACGTTTTCTCGATCTTTCATGACCCCGAGAGCACGAAGAAATAGGTCTCCCTTTTTCGTCTGTCTGTCCGTCTGTCTATCTGTCTGCCGTCACGGTTTTTTTTTAATCAAGCACCCCAATTTTCACGTTGAAGTTTTTTATTGCTTTTTATAAAATAAAAAAAATAAAAAAAAAAGTTCATTTTTGTCATGAAGTTTTGTTTTTAATGCGTTTTTTAACATTTCACCCCATTTTTAAGGTTATTTTTTAAAAAGTTGTGGATTTATAAAGATTTTTACCATGATTCCAGTTGATAGAAACGGCTGACTTTGCAATTTTTAGAAAAATATAAAAAAAACCTCGCCAACGTCAAAATTGACCTATTTTCTTAAAATATATATATATAAAGTACCTTATAATAAATTAAGAAAACAAAATGTGGCCTGAAACGTACCATTTTACTTACTACTAATTTGCCATTTTTTGGTATTATCTGTATTTAATTTTACAGAATTACGTACTCCATGTATGTGTAGTTTAGAATGCGTGTTGAGTTTTTCCCCTAGACATCGAGATTTTTGGAAAAAAATCAAAATTGTATTTTACAATTTAACTTTAAAATTGCAAAAGCGATTGTACTGAAATATTCTAAACGTCTTCAGGTTATAGGAAAGATGATAAACCGTCAATCAAAATTTGTTCGATTAAGGCTTTCCCAAAAAATTCTGACGTCATCTTAGAATTCTACCGAACAAATGTTCTTTAAATTTTATAAAATAACATAGTCCTGCATGTGTGATTTATGATTCCGTGTTGACTTTTTACTCTTATCATCCAAAAAAAATCAAATTTGTATAACAAAATTTTACAATTTAACTTTGAAATTGCAAAAACCGAATGCTGTGGAATCATGAAGATGTTTTAAGATTGTTTTGTGTCCTTTCTTCTGCCTTGAGGACAAAGTCAACAAAATTTTTATATTTATTTCTTATTTTGCTGTTTAAATTGGTCATTCAGTTCATGTAAATAAAGCTACTTATTTTGTTAATTAATACCATAATTTCTGATTATTTATATTGTCAAAAGAACTTCCAAGTTGCTCCATTTGATTTCATTCTCGATATGTGTAGGATTTCATAAAAAAAAATATGAAAAGTCCTGTGGAAATCTTCCATGTTAAAATAGTGTCCATGAAGTGACAGTTGAAAACATCCCAGCTACTAAACTAAGGAAATATTCGAGTCAATAATTCCATGAATTAATGGTTGATTATTATTTTTATAACTGGACATTTGAATTTTTAGAGAGGGGTTGATGAAGGTAAGAACCAGGTTATTATCGGACATGTCTCCAATTCCACCGGAAGCCAAAACAATATTTTTGGATAAATTATTGTGTACGGTACCAAAAATACAAACCCCGGAGCTTCTTATATTTCTATTGGATCTATTCGTGAAAATTACAACTGAAAAGAGCAGTTCTGATATGAAACGTCTTTTGATTGACTACATAATAAAAACTCAACCAACACAGAAAACTTCACTATCCAAGTTATACAACCTATATCTGAACCACGATTTAGACAACACTCAAAGATATAAATTGGTTTCTAACACTATGTCCGTTTTCCAGTATTGCAATCTTTCCGTTTTTGAAGATTTTTTCGTCGACCATATTGTGGAAATAATCTCCACTTTAAAACAACCAATTACACCAGAAAACTTAGTTACTAAAATCTCGTACTATTTGTTAATAGAAACATTATTCTTGAGATGTCCAGTTCGCAGTACCGATACCGAAGTGCATAGAATCACACAAGCCGCACTCCCTCAAAAACCGAGCAATAAAACGCTTTTGCTCCAGTTGCTAAAAATCACTCTCGATGCTGTTAAAGATTCTTGTGACTGTGATTCGAATAGTGAGGAGTTCTTCCGGTTGTATAAATGCCATTCGTACAACGCCATGGTATCCATTGTGAGTAACTCGATGAAAGAGGTGAACTTCTACACAAAACTTTTTGTACGTCAAGAAAACAATGACGATATTTTGTGGAATAGTCTGATTGATACCAAAAAGAATTACGTTTTTCAGACAGATTTTGACACGATTCCAAACAAAAGAAAAATTCTTGTTAACATTAGAGACGAAGTGCGAGCACAAAAGAAAAAACAGATTGGTCAGTCACAGTCTATTAAATACATAGAATCGATGCGAGTTTACAATAGTTCGTTATCGGAAGATTTTACCAAATTTGACTTTTCTAATAATCTTGTACGAACCGAACTAGAACAGGAAGAATCTAGTGATGAAATTCCGGTTCAAAGTGAAATAGAACTAGATTGTACAGATGTTAATAGTCATGAGTGTATGGCGACTGTGTGTGGACTTATTGAGTATATGGTGAATATAAATATCATAGACTTACCAAGTGAAGAAGACGATGACTACGAACTACCTGCTTGGGTAAATGGTAAGTACTCTTAGTACGTATATGACTATTAGAAACTAGTAATCATTTTTAGGAATCAGAACACTCCTACTAAATCCAGAAACCCACAGTAATATTAAAATATTTTGGATCAAAGTTATTGACAATACTATACACATTTTCAAACATTTTGCAAAATGGTTCTTAGAGCCACTTCTAAAGTTCATTGTGGATAAGTGTGCCGGAAATAGTCTTAATTATTTCATAACCGATGTGGTGAGTTTTTAACACAACGTTGCTTCCTCTTTTTCTAAAACGGTAGTATAAATTGTAAATAGGTTGCCATTTTGGCCGCTTGGTCTACCAACGTCGTCCCACAAACCGAACAAGAAGTTCAGCTTGCCTCCGATCTTATTACCTTTTTAATCAACAACCTCAATAACGAAAGACAAGATATGTTTAAGTACCACTTGGACTTAATCCGCTTGCTGATTGAAGCGTGGAGATCGTCCATCACCGTTACTTACGATTTACTACATTCTAAATTAAACGTTGATCCTACATCCAAAAAAGCGGAAGTTGGAATACACTTATTTTCTATTTTCTTGGCAAACAAAATATTCCCTTGGGAAGACAAAGCGACTGAATTTTGTAAAACCGTCTTCAATATTATTTTAAAAAATAATCACAAAAGTACGTACAAACCGTGTTGTGAAAGCATAGGCTTGTTGTTACGTTTAAAAAGCAAAGATTCATCTTTCTCCAAAGTTTTCAATAATGTCCACGTTCTTTTGAAAAAGATTACTGACCCAGATAAGTATGCACACGTTTTGGAAGCTATCGTTTTACATTATCCCGAAGTAGCAGACGAGTTTCACATAAAACTTCTGTTAAGTCGGGTCCACGGAGTACTTAAACCGTTGAAAGTAATTTACTTGAAAATAATTTTAAACAGAAGCGGCCTCATGGGTAAAATCGACGAATTCAAAACAGAAAACTGGGATTCGTACATTAAGAACGACAACCTCGAAGTGCAGTTAGTGAGTCTCGAAATCGTCCACAAGTGTTTGGATGTTTTAAAACAGTCTCCTAACTTCAAGTCCATTGTAGAAGCAGTGTGCACCCACGTATCAAACTCAAACGTTTTGTGCAGAACAAGAATGTTTGACATCGTCACACTAATCTGGCAGAAGGGTTCATACAGCCCAGAGATTCTAAACTTGTGCAAACCAGTTCTAGTTCAAGGACTCACAGATTCGGATAATGAAATTCGCGAAAAAGTATTCGATTTCTGGAGAAACCACCACGATCTGCCTTCACCCATTGCACCACGATTTACTTATGTGTTGTCAAATTTGTACGAAGCGACCACAGAAAACGACTTTCTGGGTTACAGTTCGCACCTCCTCTTGGATATTATCAAGCAGTCGGATGAATACAACGAATTGCTCTTTGAACATCCTTTAGAAGACTGCGATTTTGAGAATTACGAGCTTCAGACAAACTGGCGTCTGCGACACTTGTCTGTAGTTCCGTTGTTTGCCGAAACAGTGAGAAGTGCTAGTCTAGATTTTGAAAGTATGGATTCAGACATGAGCAAACTTCGTCAAACTCAAACTGCTCGTGAGTTTGCTCCTACTCAAAGTGTTCGAGCTAAGCAGTTTTCGCAGTTCACGATGAGCGAGAGTAGTCTTTTTGTAAAACGTGATGAAGAGAGTGAGTTCGTTAATCCTAATTTGGTACCACTGTCACACAAGTACCGAGTTCCTAAGCGACGCTTCCTTAGAGATAAGTCGAAGATCCATAGCCACTTTGCTCAGCAGGAGGTGAAGAAATTGGTGCAGAAAACGGAACAGAGGAAAGATTTAGTAAAAGAACGTGAACATAAAGTCGTTATTTATCGCAGTTATAGGAAAGGAGATTTGCCAGATGTTCAAATTACTCTGCAGGCTGTGTTGGAACCACTTCAAGCTCTTACTTTGGTAAGTAGTTTTTACGTCCAAAATAAAAAAGTCAAAACATGTAAACTTTATAAATATTGTAGCATGACGGTGAAATTTCAAAAGTCTTGTATTCTCAACTATTCCAAAACATATTACACAAAATGAGAAGTGATCAAGCTTTTTTGGAGCGAGTTTCAGTTGCCATTAAAGCCATCTTTAACGACTCGACTCAATATAATCGAAACCTGTTTCGAACTTTATTTGATGCACTTCTCCAGTGCAAAAGCTCGATAGTTTTTCCTGCTGATTTAATAGTCTCGGTTTGTCAATCCAGCGGCTTGAGAGCTTTAGGTGTACTACTTTTAGAAGAATATCTCATATCTTACGATTCGTCGTCCTCCGATCCAAAAAAGACCCGCGGAACGGAAACCACCAATGAAATCAGTCTGTGGATAAAACTTGCAGAGTAATTTTTTGTTCTGGAAAGAAAGTGTGCTACTTTTACTAATTTCAGATTATACAAAGATATGGACGATTGGGATGTAGTCAAATCCATATTTCTCGAAAAAACTGATTGTCCAGAAAGTGTCAAAACCGCCCTCATTGCAGAATCCCGCAAGCAGTGGAAAAACGCCCAAGACGAATACGGGAAACTCATCCAAATCGACGAGAATTTAGAAAGAAAGGATTTTTATTACGAGTCGTATTTCAGATGTTTTGCACATTTAGGAGAGTGGGATAAAGTGGTACAACAAATTGATTCCATTGTGGGAAATAATTGCTGGGACAGTTTGTGGGACCAAGGTTTCAATCAGCAGAAATTAATGCCGTGGTACATCAGTGGACAATTAAAGAACTCGCTATTCACTGAACAACCGTCAAACCAGTTTCTGTCAAACCTCAACGAAAGCCTTAATTCCGACCGGTTAGACTATTTAGAAAACCGTTTCTGTGAAGAAATTGCCATGCTGTGGATTTTCCAGAAAGAAAGTGACGAAGCTGAAAAGTATTTGAAAATGTATTTGAATAAGTTCTTGGATAATTGGCAACAGTTAGACTTATTTTATTCCAATCTTCGCTATAGTCATTTGTTGAAGTTGCGCAACATAATTGACATCAACGATTTTCTGACAGTGTTTAACAATTTGAACGTGGAAAACGCAGAAAGGGTACAAGATTTGATTAATCATTGGACCAGAACGGCTAACGAAAATCTACCGTCCATCTTATATTGTGAAGAAAAAGTATTATATCGCAAACAGTTTTTGAATTCGCTTGTAGACAAAATAAAGTCGTACAATGCGGAAGAGTTGGAAGATATCGTTTCAGATCTAAAGCAACTAAGGTTTAATCTAGATGAAGGCCTTATGGATATTGGAATCGAACAAAATAATTTTTTCATGACGAAAAAATACCTCTACAGTTACAATAAACAAAATATTCTCAAACTTAAAGTGGTACTGAGTAAAATGGCTTACCTAAAGTCAATGATGTCAGACGATGCCACCAGTAAGTTAGAAGTTTTGTTAAAAGGATGCGAAACGCTGGGTATTTTTGGGTCCGTTATATTTCATAACTTACTAAAGTAAATTAATTCTAGGGCAAATATTTCAAGTACCCGGGCAGTCACCTTTGAAAGCTTTGGCATATTTTCATCTTTTTAAACAGCTGAACGAAATTTCTTCGATTTTCCGGAACGATAACGACTTCTTTCAACTTTTTGTCAATGAGGATGAATATTCTCAACAAAAGGGGCGCCTTACAAGCTTGATTGGTACTAATCATATATCATCAATTGAAGATTCCGCGCTATTTGGAGCAAAAAAATTAAAAGAATTTCTTCCGTCTTATGAAAACGAGATAGAGAACACGATGGAAACTGACACAAACCAGTCAAACCGAGAGTACGACACACTAGCAAATGCTTACGTCCAACTTGCTTATTTTGCAAAAAAACACGGGGAATCTTATTTCAGTGATTTTATGCTTTTTGTTTTGAGAGCCATGAAGTTCAATTCTTCCGAGGGACGACAGTTATTTCCGTGCATAATAATGCAAAAGGAGTTTAAAGAAGAAGACAAGAAACAATTTATTGAAGAAGTAAGTTTTTCTGGAAATTAAATCTTTATAAATGAGAAATTTCAGACGAGTAAAATACCAGTGTGGATGTTCCTCGGCTGGATTCCTCAAATTCTAGTCAGTGTTGATTCGCCAAAAATTTCAGCAGTAGCACCACTCGTACTGAAAATAGCGAAAACTTATCCGCAAGCTATTATGTACGCATACAGACTAAGTAAAGAAAATTACAAGTCAGAAAGCGAGGAATTTAACGAATTGATCGAGAAGTAAATATTAATTTCAGTTTGAGTCTGTTTTATTATTATTATTTTTAGGTTGGATAATATTTTGCTTAGTGATGGCCGAATTGATGAATTTTTGAAAGCCCTTTCATTTATTGGAGTCCCGGCATCCATTTTAATGTACTTTAATCGCAAAATCGTTAAATCTATTCAAACGAATGACTTGGATCAGGCTAAAAACATCTTAAAATATCTTTCAGATGATTTGTTTAATTGTAAACCGGATTCACGTGATGTTTCTTTAATGCAAGGAAATATGTTCAAGAAAATCACCAAGTTTGATAAAGATTTTAAGAACTTTGAACGTAAGTTTTAACTTAAAATACATATATTAACTACTGGGACAAACACTAAGTACTTTCAGTCGAGTGTTGCTTTGTAAGGAGGCTCCTAAAATGCGTTTGTGTTGAGAAAAATTGGAATCTTTGCGCATGCGCGATATATAGTGGGACTTCCAGGCCACTTTTGGGCAGAAAAGTCAGAAGGTTTGCGCATGCACAAGAATTCGAATTTAACTTCACTATATAATTACTATTCATAATAAATGTTGATAAATTTTTGTATCTACGTTTACTTAAAGGTTTGTTGAATAAGAGCTCCACCAAGAGTGCAGATTTAATCAAACCTCTAAAGAAAATTGATGACGAATTGGGCGTAATTTTACGAGATGAGCGCGAAGCAAAGAAAAATTCAAAACTACTGAAAGATTATTGTCCTTGGTTATCTAATTTCTCTGCCCACAAAATGGATGTTGACTTGGAAATACCGGGTCAATATGATGGCAACAAACTCCCACTAACTCAACACCACATCAAAATATCCGGTTTTAACCCAAACGTGAGACCTGTTTGTTTCTCTAACTAAATTATGTATGAATTTTTATTTAGGTTTCAGTGATGCCATCCATACGGAAACCTATAAAAATCACTATCTTGGGAAACGACACCAAAGAGTACCCTTTTCTTATCAAATTCGGTGAAGACATACGACAGGACCAAAGAATACAACAACTGTTTTCATTAATGAATAATATTTTTGATAACGATAAATCACTAAGTGGCAAGAAGTTTTCCATTCTTACATACCAAGTAATTTTTAAAATCTTGCAGCGACTATACTACTATTAAAAAATTATTTACAGGTGATACCTCTAACTACAAGTTTGGGTATAATACAGTGGATTGACAACACGAGTTCTCTACAAGACTTCGTCAAAAAGTCATTCACAGATTCCAAGTCTATAAAAAATTATGAGCAACTTTTTGAAACTTACCACAAATGGGTACACAAGTCTTCAAATCAAGCCCTCGATGCTTATGGTCGTGCAGCCATGAATTATTCACGCGATAAAGTGATACCCAAATTTCGATCACTAGCGAGTTCCATTGAGTGGGATGCTTTCAGGACACAGTTTTTAAAACTCAGTACCAACATTGAAAGCTTTTTCGCTTTACGTAACAACTTTATCACATCGTACGCTGTAATGAGTGTCAGCCAATGGATACTAGGAGTTGGTGATAGACATCTGTCCAACACATTAATCTGCTTACAAAATGGTAAAGTTCTGGGTATCGATTTTGGCCACGCTTTTGGTACAGGCACACAGATTCTTCCAATCCCAGAATTAGTACCATTCCGTCTAACACCCCACATAGTCAGCCTAATGGAACCTCTAGGCGAAAAAGGGTTATTCAGAGAAGTTATGATCCATTGTTTGAGAGCCTTCAGAAGCAACAGTAGTTCCTTATTAGCAACAATGAATGTTTTTATTGAAGAACCGTCGCTTGATTGGTTAGAGCATGCTTCGAAATTTGGAGGAAATACCGATCGTACTAAGTGTGAGTGGTACCCGGCCCAGAAAATTGATCAAGCTGAAAGAAAGTTACGTGGAGCAAAATCCACTACCATTATGGTTGAAGATTTAAGAGCAGGACACCAAAAGAATCAGCAGTATATGAAAGCTTATATTAAATTAGTGGAAGGCGTGGCAGAGTTTGATCTTAGAGCTAGAAAAGAAGGAGACAGTTTGTCAGTGGAAGATCAGGTTGATTGCTTGATAGATCACGCCGCTGATTATAATTTGCTTGGGCGAATGTATGAAGGATGGGCCGCTTGGGTCTAATTTTGTTTTATTTTTTACTTCGCATTTGTACAACATTTATAAATAAAAATATTTTATTAATGTGGTGGTTTTAATATTGTTGCAGTAAGTAGTGTAAATTGTTGTAAATTTACGACTTTTGTGCTGTTAAGCAGAGGGTGAAGTGTCGAGTATGAAAATGTCAGTGCTTTCCTTCGCACTACGTCACTGGAAATTGTCACAATAAAACCAAAAACGTATTGTCAGCTTAACTTAGCAAAATGATTTTGGTGTTTCCTGTTGACAGTATTGACGAAGCGTTTATTTTTCCTGTAATCAAAGTTCTACTGATCAATTTACATTAAACATAACCACAATGTTCATTGGCGTACATGGCCACTACAACTGACAAAATTATCATATATACAGACCATCTTTATGAATCGTACTTGCAAAACTTGTACATTTTTTAACACTTTGGTATTATTTTTGCATTAACAATATTTTTAAGAATTTATTTCCTTATCTCACATCGTCTTACAACAGTAATGTTAGCATGTCTCGATTGCCGCTACTGCACCATTGTTCCTAGTTACTTTTGCTGATTTAGATGACAGGTAAATAAGGTTAACTTTTTTATTTAGAACAAAAAGCGTATTTTTGTGGATTTACAAACATTTCCTTCAGTTAACATGATTTGAATGAATGGAATTCATTTTTCTACAACATTGGTAACTCATGTGTAACGTTTTCATTGTTTTCAAGGCAAAACCGACGTTGTAATTTCTAGGTTTTTGTATACCAGATGTGATACGTTATAAATAATGGAAGTAGAGAGAACTGGGAATAAATTAAGTTGGTCAGAACTGAAGGGTGTCGTTAGTGACCTGAGAAGGCAATTGTCAAGTTTATCCACAATGATACCGACGGCTGTTTCATTTCGAACCTTGCAAGATGGTAGAACAAGGATTTATTTTTTAAGTACCCCACAAAATGGATGGGAAACCACCTTATTATACGCAGATGTGCCGAATATTAACCAACCAACTAGCCTACGTTTGCAGTGGCAATGCGTGATCGAATCAAATTTTCCCAGTCTATCATCTACTAACAAATTTTCACGAGAAGAGCAGTTGTTGTGGGAAAGAAAGCGCCTAGCGACCTGGGGCATTAATACTTATGAAATCCACAGTGACTCAGGGAAGATCATTTTTCCTGCTTCTAGTAGTTTGTTTCAGTGTGTGGATAATGGATATTCAGTATGTTCTACTTTATTATTGCTGCAGTTATTAGAACGTTGTTTTAGAATGGTCCATTATTTCCTACTAAGTTGCGAATGACTTCAGCCGGAGCTAAATTAAATCCACAAATTTGCCCCTCAAATCCCGATCTCGTTGCTTACATTTGTAACCATGATATCTGGGTCACTCATACTGTATCTGGGTCAAATGTTAGACTGACTTATGCGCATAAAGGTGGCAGAAACCTCGCTGACGATCCTTTATGTGCTGGCGTACCTTCGTACGTCATGCAGGAGGAATTTTGCAGGTACCAAGGGTACTGGTGGCAACCGGCTTCTGCAGGTATTTTTTTTAACACTCTGTTCTTTCCAATTAATTTCTAATGTGTTTATCTGTTTTAAGGAGGCACTTTTAGAATTTTGTATGAAGAAGTTGATGATGGTGATGTGAAAATCTTTTGTTTTCCTTCATCTCAGTCAGATTCAGGAGAGGTAGAAGAATTTAGATTTCCTAGAGCGGGGTGTGCTAATTCAAAATCATACCTAAAAATGGTTGAATTTAAAATCAACGAACACCGACAGATAGTTGATGTGTGCATGTTGGAATTGCAGTTCTCACTATCAATGCTATTTCCCTGGATGGAGTACATTGTTAGGGTTGGCTGGACTCCTAATTCTGAGTAGTAAGAATTTAATTTTAATATTATTAATTAAGACGGCGATATTTTCGAATTTGTGTAACTAGATGGCGCTATACTTGGTATGGGAAGTTGAAATCTAATGTCAATGAACGCCGTAAGTCGTGTAGTGAGGAAATCTGAAGTTCTTTTAGGTACTAAAAACAATTTAGCCATACAGGACCTACCAAACCAAAAAGAGATACATATTGTACTTATTTTTATCAATAAGATTTCACCAAATTATGCTTAATCTGCTATCATAAAGAGCAGTGGAAATAATTTATGCAGTTTAGGAAAATTGATTTATGATTGAAAAATATATAGTTAAAATTGCGGCCACGTGGTTGCACTATGAACACACTAATAAAATGTAACTTTATAAATTAAAATTCCCAATCCGTAAAACAGTCACCAAACGCTGGACGGTGGCGTACATTATACAGTGGTAGAATAAAATAACTTTATCTTACCATATAGCCGAGTGAATCGCTGCGATCAGATATTTTTCTAAATAAAATCCTAAAATTTACATAATTTTAATTGACGAGTATCTTTACCACAGAGGTTGTTCAAGCACTGTTGACTTAAATGATACTAACAAAGTATAAAATTTTATAATCAGTGCTACATAAAGTAACAAAAGTAGCAACTATTGGAAATATGTGAAAGGTCAACAGCCCCTGAAATTTTCCTCTTTTTTCTAGCATTTGGGTCCAGCTCTTGGACAGGCGGCAGCAAAAGCTCGAGCTGGTTCTCTTGTCCCTTAGCAATTTTACTGAAGTTCTTCCAATGTACGACGACACAACTAGTGTACATCTGGGTAGCCCAATAGTCCAAGTGATCTATTCGCAAGAGTCCCGAATATGGGTAAATGTGCATGATCTACTATGTTTTTTGCCGTCCACAGATCACAGCAATGAAGTGCAATTTATTTGGGCTTCAGAAGACACAGGTTTTCGACATTTGTATTTAATTACATCTCAAATAATACCATATACGAATGGGGTCACGGAAAGCACCGAACCGATGGACTACGTATTTTTACAACCAAAAATTTTATCAAAAGTTGCTTTGACGTCTGGGGAGTGGGAGGTTTTGGCTCAAAATATTTGGGTTGATTACGAGAGACAGCTAGTTTATTTTATGGGGCTTAAAGAAACGCCGTTGGAGAAACATCTTTATGTTGTTTCACTGCGAAGGCCAGGTGAAGTTAGGTTGTTGACTAGACCGGGTTTTTCGTATTCAGTTGATTTTAATAAGGTGAAGACAGACGTGGTGAAGGCAAATTTTTGTTATACATATTATTTTTAGGACTGCACAATGATAGTGACCGTTTACAGTAATATTCAGAAGCCACCAGCCTGCCAAGTCTTCCGAATATCTCACAGCGATTGGACAGTTGAAGGTGTCACGTTAACACCTATAGGATATTTGCTAGAATCTGCCCCCTTGACTAATGATAATTATTGCCCGGATCTATATACCCATGAAATATCATCAGGTAGCGTTTTGTATGCCATGGTGTTCAAACCCCATAATTTTGAACATGGTAAAAAGTATCCAACTGTGTTGAACATATACGGCGGACCGGAAGTTCAGCTTGTTTCAAATTCATTCAAAGTAATGACTATCATTTTATTGATTTAATTTATTTATATTTGTATTCATTGTCCAGGGAATGAGACAACTCAGAATGCACATGTTGGCAGCTAGAGGCTACTGCGTTATATCCATAGATTCCAGAGGCTCCCAACATAGAGGGTTATTGTTTGAAAGTCACATTAAAAAGAGAATGGGGACTGTGGAATTAGATGACCAAGTTGAAGTCCTGAAGTGGCTGGCTGACAATTTAGATTTTATTGATTTAAACCGAGTTGCAATCCATGGATGGTCTTACGGTACTTTGCAGTTATTTTCTTTTCTCTGTTTTGGAGATTTAATTTTAGGCGGGTATCTCAGTTTGATGGGTCTAATACACTATTCAGAGATTTTTAAAATTGCCATTGCGGGCGCTCCAGTAACCAACTGGAATTTGTATGACACAGGATACACAGAGAGATACATGGATTTGCCGGAACATAATCCACAAGGTTATATGGAGGGTTCAGTTTTAAATTACATCAACAAATTTCCTGAAGAGTAACTTTTCAAAAAATGGCAACTATTTTTTCTGATTGTGTATTTTTAGGGAAAATCGGCTTCTAATAATTCACGGCCTTATTGACGAAAATGTCCATTTTTATCATACAAGTCAGCTTATTAACAGTATGGTGAAAGCAGGCAAACCATATCAGCTGCAGATCTATCCGAACGAAAGGCATTCTTTAAGACACATTGATGCCAGTAAGCACTATGAAACAACTCTGTTGTCTTTTCTTCAAAATCATTTATAACTCTAACATCGTTTCAAACATTGTTGATAGTCAGCCAGTATTAAACAAAACGTTGATTAGAAATTTTATCAAGATGTGTTTAATAAGATTGTTAGTGAGAAATTTCACTTCTTGTATGTTATATGTGGATTGAAGTCAGCTTTGTAACAAGTTTTAAATGCCGTTGTAAATATAATTCTACTTAAAATCGCAATTACTGATTAGTAAGGCTTTTGATTCAACTGTATAAATTAAATTATTAATATGAATTTCTAATAATTAAATCAACTGTTTTTACCGTTGTAAACTGTTTATTTCTAATTCCGACTTACACAGTGTTTGTTTTTCTATTTAAAAACTGGTATAAATATCTAATGCGTTTGTCTAGTTGGTACCATTTCGTCGGTCTTGCTATGGGATACGCCGTCTGACTCAACATTTTTCTTTTTCTAAGCATCACCTGATATTCGTTACCATTAACTCCTCTCAACCATGGAGGCACGTTGTATAAAATCCTTGAAGGGTGTAGGCGTTCATTACCCAAGATATCTATGTAATCGTTCTGTCCAAATAGGGCTCTTTTTTCAGACCAAGCGTCTTTTGGTCTGTACATTGGCATAGATAATCTCTCGGCACCTTTTACTCGAGGCAAAGTTCCACTTTGTAAAATGCGCTCTTCATAACCGTACCGTCGAAGTAATGGCCCTCTTGCTACCTTATCTGCATGATATCGGAAACGGACTTGTAATATTTCAGGTAACCACACTTTCCCAATTCCAGTCGAAAGAGATTTAAACGTGTTCAACATTTTGTTTAATTTTTGTTAGTAGTTTTTCACTTCATTGCAAATGTGAGGTTACTTTTTAATTAATGTCAACTGTCAAATGGCCAGCTCCAAATAAACGTCAATTTTACATAATTAATTTAATTACATTACTTTACATTTTTAAAAAATTCGAGTACTAGGTATTTAGAATTTACGAATAAATATATCATACAGTGTTTCAGATTAACATGACAGTTAATACCTGATTTAATACCGAGGGATTTTTAATGTTTGTGATTTCATTTGTCAGGTTGGTAAAGCATTTATAATTTTATGATGGCTTACCTGATGTCAAATTCAAATTCTGGGCACCAATTGAACTGACATGCTAACCCATTGCTGGCAATAATGTGTTTATTTTAACTGAAAATACAGCATTAAACAATTCATTTAGTTAAAAAAAAACCAAACCTATGTATTGGTTATTCAAAAAATGGTATGACATATTGTTCGGGAACATTTATTTTCATTATTCAAAATAGTTTTGGAGGCATCTTGTCTTTATCCATCGATTTCTCCATTTTTTAACATCACAAAACACTTAAAAATTGTTTAGAATGAATCGAACGACAGGGGCTAAATTTTCACGTTTTTTGATCTATCTATCTAATAAATCGATATTTTGTTTTTGACTTGTGAATTTAATCATGGTACAACAGAAGACGTACCTTCTTTAATCATGTATCGTTGAGTTGCTGCACCATTTTTTGAACAGACTGTATGTATGAACCAGAACGTAATTAAAAAAATTAATTGTATTAATTTTTAAAATTGCGTCTACAGAATGTCCCCAAAAAATAAAATAAACTGATAACGCTATCTCAAAATTTCATTAATAAATTAATAACTTTCATTTTAACTGAGCATGGTGACATTCTTCCTTGATATTGATTTAATATTGATGCATCCTGATTTTTAACTTTACGCGTAAGTAAAGGGTTGTTCTAAAAAAATATATAAGATATTCCATTAAAAAAATAAGTTATTGTTATGTCACTCGTAAAATCAACGTGGGTAAAACTCAGCAATTTATTTCTTAATAACCCGAATTTACACGACTGATTACCCAGCGACTATGTACAAAATATCCGGTGCAACTGCATTCGTTAATTGGACGTCTCGCTGACTGGATCAACTGAATAATCCTCGTGTCCAACGGTGGTCTCTATTTAAACGTTCCTCTCGATGGACCGAGAACGCCGCTCGGCCAACCTGACCGCTTCTAGATTTGTCCGGAGCAACTATTCGCGACTTCCGCTTCCAGGCTCTTCTCCGGCTGCTGTCACCGACAATGAGTCATCATCGCCGTACAGACCAGAAAGCTCTCGACGGCCCATAGGCGTTGTACTGGGGCGGCGTATGGGTTTATTTCGTAACATTATTGTGTATTACAACTTTAGTCTTTATTTTTTTTCTTTTATCCAATAACACTAGTTTACAAATTTAAACTTTTTTTCGTATCCAAAAATAAAAAAAATATTTTTTACTTCTAAATTACTTACTGACAACGAATCCAAAAACGGATAATCCGTATCACATCAGGTTTTTTCATAAATCCAAACTAATGAATTTTGCTTTTACCTTCACGTTGGTGTTAGACTGATTCATGTTAATGCATCATTGTCGCATAAAAAATGTCTTCGAGATCGTGCAAAGTAAGTGCAAATCAGTTTTGTTGTGTTTGTAGTAAAATTATAGTACCTAAAGCGGGAAGACCTGTTCAAATATGCTTAAAAAGAAGATATCAAGGTTTTTGGGACGAAAATGTGTTACTGTTGGTCTATTATAAGGGAAATTGACAGTACTGCCAATAAAAGAAACGCTAGTGTTTATCATTTGTAATTTTCAGTCATAATGTTTATAATATATACTGGGTGTTGCTTTTATTTGATACAACCCCTGTAACTTCTTTATTCTTAAAGATAAACCTGTATTTCTTTGAGCAAATTTGTATCATTTTAAAATATCTTTGTGAGGCCAACCTCACATTTTTATTACCACTTCCCGTAGAAAAATCAAAAGCAACCAATTATTCTAAAATCAGTACTTGAAAAATTTTAAATAAAACATTGATGACAATCTAGTAGCTTGAAAAATTGACACTCATGTTACTTATTTACGTAAATGATCTTTTAAAATGATACAACTTTGCTCCAAGAACTATATGTTCATATATATTTAAAAATAAAAAAGTTACAAAAGTTGTACAAAAGAAAAGAAATACGGGGTATGTTTATATAAATATCTCAAAAACCTGACGTGATGGATTTTTTCTGCTTTCAGATTTGAATTTCCCGAACCCAAATCCTTTAGATTCAACTATTTTTGTCTTTGGATATAAAACCTTGTAAACTAGTGTAATCAATGAGATCTCGAGGGCTGCGCGCCTAGTAACTCAGCCTGTAAGTATATATCTATATAGATAATAATTAATATCGTCGTCTGTTAAGAACATTTCTGTGTGCTTTTTTGGTTAAATAGTTCAGAATTGGAAACTATTATGTATGTGCATTACAACGAACTGTTATAACTTTTTAACAGTGTATGTTTGTGATATTGTCAAAATTCATTCCGAAATTTGTCAACTTTCTTTCACATATTGTTAAACTCGGTACTTGGCCTTTTATATTTTTTATAATGTGTTCTACACGTAGGCTATTCTCATTTATTAATTTTTAACGATAGTGAGGTTATTAGCATTAAACTGAGTTGATACACGGCGTCGGAGCACCACAAGTCACTTCAAAAAACAAACGACCCTTTTTTGCCTAATTAATGTTGATAAAAAATGTTGCGCAATCATAGTTTTTGACTTCGACGTACAAAAGATCAGTACTGTGGCAACGGTTGTCGGGTTTGTGACTGATTTTTCATTGCAAACAAATTGTTAAAATGATGCTATTAGTGATATTTTGTGATATTGTTGTTACCAGACATTTTAACAATTAACAATTAGTAGTGAATTTAATAAAAAGTGCTTTTTGTTTGCAAATTTCGTACTTCAACAGGAGGAAAAAATGTGAGATTGTAAGTCAAATTTTTACGAAATGCATCAAAATTGTCGAGAAAATGTCTAATTTTGTAAGCTTGGTATTTTGGGTTTAGATTTGTGCGGAATCGTGATGTCTAATAAAAATATGTAAGAAGTTTTGCGAAGAATGAAAACCAGGGTAGTAAAACTGCGTAGGTAGATCAATTTTTTTTTTAAATAATTTTTCACTGGCGTCTTGGGACTTCTTGAAATCCCTTAAATTCACTCATTTCTTCTAAACTTTTCTCGACAATTTTGTATTTAGTTATAATATGGCATTTTTAGATTTTTTACCATTTTCGGATTTCCTTTTGACTTTGTTATTTACAGAATGGCAAACATTAACGCAAGTGTGTAATAATTCATTTTATTACTGGAGAGAGTATGTGATTTATTTTAATAAACCGACGGCGACGTACGAACATTTTAAAACAAATAATGAAAATTTAAATTATTCATTAATAGTTCCGAACTGGAGATTTTAAATATGTGTATACGAAAACTGAAAAAGCATGTTATACTTTGCAGTAATTGTATCAGTGTTCAAACGCTTTTGTCGAAATTCATTTCCAAATTTATTTCATAAGCTTTTAAATTACTTGACCCTTTTTGGCGTTGTTTGCGTGCGACCTTTTTTTGCCTTCTTGCAGTTGTCAGGACTTATAAATGATTTCTCATTGGAAAGACATATATTGTTAAAATGACGCTGTTGTACTATTTGATGTTGTGCAATTTTGTTCAAATTTTGGAGGAAAGTTTTATCTAATCTTGTAATTTCGGTATATTTGCATTTACTTGTGTATCAAATGTTGAATTAATATAATAAATGATAATATTACATAATATCTAATAATAAATGACTATTAATATGTATACAATATAGCACTAGAGGTCTAGACGGTCCATGGCTTCGTGTATTGTTCTTCTCCATTCCGATTTGTCCATAGCCCTCGTCTTCCAGTCGTTGATTTCACTTGTTTTTAGATCTCTCAATACTTCATTTTTCCATGTATTTTTCGGTCTGCCCCGCTTTCTGGGTATTGATAACTCATAGTCCCATATTTTTCTTGGCACTCTATTCGGCGACATTCTTAATATGTGGCCCAACCATCTGAGTCGTTGTCTTTTTACTATTGCTATAATACTCGGTTCTTCAAATAATTCCATTAGCTCTCTGTCGGATCTTCTTTTCGAGGTTCCGTTAACCTGTTTTTCTCCTCCGTAAATTTTTCGTAACATTTTTCTCTCCCATACGCCTAGTAAATTCTTTTCTGTCGTTCCTAATATTGTCCATATTTCACTTCCAAAAGTTACTATTGGCCGAATTATGGATTTATAGATTTGTGTTTTTAAATTCTTTGATATTTTCTCATCGTTTAGGATGCTTTTTAATTCAAAAATTACGCGATTTCCCTGTATTAGTCTATGCTGTATTTCTCTCTTCATCTCCGGCTTCCTGTAGATATTTGTGCCTAGGTATTTAAAGGTATCAACTTCTTCAAAATTATACGTGTTCCCGCTTGCAGTTTGTACTCGAATTTCACCTTTTTCAAATTTGTTGTTTGACCATTTCATGTACTTTGTTTTCTGTTCATTTATATTCAAACCTATTGGTTGTGCTGCCTCTTCTAACTGTACAATTTTCTTTCTTAATTCTTCTTCACTACGTGTTAATATTACTATGTCATTCGCAAACGCTAATATTTGGTGTTGTTTTTTGCCATATATTGATCCATTTCTGTTTAGCTTCGCCTTCCTTACCACGTACTCTAGTGCTAAGTTGAATAACAGTGGTAATAAAGACTTACCCTGCCTCAAACCGTTCTTTACGTCAAATTTCTCTGTTTGTTGTGCTTCTACTCCTGCTCTACCTGTTGTTCTTTGTAGAATCATTTTTATTAATCTGAGCAATTTTCCTTGTACCCCCAATTCTACCATTGCTTCATACAACACACTGCCATAGGTTTGTTGAAAGTTAACGAAGGCTACAAACGTCTCAAGTTTCTGTTCTTGGCTTCCATCTTGAATTTCTCGTATGGTGAATATTTGATCCATTATTGATCTTCCATTCCTTAATCCATTCTGATATTCTCCCATTCCACTTTCCGTTTTTAATATAATTTTATTCTTGATGGCCGTCACCAACACCTTATATCCCAGATTTAGCAATGCTTTGCTCCAGCTCTTCGGCATTTGTTCTTGCGTCCATATTTCATCTATTAGCCCTTTTATAAGTTTGATCAGCACTTCCCCCCCATACTTAAGCAATTCTGGCGTCACCATATCTTGTCCAGAACTTTTGGTATTTTTCAGTTTCTTAATTATCTCTTCAATTTCAGTTAGTGTTGGAGGGTTTTCTTCTTCTTCTGCATCGTAGTGATCTATCCCATTCAATTGTTTTTCGAAATGGTTTTTCCACATTTCTAATATTTCTTGTTCTTCTCCCACTAGTTCTTCCGCTTTCTCTCTTGCTTTCTTATTTTCTAATTCTTTTTCAAATTCTGTATCGACCCACTCATTTTCCTTCCTACTTGCTTCGCCGACAACTTGATTTTTCACGGCCGTCCATAACTTTTCTATGTCTTTCTGAATTTTAACGGTTTCACACTTTTCGCTCAACTTCTTTGTATTGCCGATATCTTCTTCCTTCTTTAATGTTGCATGGTTATGTTTACATTTCAGCTCTCTTCCACTTCTGTCGCGTGGGACGTCTTGTTTCATCTGTAGACCAACTAAAAAATGGTCCGAATTTACGCTTGGGTCTCTGTAGCTTTGGACGTCTGTTATCAAATTTTTATCATGCCCTTCTATTAGCACATGATCGATTTGGTTGATATCAGTTCCATTCGGGAGCCTCCAAGTGCCTTTATGTATTTCTTTTTTCTCAAAATGAGTGCTTTTAATGATCATTCCTTTCTCACTTGCAAAATCTATCAGGAAATATCCGTTTTCATTGGTGCTTTCGTGTTTACTGTGTTTTCCTATAGTTGGCCTGAATATGTTTTCTTTACCAATCTTAGCATTAGCATCTCCTATGACTAACTTAATATCGTCTTTCGGTATCTTTTCATATTCCTCATCTAATTTACTGTAAAACTTCTCCTTTTCTGCTACTTTGGCCTTTTCAGTAGGTGCATGTATATTTATTATCGATATTTCTTGATACTGACCCCTTAGTCTTATACGGCACATTCTTTCTGAGATTTCTTTAAATTCCAGTAGTGTTAGTTTTTTAGCTATTATGAACCCTGTTCCTAATCTTCTACTCTTTCCTCCACTAGTCATCAAAATATAGTCATCTGTTTCTATGTTTTTTTTTCCTTCCTGTTTCGTTTCTTGTAGTGCGACCACGTCGTATTTGTATTCTTTAATTTGGCTGATTAGTTCCTCCAATTTTTCCTTGTCATACACCATTCTTACATTCCATGTTGCTATTCTTAACTTCCCACTGATTTCATTTTCTCTTGTTTGCTGCGGTAATATAGTTTCTGTTTCCATACTCGTTTCCTTCAGAGTCCCTTCCTCTTTATCCAATAGCCATTGATCTTTTTTTTCTATTTTTAGGCCTTGGGGAATATTATTCATTCGTTTTTCATTTTCTAGATTTTCTATTCTTCTGTCCATCTCCACCATAGCGTTTTTAATTTTTTGAATTTCATTGCTTAATTTTTTATTTTCCTCTCTCAATTCTTTAATTTCATCCTTGTGTTGTTCTTGCTCTTGTCTTGAAGCCCTATTATTTTCTGTTTCTGTTTTAATCTTAAAAGGTTTCATACTTTTTTCTGGTTTTTTGTATTTTTACTAGTCTTCCTCCTCACCCAACGTTTCCCTGTTATTCCTTCTTCAAAAAATAATATGAATGTTTGTGAACCCAACCCTGTCTTATCTTTATCACTTATCAATTATAAGTTATCACTATGTACATGCATACACCGCGGAAAAAGCTGCTGGCCGGTCTACCCGTCGAACCTTAGCTCTTATCAGTGTTTCTGACTTATGAATGTCTGTATTGTTATTATTTAGATAATTAGAACGATCTTACTTTCAGTTGTGTTCAAAATCTTCTCGCATACACTCAGCACTTTTCTGCGCTCACTTTCTCCACTTGGTTGTTTTATTTGCTCGTAGTTCTCCAAAATTTTGAACTTCACTACAGAGCATAAATTAATTTTAGTAAAATGAAAAAACTTTCAGAGTTTAAAAAAAATATATTTGTAGTCACTGCTACACGTGTTTCGGTACACAGTACCGTCTTCAGGCAGAAGAGAAACTGGGGTTTTACAGAGCTATTCCTGAATTTATACCTGATTTAACAATGGTGTTTTCAAATTTATGTTAAGTAAGGGAGATTTGTTTATTTCGGTTTGGTCGTTCATTAGTGTATTTAATCTATTGTACCTATTTATTTCCAGACATTCTAACGCGTTTAATTTTGCGCCTTTATTTTCTATGTGTAAAATTTTGAATTCGTCGTTGAAATTATGCTGTTCTTGGATAAGGTGGTTCGCGTACGTAGAATTTGATTTTTTGTTGACAAATGCTGATTTATGTTCTTTTATCCTTTCCTCAAATTTTCTCCCTGTTTGTCCGATGTATACTAAGGGGCAGTCACCACAACTTAGCATGTAAACTCCAGAATTCGATTTCTTAGGTGACTTGTCTTTACTATTGTTTATTAATTTATGTAAAGAATTGTTGGTACGGAAGGAAATTTTATAGCCTGCATTTTGCAGTATTTTTGCAGATTTTATAGAAAGTTTTCCAAAATGAGTTAAAATGTTATACTGATTGGTTTCTTTGATTAAAGGATATATTAATGCTGATGTGATTTTTTTAATTTTCTTTTTTAACATATTATCTATGATCTCGTCCGAATAACCATTGTTTTTAGCTATTATTTTTATTCTCTTAAGTTCGACCTCAAAGTTATTTTCAGATAAGGGGACAGTCAACAATCTGTGTAACATTGATTGATATGCGGCTAATTTGTGACTCCAAGGATGTAAAGACGTTCTATGAATAGTAGTATCTGTATGAGTAGGTTTATGGTAGATATTAAATTCATGGTAACTCTTGTGGTGGCTGATTTGAAGGTCCAGAAAATTGATAGTTTTATTGCTTTCTATTTCTATTGTGAATTTAATTTTTCTATGTAACGAATTTATGTAATTATGTAGCATATCTAATTGCCTACTTGTACCGTTAAAACACACTAAAATATCATCCACATATCTAACCCAGTAAATACAATGTTTAAATAATTTATGTTGTGAAATAGAGGTTTCTAATCTGGCCATAAATATCTCGGACAGCAGAGGGCTCAGAGGGTTACCCATGGCTAGGCCATCTCTTTGTCTGAAGTATTTACCACCAAACTGAAAGTAATTTTGTGATAAGCAGGTATCAAGTAATGAAAGAATTTCGTTCATTATAACCGGGTTAGTGTTTTTGGAAAAAAGGTCTTCCTCAATTATGTTAATATTTTAGTGTGTTTTAACGGTACAAGTAGGCAATTAGATATGCTACATAATTACATAAATTCGTTACATAGAAAAATTAAATTCACAATAGAAATAGAAAGCAATAAAACTATCAATTTTCTGGACCTTCAAATCAGCCACCACAAGAGTTACCATGAATTTAATATCTACCATAAACCTACTCATACAGATACTACTATTCATAGAACGTCTTTACATCCTTGGAGTCACAAATTAGCCGCATATCAATCAATGTTACACAGATTGTTGACTGTCCCCTTATCTGAAAATAACTTTGAGGTCGAACTTAAGAGAATAAAAATAATAGCTAAAAACAATGGTTATTCGGACGAGATCATAGATAATATGTTAAAAAAGAAAATTAAAAAAATCACATCAGCATTAATATATCCTTTAATCAAAGAAACCAATCAGTATAACATTTTAACTCATTTTGGAAAACTTTCTATAAAATCTGCAAAAATACTGCAAAATGCAGGCTATAAAATTTCCTTCCGTACCAACAATTCTTTACATAAATTAATAAACAATAGTAAAGACAAGTCACCTAAGAAATCGAATTCTGGAGTTTACATGCTAAGTTGTGGTGACTGCCCCTTAGTATACATCGGACAAACAGGGAGAAAATTTGAGGAAAGGATAAAAGAACATAAATCAGCATTTGTCAACAAAAAATCAAATTCTACGTACGCGAACCACCTTATCCAAGAACAGCATAATTTCAACGACGAATTCAAAATTTTACACAGAAAATAAAGGCGCAAAATTAAACGCGTTAGAATGTCTGGAAATCAATAGGTACAATAGATTAAATACACTAATGAACGACCAAACCGAAATAAACAAATCTCCCTTACTTAACATAAATTTGAAAACACCATTGTTAAATCAGGTATAAATTCAGGAATAGCTCTGTAAAACCCCAGTTTCTCTTCTGCTTGAAGACGGTACTGTGTACCGAAACACGTGTAGCAGTGACTACAAATATATTTTTTTAAACTCTGAAAGTTTTTTCATTTTACTAAAATTAATATGGAGTTTAAACAAGTATCAGCCTCATCAATACAAACAGAGCATAAATTGACCAACCTTTACTTTTATCTATCAGAACCGGATGCCAGTGACTGCAAATACTGCATAAAATTCGTAAATATTTATTTTTAAAAATAATGGCTACACTTTGGGATATCCGTTGCTGCGATTAAATTGTTTCGCTAATTTTCGAATTTACAGTGTATTCATCGAAATACCCTTTTTGTGGTATTATCATGAAGAATACAATTGTTTATTTTAGATTTTTAAGACAGTATGAAAAATTTGCTATTAAAATTTAAAGTAATTCCGTTTCCGTCTGTCTGTTCGTCTATTTATTTTATTAAATAAATCAGGAACTGCAGAACAATGCTTTGAAATCTTGCAGACAATACAACAGTTTGTTTAAAATTTTGGGTGTTTATTGAATATTATTATTATACCAAACACGAGTAAAAAAAAAAGTCACAAATTCATCTCACTTGTTTGATAAAACTCTGATAAACTAGGTATACAAAAGTCACTTCTCTTCCATCTAGGAAGACAACTCATTTTTTCACTGTAGAAGATTTCCTATTTTTAAATGATAAACCGTAGTTTATAATTTAAGGGAAGTTTTGTACAAAATCGTAAATTAGTTTTGTAGGAACAACCGTTCCCACAAAATCAGGTGTTCTACCTGAGGGCATTCAAAGTAATTGTATAAATGTAAATACTTCCTGTCTTTCGTCTACCTGCCCTACGCTCCTACATACTTTCTCTTTTCCCTTCTAGAATTTTCTAAACTCCTTTTTTACCTACTTCCACCTCTTCGAAACCGAGTTTACCTGTGTACCATTTTAAACACCCTTCCTTCTTCTCCCTGGCACTCTCGAACAGTAAAGAACAAAATAAAATCTGAAAACCGTACCGTCGCTTTTAAATCACCAACAATACCCACAGTTTCTTTAAAATCAGTAAATTTTTTACTATGAACATGGAAAAAAGTAAAAGTATTTTTATAACTACCTACGTATTTATATTATACAAATTGTTTAATAATACTTATTTATTGATTTGTATTAACATTAAATTAAGTTGATATACACTGTTGAAGCATCGCAAGTCATTTTAAAAAAATATACAACCCTTTTTCTCCTTTTGACATTTTTACAACATGTTGCGCAATCATAGTTTTTAACTTCCCTGTACCTGTAGTACAAGAAGACTGTACCTACGAAAGACAAAAGATCAGTACTATTGCAGCGTTTGCTGGGGTTGTTGCATTTGTTAGGGCTGTCACATTATTTTTGGTTAATTAACAAATTGTTAAATATTATTGTTGTTATTATGCCTCTCGGCAGCTAATAACGAGTGGTAAATTTTAAAAAATAGTTTTTGTTGTGTAAATTTCGCATACTTCAACAGGAGGAAAGAACGTGAGATTGTAAGTCAAATTTTTAGGAAATATATCAAAATTGTTGAGAACATTTTAATTAAATTTCGTAATTTTGATATTACGGATTTAGTTTAGTGCAGAGTTGTGATATCTAATCAAAATATGTAGTTCTGGGACGAGTAAAAACTAGGATATTGAAATGTATTCTTTTAACCTAATTTTCCACTGGTATTTGGGACTTCCTCAAATTATTCCTCTTGAATTCCCCAATTTTTTCGAATGTTATTCTCTTGACAGTTTTATATATTCTTGTGGCATTTTTAGATTTTTTTCACCGTTTTCGGGTTTATTTGCGATTTTACGTTATTTACTGAATATTCATTATTGCAGACATTATTAAATCCAAGTGTGTAACAATTCATTCTGTTACTGGAGCATTCCACGAAAAACAGAAACCTTCAACAATTTTTGAAAATAAAATAAAACAATAACGTTTTTACAAATTTCGTAAAACCCGTCAACCATAACTTATAAATGTCACATAAATAAATTGACTGGTGTCAAAATGTTTGGCATCATATCACTGCAAAAAACATGAAAAAGTCATTTAATTTATTGCAATTTATTTGTTTGTTATTGTTTAGTTTTGTCATTATGGTGTGTTTTGTGTTTACTTTAAAATTGTGAATTAGAATTTTTTATTAATTTACTGTCCACACCGGTCCCATACATGACAGTTTAAAAATAATTTCTTATGAAAAAACCGCCAAGGGCAATAATTCAAAATAATACCCAAATTAAAGGGTATACTTCTATTATTAATATAAAAAATACACCCTCTTTGGATAATTAAAACGGAGCACATACAACAAAATTTCTTCGATACGTACTAGAGACAGTATTTCATTTACTATAATAATACTGTTACGATGATCGGTGAATAAAATCGGCGTGGGTAAAACTCAACAATTTATTTGTTAATAACTCGATTTTACACGGTTAATTACAGAGCGATTAAATAATTCCGGCGCAATTTGACTGTACTCGACTCGTTGGCTGAATAATCCTCGTTCCAGAAGGTGGCCTCTATTTAAACACATACTTCCTTCCAGTCTTGTCCTTTAGCGCTTTGCCGTTCGGTCGCTGTCATTGACGAAGAGTGAAGAGCTATCATAGGCGTACAGCCCAGAAAGTTGTCGACGGCCCATAGGCGTCATAGCGGGGCGGCGTATGGGTTTATTTCATAACAATACTGATGTATGAAAATTTATATGAAAGTTTACATTATTCCATCAACTGGAGATTTATGGGTGCACAAAAATTATTATGACTTTTATTTGTTTTCTTTAGTGAAATAATTTACATTAATAATTGTAACAGAATTTGAACGTTTTTATAGAAATTCATTTCTAAATGTTTATGAAATTTATTTCATATTCTTTTAAATTATGCGAGCCTTTTTGTTATTATGGTATTTGCTTACAAGTTCTATATTTTAGATTTCTATGTATTAATTTCTTTTTTAAGTAAATGTAACTAATTATTCAAAAAACGAAAGGACTTTTTTTTTGTCTTCTTGTAAAAATACTGCATCAGAATAGTTTTTAGCTTCGACGTTGAAGAGGTTGTTACGATGATCGGTAATTTAAAAATCGGCGTGAGTAGAACTCAACAATTTATTTCTTAGTAACTCGAACTTACACGACTAATTACACAGCGATTATGTACAAAATAATTCCGGCGCAACTTGACTGGATTCTTGTAATCTTACCGGACTCGACTCGTTGACTGAATAGTCCGTTCCTGAAAGTGGTCTCTATTTAAACCCATACGTTCCTCTGGATGGTTCGCCAACGCCGCTTCGAGGTTTTTCTGGACCGCGCAATCGAAACTTCCGGCGACCCGCTCCAGGGTTTTCTTTATGCGAACGCCGTCTGGCCGCAGTCACATACTAGAAAACCCATAGGCGTCGTACCGAGGCGGTGTATGGGTCTATTTCGTAACAATATTGTTGAAGTGACATTATGGCGATCTTTGGTTGTGTTGTTTTTATTATAATATTTTTTAACAGCTAATAACTTTAACTAAATGTAAAACAATTTTTCTTCTTGTTCACATTTCACTTTCAACAGGATGAAAGCGGGTGAGACCATAACACTTAAACTGTACCTATTAAAATTTTCGAGAAAATGTTTGTCTAATTTTGGAATTTCGTACTTTTCATAATTTTACAAAATCTTATATAAAAATATGATAAGTAGACGATTCCACTTTTGCGCAGCAAGTCGACACACAGAGTGGCTGAAGAATACTGCATAAAATTCATGGAATTTTTATTCGTAAAACTGATAGCTAAACTCACGATATCCATTGTTGTTATTAGATTTTTTCCTTAATTTTAGAACCCCAGTTCATAGAAATACCA